CCAGCTGGATGACGAGCGCAAAGGATGTTTTGGAAAAACTCTCGGACCCTTCCATGGCCGATTCCGTCAACCCAACCACCTATAAATATCGCATTCATATCGCCTTGGAGACGGGAGACGAGCGCTATGCCTTTGTCAACACGGTCATGTGGGTTGGTAGTGGCTGTCGCCGCTCTTCGGAAGGTAGGAGAAATTTTTATATATAATATCTGATTCTGTTGATTCATATCAATAGTTTATCCTTATACCTACTCGTTTCATCTATTCCATTGGCTAACACTTATCCTTGCACAGTTATTTTCGATGCTTTCCGTATTACCTAAAAGAAAAGGGGCGATTATCCTATGAATCTCGTTCCTCGTGATTTGATTATATCTTTGCTTGGCTTTTCTATATGAGGTAAAAGCTGGGCTTTTACGTCAATCAGCCAATCTCTGTCCCTCTCCCTCTCTTCCTCTTCCCCTCCATTTTTTCCCAGCGTCTTCGAGTCGAAACGGAAGGTGTCAGTGGCGAACCTGGGTCGGTCTCTCAATAATTTATCTTACCTCGTTTATTTTTCGATGATATGATCTTTCGGGCTGAAAAGCAACAGATTCTTCTCCAAGATGCGTTACATACTAGTTTATCGTTTTAGTTGTTGGCGTTTTCTTTTCTTTGCAATATTTTTTTTCCCAGCATTTTATCGACATTTGTTTTCTTCCGTGTCTCTTGTTTCTCTTGTCTCTTATGGACGCAGACAAACAAATACCATCAGCTGTTGCTCTTTTCTAAAATATTGTCAGTTTTTCTCCTTTTTCCACTCCACCTTTATATATATATATCTCCTATTTACTTTTTTTCTTTTTAGTGTATTCTCCCATTCTTGTGCCTTTATCCTTATCTGTCCTTTAATATTGTGCGACGCTTCTGTCTTCCTGTTCTGTCTTCCTTTTCCCAGAGTGTGAATCTAATACGGTAAGCCCTTTTTTAAATCATTTTACTTCCCCTGAATCCAGGCCACCCCCCTTTCTTTTAGATCCCTTTCTCATTTCCTTTATCATATTTACCCCCTTTTTAGCGCGTATTTTCCTTCTCTCATAAATGTTCAAATTCCCCCCTCCTATTAGTTGTAGCAACTCCATGTATTCGCAAGCAAACGTATTTTGATAACCCTTCCGCTCATCATCATAATTTCGAACGTTTTATTACTAGCGCACCGTGCTATAAGTTACGGGAAATAATTACAAAACGCGACGGTGCCTGAGGTAGAGTATCGCTCGACCGGTACCAAGTACTGTACTGTTAGGGGTTTTCACTCAAAATATACTCCGTTACTCCGTACGTATTTTAGGCCTTTGAATACTTTTCGCGATCTTACGTGAATACGTGACACATAAAGTTACATAAAACGTGACAACCTCTTCCAAAAAACGGTAAGGAATAGAGGGGTATTTATTTGGATACATCAGAAGGGATTTTTTTATTTTTATTTTTATTTTTTTTTTTTTACCAGTAGAGGTTGGGAGTTGATTCTGGCGGACACGGCCTCGTTGTTCAACACATTTCTTCTCAAGAAATAGTATGTGGAACAAAGCAACTTTGCGCATACTTGCGATGATGTATGTGGCTGAGCTGAATGGACTGATGTGCATCGAGAGCTTATGGTAAGTTACCGTTGCTCTCGCTCTCTCTGTGGGCCTTGGTAGTTCCTGAGGATTGATTCCTGAGAACGGGTTCTTGGTTGCTTCTATTTAGAAAGCCCTTTGTATAAAGGTGAAGGAGCTGAGGGAGGAAACGATGTGAGACGTTGGCTTTCAGCTGCTGTCTATGTATGCTCCCTGTGGTCCTGGTCCTGTGGCATCGAATGTGTGTAGCGGGTAATCATGCGATCTCTCTAGTTACTGCGTTGAAATTGTCATACAGGATCTATGTCCAAGGCGCTGTGTGACTGGAAGACTGCATTTCAAAGGGACGATCGAGATATTTCCGTGAGCTCATTGGAGCGAGAGGGTAGTATTACATCCAAGGCCGATGATTTAAGTAAAATATATATTCACAGTCAACACGAGCTAGAACAGCAATGGAATTCATACGTAATTAACTACCGAGACCAAGGGAGTCTTATATGCTCTATGTAGTGAAAGCATTACCCACGCAGTCGCCGCCACCATTTTCTAAGAGAATACACATCTAGCTAAACTGTTTCGATATAACGTTTGACTTCCCTACAATGTAGGCTGCAGTGAGTAGTGTTTCAAAAACGAAAAAAAATAATAGATGAGCCGAAAACGGAAAAGGGGAAACCACAGATATATAAAAATTCAGACTCACCAATCAGTCACAGCTTCCTCCCACAGACGAATCTCATGTTCCCTCGTCCCCCCAAAATGGTCCACGAACGCATCCCCAAAAACCTCCCTCGCAACACTTCCCTGCCGCAGGAAAACAGCAACCGCGTCCTTCAGGTTTTTAGCCAACCGCACTCCCTGGTCAGTTGGGCTGCCCACATCCGCCCCTCGAGGAAGTGGCGGAACAGGAAGGGCAAGTTTCTTTTCCACACCCCGCCAACCTAGCGCAAGGATAGCGGCAAGGACATAATGCGGGTTTGCGTCCGCACCTGGGACCCGCACCTCGAGACGTGTGCCATTTGGCGATGATGTGGGTGGCGTGATAACACGGATGGACGCAGCTCTGTGCTCTAAGCCCCAGGAAACGGTGACCGGGGCCCAGAAGTTTTCCACAAGGCGCTTGTAGGAATTTATGGTGGGGGCGAAAAGAGGCATGATATCTGGTAGGCCGTCGAGGACGCCGGCAAGAAAGTGCCTCCCCATGTCGGAGAGGTAGGCCACATCGGGATATGGGGGTGAGGGATCGGCTACCTCGCGGGCGAACATGTTTTGTCCGGCGTTTGACATAATGGAGACGTGCATATGTCCGCTGTTCCCTGGGAGCCCCTGCCGTGGTTTAGCCATGAATACAGGCGTGATTCCGTATTTGCTACCCAGGCATTTCACGACGTATCTGAAATTTTGGGGAGTTAGTCGCGCTCGCATACAATTTCTAGGCCTATATAGTTAAAATATTAGAACTGAATATTTTATCTTACTTGAATAAGCTCGCGCGATCAGCGATTTCTTTGATCTCCCCAAATTCAAGAGCCTGTTGAAGGTTAGGTAGGTATTGCAATACAAAGCAGGAGTGCTCAATATAAAACGCACGGCTTCAAAAACGCCCGGACCACTTTCAGTATGCCAGCTTTCGATATTACACTTGAACTCCCGACACGTGTTGAAGATTCTATAGTAATATTCCTGGTTATGTACAGTCCTTGTAAGACTGTAGCCAAACATTCCCTCCGTCAATGGAGGGAGTGAATTCACCGGATTCTCCCTGAGAAAAGTGGCTGTTGACGAGGAGTTTCGCTCGACAGTATTAGGATTCGGGGGCGCGCGAAATTGGTAGAATTCATATTCCGCTGTAAAAAATCAATTATAAAGCCCGCTGGATTTTCTGCACAATCCGCAGAAAGTGAGAAGAAACATACCACCAGCCATAGCTCTGTACCCAATCTTCTCCATCTTCTCAGCAGCGACCCTCAACAACCCGCGCGGACAAGCTGATATCGGCGCCTTGGTCTCAGGGTCGAAAAAATTTATCAAAAAGAAGGCTACGTTATCTTCCCACGGTATTCTCCGAAAACTGCTAAGATCAGGGATTGCTAGCATATCTCGATATCCATTTTCCTTATTGCTTATCCCCAGCTCCTTGAAATATGTCTGATCGTGCATGTCCCACCCAAATATTACGGAGCAGAAGCCGAACCCGTTTTGCGCAATGCTGAGAAACTTCCGCTTGGACACAAGCTTCCCGCGCAGGATCCCATCTGCGTCGATTCCAGCGAGCTTCACTTGCGTATCCTGCTCTAGAACGGTGGTAAGATTAAACAGAGAAACATCAGTTTCCGCCATCTCGACTTGAGGTGGGGGTACGGACAAGGCGTTGCTGGATGGGAATCCAATGTTTCTGCGAATTGCCGTTGATCCCCAAGTTGGCGCAACGACGTAGCAACACTGCCAGAGGCCGAATATCTCCTGTGAGTCCTGTCGGCCGCGATCAAGGGTGAGGTGTAAGAGCTCAACTTAGCCGATCTGGCGACTGCCGAATCCACTAGGACCCCAACGGCCGTCATGTGATTGGCTGCGCCGAACAGATGGCACTAGCCTGTTTTGTCTTAGCTGCGAGTCATGGGTTTGATCGATTAGATAAGAGCCGAAGCTTGATTCGTGAGCTATCAACGACAAACCCCTCGATACGCGAATCCTCTCCGCCTTTGTTTGTTTCGTGGCCATTGCGCAAGTCTCTCCCACATTCCTTGAAGGGAACACGTAAAAGCCATTGATTGACGAAGTCCCATTCTACTCTCGGTTCCTGGCTTGTAAGTTTGTTTTCGATAGCCGGTTGTTCGGCTATCCATACCCGGCCAACATCCAACCTTGGGGGGTGGTGGCACTTGTGGACATGATTCACCTTCATAGATGTTAACTTGTACTCTTTGATATTCCCAGACTACTGGCTGCGATTCTAAAAAGTCTCAGTCATCATGGGACGACTCGATGGGAAAAACGCCATCATTACCGGCGCTGCGGGGTAAGGGTTTTGACCTTAGGGATCTGACGATGTAACCCGGAGCACATACTGACAGGACCATATCTAGCGGCATTGGGCTCGAAACTTCCATCCTCTTCGCCCGTGAAGGCGCCTCCATTCTTATGGCTGACATCTCTGAGCCCGCCCTTGAAAAAGCACTTGCGAAGGTAAAACAAATGGCGCCCAACGCCGTCAAGGTCGAAACGATCAGGTGCGATGTGTCCAGGGAGGCCGACGTTAAGACTATGGTAGAGGCGCAGGACTCCTGGGGCGGATGTGATGTCATTTTCAATAATGCAGGCATCATGCATGCTGATGATGCGGATGCCATCGATACGCCGGAGAAAATCTGGGACATGACTCACAATATAAATGTCAAAGGAGTGTGGTACGGGTGTAAGCATGCAGTTATCAGCCTGCGCAAACACCGCAAGAAGCATGGAAGCATCATCAACACTGCCAGTGTCGTCGCATTGATGGGAAGTGCAACCCCCCAATTGGCCTACACTGCAAGCAAAGGCGCGGTGCTGGCGATGACGAGAGAGTTGGCCATCGTCCATGCTCGTGAGGGATTCCGATTCAATTCTCTTTGCCCCGCACCTTTGAAGTAATAACCACCCCTCCTGCCAATTTTATTTCTTCATGAGTGGATAGCAGAGCCTAACTAACACATCGCTCCAGCACCCCTCTCCTGCAAGACTGGCTGGGTGATGACGTTCCCAAGCGCCAGAGACGCGAGATCCATTTCCCCACAGGCCGTTTTGGCGAAGCTGTAGAACAGGCGCAGGCCGTGCTTTTCTTAGCTAGTGACGAGAGCAGTTTTGTCAACGGCACAGACTTTGTGGTTGACGGCGGAATGACCAAGGTCCGTTACCCCACACATCCGTCCACAACACCTCACACACACACACACACACACACACACACATATATATATATATATATACTCACTCAGTCTCTCTGTCTCCCCTCCACGTATCGCGAACCCCTATTCGTAATTAGGATGTTATTTAATACATCTAACATAAAATATCAAATCACACGCAGGCATACGTGACCCCTGAGGGACCGCCAACGACGGCGCCAAGAAACAATGCGAGCTAAGTTAACTTTAAAATAGCGTTCAGTCCCTACTTTTAAATTATTAGGACGTAATAAGTAGATAAGGTGTGATGGGTCTAGTAATATATTGAACCTCGGTGGTCGGAGTGCTTTGATATGCAACTAGCTAGTATGGAGAGAAGAGACGGGGGATTGTGCGTGTGGGGAATCTGCCTCCGTATTATCTTTGTATGTGGGACAGGGGGAAAAAAAGGTCCTAACAATCTCATAAATAGACTTGAGGAAGGGAATAAGTTAATTATATGCCATTTTCCTTTTTCTCCATTGTGTTTCGGGGCGAGGTGTGTAGCATTAAATATAAAGATGTCAGCTTGAAAAATAACAACTGGGGAAAAAAATATTGTTTATTGACTTCTGTATGAGTAGTTCACAACTAATATGGCTTCTTTCTGTAAGTAATTTTGTGGGGACTTTGACTTTTTACATACTACGTATTTATACCCCTAATGTACTCCGTGCATGTATAGTAAGTACTGTACTCCGTATGTATATTCATGGTTCGGGGAGTCCCGCAGAATTGGACTTTGCCACTAGAGAAATCCCCTAATTAACTGGGCTTTAGATAACTAGTGTGGGCCATTCTGGAATAACAATATCTATGAGAACGGCAGAAACAAATGGGTAAAATTACCCGAACGAAACGGATTTATCCGCATAATATATTCTTATTAAAAAAATAGAATCCGCTATTGACTAACGTATCAGACCACGGGTATCGGGTGAAATAAAGAATGATTAAAGCCAGTAGAAAAAAATGTGGGGTGTATAGTGATTAAATCAGTCAGTCCCCAGTGAAAGAAAAATAAAGGATAGCAAGGAAGGAAGAAGTAGGAAATACGGAAATTTTTGTTCTAAACTTGAAATATTAAATATTACCTCCCACCCATCCCATGCATTTCCGTGTATGGTTTGCCTAGTATTCGTCTTGAAAAATAAAGAGATGAATAAAGAAATTGGGAAACTAGAATTGCAGATAAATAACAAAATAACGGTTGGTGTCGAAATTAATAGCTGATGGATGCAGAAAGATAACGTGAAAAAGCGGGGACAGCAACGAAACTTAAGCTAAAAAGACCAGGGTCTGTGGTAGGGGATGGGGACGCTACAAACTAAACAACCCTTTGGTTGTGGGGAAGAGAAGAGAAGAGAAATAATAAAGGATGAAGAAGGGAAGTAATTCCTCCTACCGTTTTTAAGGAGCTGTCTTAGAAAGGCGAAGTAGAGGGGCAGTTACTCAATCGCCATCTTGAGTTTGGCGATTGTGGTATTGGGGGTGATGGAGGGACTGCGGGTGATTGTCCCCCATCATGCAAGCCGTATGAAAATTTCCCCAAACTCCTCATGACCATTCTCATATCGAATACACTTCTCTTGCCTCGCGTACAATGCTCCCTTCGTCGCTAACGTGAGGGTATGAAGCAGTGCCTGCGTGGCGACAATGCGGCTGTTGACTGCTGATGGAAGGAGGGTGGAAAATGAAATCTCGACGAATGCAGTAGGGATAGCAGCATAATCGTCATCATCATCGTCATGATGCCCGCCCTTAGTACTAGCAGCAGTTGGAGTGTTTACATTTTCCTCACCTGCTTCTCCAATTTTATTTTTGACAAAGTCAAGGAAATTCGCACTCTCCTGATCTAAAGTGGCTGCAAGCCATTGAGATTCAGCGGCGGTTTGTGTATCAACCGCAGCAGCAGGTCCGTACAATTCAAAGGAATCGTGATGATGGCTACGGATGGCGGTGATATCATCGTGTCCCACGACGGAGATATCGAGGTCAATGTTACTGTCTAGGTTGTCTCTCACGTCGAAGTCCTCTTCATCCGCGATTGAAATATCTCCCATACCTTGGCCAATTCTCCCGCGGCTGGCGAGGGGACTGGCACTGGTCATCCGTCTCATCCGTCTTCCAAATGCTGTTGATGGGCCGCCCATGACGCTTCCGTCTGGGCCACCACCACTTGTGATGGAGTGAGGACCACCAATGCTGGAATAACCCCCCACGCTTGGGAGAAATTGGCGAGAGTGGATGGAAGAGCCTGGCTGGGAGCCTCGGATTGAAGCAGTGATATTCCATGGCATTTGAGAGGAAGCATCATCGTACATTGGCGGAGGCGCGTGGCGGCCTACTTCGATGTCCTGAAGCTGTGGATGTATTTTATATTTGTGTTAGTTGATTATAGAAATTACCCAGCAGCTGGCGAGAGTATCTGCGACATCATGTCATACCTCAAATCCGATGCCATAGTTATCGTCATGTTCGATCACATGTCCACGTTCAATTTCATCCTCCAATTCTCCTCTCATACGCACATTTCTCGTTTCATCTTCTGAATCAGCATCTTCGTCCGCATCCCGGCTTCGTTTGCGATGAGTTGTGCTGATTTTGTTTCCTGTTAACGTCGCTAGCATCTGCTCTCCAGAGAACATATCCAGAGGGTGTTCACAATCCAAAACACCCAAGGCAATGCCGACACGGCAAGTTCTGTCCCCCATTACCCAGTACGCAGCATTTTTCTTTGCAGAGGTTATAAGTTTGTTATTCTGTTTGAGTTTTGCTGCGAGAGCCATGTTCTGCGCGTAATCCGAATTCCATCGTGCTAGATCAGAATTTCTCAATTCTGGAGGGTCATCGAATCCGAAATATTTAATAACCCTTTTTCTTAAACGATGCTGCGCCTTTGGGGTTTCAGATGATCTTTCAGTTGACGGCTCGAAGCTAGGATCGGCTCCGGAATCGAGTATTGAAACCGGATCTCCAGAGCCAAAGTTGCTACGGGCTGCATCATTCATTTCCACGTCATCGTGGAGAACCATCCCGTCTTCGAACTGTAGATGGCGAGGATGTCAGAACCCGTTAATATACCACTATACCACTGCCAAATGGAACTCACCTGATGTTGAAAAGCTTGGAAATCTCCTTCTTCTGCCATCCGCCTAGAGTTGACGTTGGCGGAACTCCGTCCAGAAATCGCAGTTACTTTTTCTTTCGGAGTTGGCTTTACTGTTAGTTCAATTATATTTCCTTCGCCGTCGAACTCAAAGTCGGGTTGCAGCAAAAAACCAGTCTCTTCCGCGAACGGTGCTGGAAGCTCAAATTGGGTTTCTTTCCTAGCACTGCTGCCGATATCACTGGGGAACCCAGAGGCACCCGCACCAAGACCGCCTATATCTGACGACGAGATGTTTAAGTGAAGCTGGCCATCTGAGAGCTGGCTAGATTTGCTTGATGGGACAAGGACACTTGATAAAAGGCTGGATTTGCGAGGAGATCCGATGTCTGAGGAGATTTCCAGCGCAGAGAGATCTACGTTTAGCCCTGGGAGCATTAAATCAGGTATGAAAGAAGGGTCGTCTGGAAGGACAAGCTGGTCAGGCCTGAGGGGGTCAGTTAGTGATTTGACCCTAATCAAGGGGAAACCAAGGATTGGGTTACAATACATACCTCGCTTTTCCAGCATCGGGATCCAATGCCGTCGAACGAACCTCCTTCAGCATTAATTTCATCCTATCCCGCATTGTCTGCGCGTCCATCAACGCATATCCGCACTGCTGGTGATACACCCTTGAAACCCCATATCTAAAACCGAATCCTCAGCCAATTTAGCAACAGGCCTAAATATCAGATTATGACGAGTTTTTTTTTTTTTTTTTTTTTTTTTTTGTCTTAGACTCACAGCAAATTCCCCTGTAGCCTCAAGGCCATCGGCGCCTCAGGATGTATAATGGTTTCGCAAGCTTTTGACACGTCAACCTCGAGAATAGCCTTGCGATTCACCTTTCTAGTTGCTGATTTCGCGCCAAGTGTCGCGACCAGCCTGCCAACGTAGGGCACAGAGCAAAAACGCATCAGTTAAGAGTATTGATATCGAACACCAAAGAGGCGTGTACATAGAAATCGCATAATAGCGAAATAACAAAGAATCCACATTGGAGCTACTGGAACGAAGAACCGGGTGGGAGGAAATAAAACTGCGTTAACCTACCAAACCGTCGCGACACCATGCTCGCGGGATGTGAGGACTGCGCGTGAGGAATATATTTCATCAGCGATACGTTCCATAATATAGTGGCGTGATATTGCGCTGGCAAGAAACGTTTAAACGCCCTGTCTGGCCAACTATTGTATTGCGGCCCCAACGGCCATTTCAAAGAAACATGTCCCTCAAAAACAATTAATAACGATAGTACTCACTCTCATGACTGTAGAACATCCTGCCAGTTCCACTCTATGCCTGCACTTCTTATCGTATCGCTTTGTGGCCAAGGCGCGGAATTAAAGGGGCTGAATTGACGTGATGTCTCCTAACACAACTCCCTATACGTTGTGCTCACTTATAGATAGCAGCTCGATAGGCGGGCAGGCGACAAATTCCCGCGCACGCGTCCTCCCCTTCCCCGGTCTTTTCCCTTGCTATGCTGAGCAACAGGGGCAAGGGTTTGGGGTATAGCCCCTGAGAATTATAGGCGCGGATAGGCGTAACTAAATATGTGCGATAATGATTGCACACAGCATAAAAGGTTGGAGATGGAAGGAGGGTCAAGCAAGATGCGAGAGCGACGAGGTTGAGGAGGGAGACGAAGCGGAGGAAGAGGGGAAAGGGGAAACGCGTCACGGGGGCCGTTGGGCGGAGCGGAGTCACGGGGTCGCAGCTTGCGGAATACGGATTGTATATGGAAGCAAGGGATGTATGTATGTACGGTACAAACATGTGTACGCATGCTGGAGAGTGTATTGTATATAACACTTGAGACAGGCTTCGACTGGTTCCCTCCCTATCCTGAGCTGGTGACTTACAGAAGGGCATATTTAACTAGCCTATTAGCCACACAATTATAAAACAAAGCAAATACTCAGACAACCAAGTAGTCGAATCCAGGGATTGGAATGGCCATTCCGCAGCCACATACCCTGTGGGAAACGGAAAAGGCGGAATATAGAAAATTGAGAAAAGTGGGTATGTTTGTAAAAATCTTCTGTTTAGGTATCTGATAAGCATCACAAGTTGCCGTTGGGATCTCTATTCGGCAAAGAGGAAAACGGGACAGAAAATGCTTCGCAGTATCAGCCGCTGGGAGAATATTTTGGATTTAATCTATATCTCTCTCAGCCAATTTCTCCACCCTTTCTGCCCGGATCCCCTCTATTCGTTTTTCGCGTCCAATCATGAACGAAAAGAAGAGGCATGGGGAACAAAAGCCGGGTGGAGACAGAAGGCCTCCCGGAAATAGAAGTCTATGCAAGTAGCGACAACGACATTAATTAAAAGAGCTGACAATGACGAAGAAGAAATTCAGCCCCAAGAAATGGGAATTTCTAATGGTAACGCACAAAACAATGAAAGAGCCCAAACTACTCTCAGCTGGGTAGAAGGAAGAGTATATAGTCATCCAGGAAGAAGAGTAATGAGAAGCGGAAAGAGAGGAGGGAAGAAATTGACCACATAGCGTAATCAATTATCGAAAAGGGAGAAAGGAGAAGATGAGGTCAAAATGAATAAAGTGGTTGCCACGCCTGGGATTTATGTGCAGCAAATCCATCTGCACGGGTTCATTTACACGAATAAGGACGCACACATTGAGCAAAAACGAATGATATAGAGAGATGATATAGAAACAAAACCAAAAATATGATGATCGTTAGAAAAATTTAAAGTAACGTGTGCGAATATGCTGTGACACGGATAGCTTGCTTTTCAAATTCTGTTCGAAACTGAGGGATGCTGGTTCCAGTTAGCTGAACAATCAACCTTCGCCTTACTCCAACGGGATGCCTTCATATTCCGAATACCCAAGTGCGAGATTCATGTTTTCTAGTTCGCGCAGTGGGTTAGCACAGAGTTTGTCATATCACACAAACATGAAGTTCAGGCAAAAAAAAGGATAGACAAAATGTGAAATAAAAACTTACGAAGACATTGAGTCGCAGCTCCCTTCAGCAGATTATCAATCGTGGCGCAAACGACCACTCTCTTCCCTCCGGAGTGGACCGCAAAGCCTCCAACCTCAACTCCGTGACGACCGGCGATGTTCTTCACAAGGGGTGCCTCGCCAACGACCTTGACAAGTTTCTCGCCAGCGTATCTATCCTGGTAGAGATTGCGGATGTCACGCGACGACATTGTTTCCTTCAGGGGGATGTTGATGGTGTGCTAATGGAGCCGATATTAGAATATTTTAGTTAAACTACCGGAATAAACAAATGGACGTAGAGATATTGTGTGGGAAGGAAAGAAAAAGAAAAGAAAAGAAAAGAAAAGAAAAGAAAAGAAAAAAACATACATGAATACCCTGGAACCATGACGCCACATGAGGAATAAACGCAACCTCAACGCCAAGCTGCGTGCTAATCTCTCGTTCGTGGATATGATCCGTCAAACTGTATGGGACGAGGTTATTGGTAAGGTGCTCGACATCGTTCTTAGGACTGGGCTTGGTTCCGGCTCCCGAATACCCAGACACACCAAAAACGGTCGGTCGTCCATCAAGGTGCGGGACAAGGGGTGCAATGCCTACTTGGGCTGCCGTGGCGTAGCATCCAGGGTTGGAAATTCGGAGCGCTTTAGCGATAGAGGGACGGGTAACCAGTTCGGGCAGGCCGTAGGTCCAGCTGTCGTCAAATCGGTAGTCCGCACTGAGGTCCACGATCACGGCTTTTTCCTTGTCAACTTGGTCGATGGCGTCGACGAACGGCTTGCAGACGCCGTTGGGCAGCGCCATAACCCAGCAGTCGACGTCGCCGTGGTCTGCCATGCGCCGCACGTCGTCGGCGCTGAGGTTCTCGTAGATGATTTTCCGTTTGCTGTAGCCTTGCAACTCTTGACCGGCGAGTTCGCGAGAAGACACATGTCGGAGATCCATGAATGGGTGCTCGTTCATAAGATTGATGAGAGCCTGTCCCGTATATCCACGCGCCCCGATCAGGGCCACCTTGGACGGCTTAGAGTTCGACACATTCTTTTCGCCAAGAGGGGGGTTTGGGTTGGTGGTGGTATATGATCGAGAAGACTGGTAGTTACCAACGCCAAATTGTCGTTTTCTTTGGGCACGGAGGATGCCCGAAGCGGTAGAAGTTGAAAATGCGCGTTTCTGTTGCCCTGCTGACCCAGAGGCAGCAGTTTGGCTGGACAGAGCCTGCGCGGCTTGTTGGAACTTGGACTCCAGAGCATTACCGCCAAGCATGTCGCTGCCATGTTTACTGAAGTCCGCGATGAGCTCCTTGATTTCGTCACCGCTTTCAATGCCAGTCCAGAAGAGCACCTGGCCACCACGGCTCAAACTCCCTTGGGCTTTGTCAAAGAACCATGTTAGATTTTCATCATCTTCATTAACTGTCCAGACGAGCTTGGGGAAGTCTTTCTGGATACTGTCGAAGACATTGTCGGCAACCTGCTTCAGCCATCCAGCTTTGGTAATGCTGAGGGTCGTTAACTGAGCGAGCGACGATCCAGGCTTGGGAGGCAAAACTACACCTAATGCTTCCATAGGCTCGTCCAGGTAGGCTTTGAACTCGCAATTTTTCAAAGACTGTACGTATCTGTCAACGGTCGCTTTGGCATCCAATCCCTCACGATCGCGGACGAGGGCATTTTTGAGCATTTCAATATCCTCAAATTCGTCCAGGGAAGATTTGATGTGGACCTTGTTACCTCTGCGGATCAAAGTCCCCGCCCCCGTATCCGTAAACAATTCCTTTTGCAGATCAGCAGGATGGATGATAGCCACGCTGGACGTTCGAGGAAGGTCCATGAGCAACTCCTTCATCTCCTTAATCTTCAGTCTGGTGCCATGGCGCACCCACCACTGCTTCATCAGATGATCGTACTCCTCATCCAGGTTGATGGCGGAGATTTTCTCCCCCGTGTCACCGTTAAACAGGCCCCCCTTCTCAGCAAGGTAGACAATCTTCAACGGCTGCAACGCCCTCGCAAGTTCACCCGCCGCCACGTCGGCGTTGACATTCAGAATCTGACCCTCCGGCGTCTCCGCCATGGAAGTCAAGATGGGCAGGCAACCGGCCATAATCGCAGCCTCGATGGGGGTCTTGTTGACGCCATTGATCTTGCCGACCAGGTTATACTTTTCCTTGTCGAGGTAGTCTGCCGAGAAGACTCCCGTGGTAATCGGCCTCGCCCGCACGCCCAGAGCCTCCAGCGCCTCGACCAACTTCAGGTTCTCGTCGAGGAACAACGACCTTGCAAGCGCCAGCGTCTTTCCATCCGTAACCCTGATGCCGTCTTCGAATTGTGGCTCCACGCCGGCAGCTTCAAGCATTTTATTCAGCTGCGGGCCGGCACCGTGGACGACAATTGGGTAGAGGCCGACATGGTTGAGGAACGCGAGGGCGGAAGACAAGGTCTGCAGATGCTCGGTGAGGATAGCCCCACCCACCTTGATGACGGCGAACTGCTGCGAGGAGACAGAGGTGAAGTGGGACAGGTACTGTTGGACCTCTCTCTTGGAACCAATGTTGCTCAATAGCTGCACAACGGTTGAGCGAGTGGAGGGGTGCGGCCGAGATTGAGGAGAATAGTGTCGTCTTTCACGTCGAGAAGGGGACGAGGCAAGTGCTGTACATGCCGGAGTGAATCGCCTGGTCGCTGTTGAGGACAGGAGCCGTTTGGCAGGGCGTATGAGGGGGTGTGAGAGAGCTCCCGGCGCACGGAGCCGAGCAGTGATCATCTTGCCGGCGAACATGCGGCAGCTTTCAGCTGGAAAATAATACCAGACACAGACTGCAGACGAATTGTATCCGGAGGGATTGGGATGCCTTGGTATATCAATTGGGCGGGCAGAAAATGGGATGTTGTGGTCTTTTCGGCGGTTTGTTGAGGGCAAAGTTGTGTGAACCTGAGCGGGATATGTGACTGGACGTTCCGTGGTGGGCCGTGCACGGATCGTAACTCTCGTGCAACACGCCCAAAAAAAATAAAATAAAGAAAAATAAAGAAAAAAGAAAGAAAGAAAGAAAACAGGTAAAAACCAAAACGGGACGTGAGCAGCGTGGCGCTCAATTCCACTCACGCAAGCAGCTGAAAATTCAGAACCGAATGGGCTTTTTTGTTGGCGGCTTCGAATTTTTCAGGCTTCGATGGGGAGAGATTTGATTGATAAGATTGCACAATCTGCGCTAGCAAGTATTGGGAATAGCGCGTTACTCGATTGTTTCTGCATTACGTACGGAGTATGTAATTAACATCATCTAGGGGAGGTCAACTATGCGGTGGAATTGGAAGAGAACTTGATTGAATGTGACACCCTGATGTTGGGATTTTTAAAATGAAAAAAAAAATAGCATCTTCTAGGATAATTTTTTAAAGAATTTTTGTACGTAGACTGAGAAGGGGGGAGGTGAGGTGGTGCAAGGAGTAAAACTTCCTAGCCTTTCACGCATGATTGGTAAATCAATTACTACTCTCATTTCAATCCTTCGCAGGGATCAACGGGAGTGGTCTCGGGAAAGATCGATCCCCTGTCTACGATGCTGTATATAGAACGTGCGGTTCATTCATTGATCCCCGTTTCTGTTGTCCTGACTTGTTGTTCTCCAAATTCAAGCCTGACATTTAAAACCCCGGGACTCTCTATACATAGAGCTACAGTTTCGCCTCTCCGGCTTTTTGCAACGGCCGCTGACTCTTCTGCTGCTGATTCAGTCAGTTCATATATATTATTCTCGATTAGGCAGATATAGAAACACGTTTCATTAGTATAGCCGCTAACGGGAAAGATTCCCACACAAGAAATGGAGCGCGAAGGGAAGAGCAAACAAAAAATCACTGGTGGTAGTATCATCTACAGGTGCATCGAGTTCTTGGCCACCCATTTTCGTTTCGGGATGGTTTTCCGGCGGGATCTAGCCCAAAAGCTCGCGCATGGATCAAGGAGAACGGTTAAAAGGCAAGAGGAGAACAGACAACACAAAACAGCCAAGAGCCAAAAGGAAGCGGGGAAAGAGCAATATATCAAAGCAACTTGCGCCGAGAGGAGGGACATGACAGGTTAAGAATATTAAAACAGAACAAAGAGCATCAAAAATCATCGGACACAAAATTCATCGACCCGAAGACCGGAACCCGTGAAAATCAACCACTTTCATCATCGATCTGAGGGGCACAGCAAAAGGACGGGTTGATATCCATGCTTGAACGTGCTTGAACGTGCGTTCGTAAGAAAGCGACGGCCTGTCCCAATCATTTTTTCAATACAACTACAAGGAACAGTCAGTTATAAAAGGTTTCTAAGATATCACGAGCGACATGACCAAGTCGACCTAAAGACGGTGCTGACGATATCCGACGCATCCGTCAAACCAGCCAGCCAGCCATCGAGGCGGAGGGAATACAGGAATGTCACCCACCAGAAGGCACAATAATAACGACCAGCAGTAAAATGATCCCGACGATTATGCATATGCGCATCTTGAAGTCCTTCCACCACATCTGCTTTCTCACTCTGTTCGCTCCGCGACGGAAGCCTTGGGCGGAAACGGCCAAGTTATCGGTTTTGTCTTGCAAAGAATCGAGATTTTCGCCACGCTGGGAGACTTTATTGATGTTCTCACGCATTACACCGACGGTATCATCGATTTGCTAGACGGATGAAAATCACAAAGCATGAGTTAGCGATGTAGGTTTTGAAGAGTATGAGAGATAATGTTGGTTAGGTTGGGGGGGGAAAGAAAAAGAAAAAAAGGCCAAAAAAAAGGGCTCTTTCCCCCCTCCCCTCCCCTCCTCTCCCCCCAAGCAAGGCGAGGAGAAGAAGAATTCCATCGAAATATAGAAGTGGGCCGCAGTGGCACAGGAACTTCTTCACCTGGGTGAAGCCGTTTTCTGCGATCGCGGATTGAAAAGAAGATGACCGGAGCAGGACGGGAGGGAGAGGGAAAACGGGAGAGAGGAGTGAGGATAACTCACAGCTTGAAGCGCTGCTGTTCTCTGATTTCCGCCATTTCCACTACCGGCAACAGGCTGGTTAGATCCAGAGGGGATATAAGGATCATATGGTTGTTCGCGGTCGGCCATGGCTGGGGGGAGATGTGGAGAATGAGGCGAAGGCGATTAAGAAGGCGGTTGCGTGGCAGTTGGCTGATATGGTACCGATCTTTGTCGTTGGCCAGCAAGATAAAGCGCCGGGCGAGAGGGGTTTCCGGATATGTCTGGCGATGTCTTGGACAGCGGATAGCGGGTAGGATGGGTATAGTAGACGAAGTTGGGGACGGCGGGAGCAGCTAACGATGGAAAGTGAAGTTGATGAATGCTGGTGGTTGGAAGTTGAATGAGCGATGGGAAGTCTGACAGCCAAGACTGGCGCGCGTTCCAGGAATGCCTGCTTATATAAGCTCCACTTGCTCAACCGGGACAATGTAACCATTTTACATGTATTTTTGTATTTTACATGCACTTCTTGCTGGGGCCCTTGTTACACAGCTGACCCCTTGAAAGTTACGTACGTACAGGGCAAAGCGAAAAATACCCTACAGGTTTGGAGGACTGCGAGTATCAATTCCTTGCTTGCTTGCGCTTGTTTCAACGGATGAGATCCCAAAAACCCAGATCCCTCAGGGGCCATGAGTTTGAGCTTGGCTGGTTCCACCGCAACAATGTGCAAGAAACAGACCTTGAGTCTCCTCCACAGCTCATCATCGATCCAGAGTGGTGATTGATTGATGCCTACACGTCCCACCACCCCTTGGCGGGATCTGAGAAACCTTAAGATACCAACCGCTGGCATCGTTGGCCTGGATACAAGGATACAACGATACAAAGAAGGGGAGGGCTCAGCTCCTCCTTGACCCTCGAACCATATCCTGTCCGTAGAACCCAGTTAAGCTCTTGTAGGTTTACACATTTCTTCTCTTTGTTTGCCCCTTATTCTCCAGTTTTATTTTATTTGATATTTCATGTTTATTTTACATCACTCTTTGTTTTAAATGTTGTTTGAAATCCGAGCATTGCATGTAAAAATAGCAACATTTCTGCCTGAACCGTGGATGAAAGGAGTTGTGGAAAATCCCTCGAAGATCGAAAGCTGCAGCGGCCCCATGGGAAATATCTTCTTTCGAATTGATTTTTCAGTGGTCATAGGCACCCAGGGCCCAAATCCCAAATCCCAAATCCCCTGGCTCGGAAAGGCTGTTTGTTTGGAAATCCAACAAGTGATAAAACATGGTTTGCGGGTTTCACCTTTAACTTCTTCCCATATTTGAAAATAATCTGGAAGTTCAGGAACAGGAACAAAAGTTTCATCACCGATAAAACAAATAAACCCTCTATCCCGCTTTCTCTTCATCCACCAAAAAAGAAAAAAAGAAAAAAAGAAAGAAAAAAAGAGAACGAACAGTGGTAATATCTCATTCTATGATGACTGCAGACATCCATGCTCAAGAACTACTATGTAGTATGACACACAAATGCTCAGCAGCAGAATTGCTCATCTCTTTCCTACAGATTGCCATCCTAATTACATCCGCCCGCAGGAGGCCGCAATGAAAGCTTATTTGGTGGAGACCTTTCATCCCTTATTTACAAACCTTCGCCCAAGTTGTTGGACGCGTCTCTCGAAAGTAATAGACTTATCCAAGGATGCATGAGGAATAATTCGACCAAAAAAAAAAAAAATCCCCGGATATCCATCCCAAAAGAGGAGAACGAGTCCTCAAAGAGATATAGACAGGGGTTTCTTCTACAGTAAGCCGATATAAAAATAACTACTAAATTTCTTCCCTGACCTTTGTTGCCAGATAGATGATAGATTCTCCCGAATGGGCTTCGTTAGGCCTGGAGGCGTTCATAGCTTAACTTTTTTTCAGTTTTTGAAACGCCCCAGTCAATGATGGTAATTGTAAGGTAGTTGTCAGAGAGGCATTTGCAATGTCCTAGGAGTTGACACTATCATTAACGTTGCTGGGATGTTGTATTCGCATTTGCGATTCTCGATAGCAGATGGGGTTTATGTGCAGCTCCTGACGAATCGCAAGCACGAATTAACGAGTCAGTCGTACCACAGGGAGGGGAAGGAAGGAAAAAAAAAAAAGAAAGAGAGAGAGAGAGGCAGTTAAAGTTGAATTTCCAAGCAATTAAGTTGAATCTAACTCCGTATAGATGCAGGCGTTATATGAATCCTCCTTCATTCGTGCCGCCAAAGCTCTGTTGCTATGAGTCCGAGTTTGCAGTTTGAAAGCAATAAGCCGAGCAGTAACGCGTCTTTAAGCTAACCTTGGCAGTGATGACAATTTGGGTCATGCCGCTATGAGCAGCGTCCGAAATTGCGGATCATGTTTATTCCTCAGTCTGCAGGCGCAGGTTTTAAGGGCAACCATTGCCGTGATGTTCTTCTATGGAAAACGCTCAAGCAACTTGGTACAAATATTACATTGGCGAGAGAGCCTGATGTCAGATTTGCTGGACTCTCAAATGTTGAGTTTAGAAACCGTACGCCGTACGGTATATACAGGATTGTAAGCAAACAAGAATGATCATCAAATCGTCAAGTCATGAGAAGGATTAAGGATCATAAGACATGGGACGCCCGCTGAGTCTGGATGAATCTTCTGTCAAAGAAAAAATGAGACGAAAAGGGCCATTCGGTGGAGAGAGTAGGTACAAGATGGAGAAGAGATACGTGGACCCAAAATGAATATTCATATCCAAGAAAAAGAAATAGCGCGTGCACACAAACCTCTAAAGACGCCGGCTCACGACGTCGGCTTCCGTCCGTACACAATGGAAACAGGCACATAACAATGAATCGACCGATCAGCCATAGCCTCCCGAAACTTGGCCAGCAGGACCTGCACCTCCGCCATGTCCCAGCCCATCACCCTGGTCAGCAGCGCCAACGCCCACCCATCCATCCCTTGCAGGCACTCCAGATAATAAAACCTCCCCACCTCCTTGAGCGCCTTATCCTTCGGCCACGAACCCAGGGGCATCTTCAACCTCGTCTCCGTAACGTCCACAAAACCCGCCTTCTCCATCTCCTCCCGCTGCCGTTCCATGATCGTCGTCGTCTTCCCCAGCCGCTCGCCCACTTCGCGGAACTCGCGCCTCCAGATATTCAACGCATGCTTCTCGTCGGCCGGTATCGTGTTGTCGTCTGGTTCCATCCACACGGCGCGGTTGGCGACCTGGACGTAGCCGCCCGGTTTGGTGGTCTCGTAGCACTGGGCGAGGAATTCGGACCAGTCCGGGATGCAGCCGAAGAGGTCGCGGACGTGGATGAAGTCCATTGAGTTTTTCCCGTAGGTCCAGGGATACTCGGTGCAGTCATCAATCATGAAGGAGACATTGGGAGGGACCCAGGTAGGTTGTGTGGGTGATAAGTCGGTGCCGATAACTGTGGCTTGCGGGTGTTCTTCAGCGAAATCGATGGCCCAGATGCCTGTTTAATGGAACATGATTAGCTAATATATATATATATATATATATTTTGCTTTTTGCTTTGCTTGAATCCTTGATAGGCGGAGCGGAGTGTCTGAATTTGGATTTGGGCAGCGGTGGGTAGGTAGGAGATTTTGTTGTCGTATAGGTTGAAGGACGGACGATATGGAAAAAATCGGCTCAAAAACATACCCGTTCCGGTCCCGACATCGAGAACTTTCTATTTCACAAAATAATAAATATAATTAGTATATCATCCGTTATTGCACAACTCTGGAACCTAGAGTTTACGTATAATGTAATGTATATGGGCGGCTAAAAATTGCATGCAATTTGCGATTCGCGACTCTTCCCCCGAAATGGCGAAAAGCAATTGATCCCCAATGGTATCGATGTCCAACTAAAACCGAACAGAGACTTGGAGGAAAAATACCTGAGGATTCCTTATCGGTGCCAGATATAACTTTTTCTTCAGAAGGAGGAGGTAAGCATGATGCCCGATATCTAACGTCTCGTTCGCTTTCTCGTCGTTCGGCGCATAGTAGGCTCCGTCTTTATAGCCATGATATCGTCTCCCGTGTTCAAGTCGGAATTTATAAATACTCGATGTAACCGATGTGGTTTCGCTCGCCCTATTTTAAGGGTTTTCCGGGGTGGGCGGAGGGGTTTTGTTAGTGTTATTGTCCCATCTATGGCTGTAGAGGGAGGCATATATAAGTAGAGCATATTGTATATATGTATATGCTGTGTAGTACATATATGTATCAGAGAGTTTTTGAAAGAATCTCACAGGTCGCCTCCATAGCTGGAATCGGTATCATCCTGGTCAACTACTAGTACAGTGTCTTGGGGGTCCCCGGTGTCCATTTTAGCAAATGCACGGCGCAGCGGAGGTATCAGGTCTGTGGAGGTGATAAACAGTTGTATTTGCGGGACTCCCTGGGACAAACAGACATCTTTTAGTTAACTACGCAAATAATCATGACGAACTTTCTACGAGGGGTTTGCAGTGTATTTAAACTCCCTTTTTCGGTACCTACGGCACACCATACAAGGGGCTAATTTAGTGGCCTTTCATCAACCTGCTTTTGGTCCAGCATCAGAGGGTTGAACTCCAGATTCACCTGGTGCTACCACCAGGCCCCCAACTTCGGTTGATTTCTTTAATTTGTCGAGGTCATTTTAGGGCTGACTGAAGCGAAGTTAGGCCTTGCACAAACAATATATGTTTAGCCGCCCCATTCACAGAAAAATCCACCGCAGAATGGACTCTTCATTGGTGATTCTCAGCCAATACATCCCCCGCGTTTGATGCATGTGATATTGTACCCGCTAGACCCTGTCACTTTAGGGGTTCGGAAGTCGCTTTCCATTCCCGTGGCGGAGCCAATTCAGCTGTTGGACCACTGGCTTGAGCCCTTCGGCTATTATTGATGGGGCCTGGACCACGTCCTGTTCAAGCTTTGATATTACCAAAGGGTCGGCCCGCTGCTCAGACGTTGGAAAAGCGGTATGGCGTTTCTCTGCGCAATGTCCGCTTCGCATTGATTAGACGCAGGTATGATCAGTTATGTAAAATTTGGTGAGTGGTTAACTACAAGCAGCAACGGGAAGATACGAATATGCGTGCATGGAGGTTCGAAGAATAATGATAGCAATTCACCTGCCAAGCAGCCGAAGACAGGACGGTTGCCAATCGGAAGTTTTCATTCCCTTTTTCGTTTATCATAGTTAGCTTACTGCCAGCGGTTGAGGACCGTTTTCATAGGCTCACCCAGTGGAACTAGTTGAGCTCGTTAGTATTTTTGGGTCCTTTCCCCTTACACATAGTATTATATAAATTGCCTCATGCTTCATATGGCATTGTGCGGGGGAGGTAAATGGCCTTCGGGTCATTATTGACAAACAACGCGAGCGCTACGATCTCATACTGGTATTGTTGGTAGCAGGGAGCTAAAGATCGATTCTTAGCCAGTCCGCTGATAGTTATCAGATATCAATCAACACGCAAGAAGTTTGACCAATTGTTTATTCCCAAACCCCACACACCAAACGCGCTGACGGTTATAACTCCATCAGTTCACGAGAAATAGGTCGTTGTAGCAGTAGAGGGCTCGACGGGTAACGACACTGGGGTATCAAAATGGCTTAAACGGTTTTTCCACACGTCACCTCAGCCAGGTGTCTCATACCGCCCTTGCCGCTCCATGGCAGAAGGGTCAGTATGGGAAATGTATGTATGGACATGTGAAGAGCATATTTCGCACATATCCTGGTAGGTCGGTTTCATGTGGCGACTGCCAATCGATCGGGACTCGGCGGAACGTTGGAACAGCATCACAATATCCGTGGGTGGCTCTGCGATCTCCATCCGAGATCCATCCGATCTTCATCTTGGATCGAAAGCTTAAACGATTGGAAACACGATTTTATCGCCGCAGTTCTCTTCTCAACATTTCGCTTGGACAGCCAGCCAATTGATCATCAGATGGTTAAATTCCGGCCACTCACGCCCTCAATATGCCCTGTACTTCGTGTGCCCCGTAGCGCGGTAGAAATCCAAAGAGGGGGTTTTCCATCCAGTAGTTGGTTCGGTTGTGGCGCGGATTCCCGACAGCTTGAGCCTGCAGCGGCCCTGCCTAGGTATCTTCTCCACCAACTTGGCCACCACACATATCTACATACCTAGGTACAGTGCAAGTATGCAGACCTTCCCGTGGTCCTTGGGCTCGCGTGATCACAAACAGCCGCCCTCGGTGGATGAGCTAAGCGCCCTGGATGACGCGCGCCTAGAACACAGCCACCGTGACAAATACGGTACTAGATCGGATGAGGCAAAAATGTATTTATCGGCGGTAACTTACGGAAATCCCGGCCCTACACGCGTCCGATCAGAGGCGAAATCGATGTAAGGACCAATACCAGTGTCTCAGCCAGTCAGCCCTCAAACCACTATCCCGCTATCTCTCCATTTCTATCTCCATCCACCTCATCCTCGTTATTGACATCCCTCTCCCAACCGGCTTCCATCACCCCATCACCCCATCACCCCATCACCGCGATCTCCCTCGCTTTCCATCTCTTATGTTCACTCGTTTATTCATGTCCTCTTGTCGTCCGGATATTTAGATAAGCTGGTCGGTGACGTTCCATCTTGAGATCCTTCCTGCGTCATATCGTCGCCGTTTAGCAACTTCTCCTCCCCCCCCCCGTTCAACCCGAAACTTTGCTCTTCCACGAATTCTAACGTCTTCTACTGTGTGGCCCCTACTATAGAATTGAAGTGTCAAAGCACAAAAACAGGGCGGACGGAACTTGATCCAATTTGGATCCTCGCCATCCCCAACTCCCCTTACCGTAGATGTCCGTCTGAACTCAAGTTTCCGGAGACACCAAAACATACTCTCTCCTTTGTCCCCTGGACAACTGGTACCCCTTGGTACCCCTGGCATTATCTCGTCCCGCATTCCGCTTGAATTCTTCGTTGTTTAACCATGAGATTCTTTTCGCACTTATCGTCGGCGTCCGCCAGTCAGACATGCACCAATTTCATATTATTTATATTGCTAGGGGCCCAGGCGGCTCAGGCTCAGCAAGGAATTCCGTTGGACATTAAAGATCCAAGTACGACCCAGTTATCCATTTCCCAGATTGTGTTTGCTCTTTTATTGTATATCGATTAGCATAACTAACCTTGCCTCTGAATTAGATTCGATCAAGAGTGCAGCGAAAATTGTTGCTGAGAAAATGGTTTCCTATTACACTGGCTGGAAACCAGGAGATGTGCCTGGCAACTTGCCCGACCCATACTTCTGGTGGGAAGCTGGTGCCATGTTCGGCGCGTTAGTTGATTATTGGTACTATACTGGCGATGATCAATTCAACAACATTACGACGCAGGCGATACTTTTTCAAGTGGGGAAAAATAAGGACTTCCAGCCTGCTAACCAGTCCCAGACCTCTGGGAACGACGATCAGGGGTTTTGGGGAATAACTGCTATGGGTGCCGCCGAGGATAAATTCCCGAATCCGCCCCCTGACCAACCGCAATGGCTTGCTCTGGCTCAAGCAGTTTTCAACACACAAGCAGTCCGGTGGTACAACGCGACCTGTAATGGCGGCCTGAAGTGGTCCATCAACACTTGGGGACGCGGATATATATACAAAAATACCATTTCGAACGGATGCTTCTTCAATCTTGCTGCCCGACTAGCGCGGTACACAGGCAATGAAACATATTTTCGCTGGGCGGAATCGTCCTGGAATTGGGTGAGCGGCGTTGGCCTCGCCAGCCCAAAATTCGAATATTACGATGGCGCAAGCGATGCTGGAACCGATAACTGCACCGAAAAAAATCACATACCTTGGACTTATAATGCTGGAATCTTCATGTCCGGAATCGCCAGCATGTACAACATTGTGAGTTATCATCCCCTCTGTTCTCTTCCGTACCTACTGCGCTCCCCAATAAATATTGAACTCCCGAATAAATATTGATGTAACTATCTCCATATAGACAACTGGCAAGGAACAAGAGGCTTGGAAACAACGTCTCGAAGGAACCATCAAGCAAACAGAGATTACGTTCTTCCCGGAAAGGAAAGGTCGAGTCATGACCGAAGTTGTTTGTGAGGATGCACCGGGCATCAAAGTGTGTAATGCAGATCAGCGGTCATTCAGAGCTTACCTTTCCCGCTGGATGGGCCTGACCGTAAAACTTGCCCCGTTCTCGAAACCCCTGATCATGCCAATGCTGCAGCGGTCTGCCGAAGCTGCCGCGAGGCAGTGCAGTGGGCCAGGCAATGTCTGTGGTTTGCGCTGGTCGCACCAAGACAAGTGGGATGGTGACCAAGGTGTGGGCGAGCAAATGGCAGCGATGGAGGTGCTCCAAAATAACCTAGTTGACCTAGTTGCCGGCCCTGCAGACGCGAAGACCGGTATTAGCAAGGGTGACCCAAATGCGGGAGAGCGTGTAGGTAGCAAGCCCGTCGAATTTTCAGAAATTACAACCGGTGATAAAGTTGGGGCTGGCTTTGTGACATCGATAATCTTGTTGGCTGTTCTTGGCGGCGCTTGGTGGTTGGTTTCCTAAATGCGAAGAAATAAATGGGCGTAGGGCAGAACGGCTGGCGTGTTGGATATCGAAAGATGAACGTAGTTCATAAGGTGACATCATTCGTTTCTAGGGGGTAAGTGGATCAAGAGTTTTGCCCGATAAGAATGAAGGAACCTGCTCTCTCTTCTATAATGTCCATGTTTCATGCTTTTAACATTCGAATTTTTCATTCCCAGCCCTGTTTATTTCACTTACCGGTGGGAACTGGCTGGTAGTAGGAGGATGTTTTTGTCCATTTTTCTTCCATTGCCTGACTTCCCACCACTGTCCGGTGTTTATTTATTTGCATATAACCATTATCTATTGGTTTTATCCGGCATCGCTTGCGGTTCTATTGCCGCCTTTTTCCTCTATGATTCTTCATTATTTCTCATTGCTTGCAATACTCCGTGTCTCTTGATTCCTCCATTTTTCGTACTGGTCCTTTCTTCCACTTTCTTCCTTTCTCATTTATTTTTCATTGTCCCTCTGTAACTTATCCTGGGTTGGGCAAAACATGTTATTTTGTGGTATTTTCATCTTATATTAGTTATTATTATGTGTTGTAAAGGAATGAAAAAAGAAGAAAAAATTTTAAAAATTTAAAAAAAAAAAAAAAAACCACACCTGAAGGCACGGTGTATATTTATGCTAAACGCTGACATCATTTCTTTTCTTCTTCTTCACTATTTTCCACTAGCTAGCCTATCTTTACTACTGCATAAGACTTTTTAACCCACAAGCGCTCACCTGGTAGTATCGAATCCTCTTTCTTATCCACGGAAATAACTAACGGCTACGGATTACGATAACCAGGTTGAGCGTCACGAATAGTTATATCATATGGCAGCCAAAAGAGGAACGCCGCTTTGCTCTGCTTTGCTTCCCCCCCTTCCCTTTTTTTTTTTTTTTTTTTTTTTTTTTTTTTTTTTCGTTTTAGTAGTCGAGTTTCGCTGTTCAGTTGGGGTCTTATGGAATACCCCTTCTCCCCTCCTACGTTCGGTCCAGAAAGCTAAGCTGACAAGCATGGTTTTATTTATTTACCAGAACTGGTCTCCTGCGAAGGATAGTGATTTTTTCGCAGAAGGCAAAAGGAGAAATTGACACGAGATGGTCAATGCCTTCTTTCCCCCCTTTTCTTTTATTCAAGTATGATCGCCCATGGTACAATTTTGTGGGGGAGTTCCTCCTAGGTATTACATCTATCGTACAGTCTCATGTCGCAACTGATGAACTCCGTGGAAGATTTCGAGGGGATGTATATATATACACGATAGTGGGTAGAATAAATGTGAGAAAGGGAGTGAGATTGTACCCTTCAAGAAAAAAAGAAAACACCCCTAAACTCCGTAGACTCCTGCATTGTTTCCCGCGGCGCATATCCCCACATCAAGACCGAGGTGAAAAGGACGCCTCTTGCCTCGCCGGGGATTTTGGTGAGGATGCGGTGATCGGACCGAGCCTCCGAAGCAAGAAAAGAAAAAAAAAGAAAACTCGTCGCTTCAGGGCGGGGAGGTATGTAGTCGGATGTTACCAGTCAAAACAAAAACGGAACGGCGCGGAGCGGAGCCCGACTACGACCCTTCCGCCAGCTCCTTTCTGATCTGCGCCTTTTGTCTCTCCGCTTCTTCCAGTTCTGCTTTTCGTCGTGTCTCGACTTCTCTGCGGTTCGTGGTTTCGGATTCCTTTATGGCATGCCAGACTATATGCATTTTGTTAAGATACGAGACGAGATTATTTGTTTGGAAGATGAAATTAGATTTGAGATGAGGGCGAAAAAGGAGAGGGGGTGTTGGAAGGCTGGGTTCGAAAGGATTGAAAGGAAAGGCCTGGTTGATGAAAAGAGAGAGGGGCAGGCAGGTAGAAGAAGAAGAAGAAGAAGAAGCGAAGCGCCCCCACGTACTGGATTTATCAGACTTCGCGTGCGTCTTCAATTGCGTGACAAAGGAATCAAAGTCCTTTTGTCTCTGGTCGCGCGTTTCTAGGTTCCGTTTTTGGAGTTCCGGGTTGAATTTCTAGATGGTTTCCCGGTTTTTGCTTCGGTCAGTTTTCCCGATATTCATTCCTCCTCGCACGAATTTGCGCGCAAACGAGGAAAGGAAAAAAAAAAACTCAACTCTCCGATAGACATGTGCGGAACGTATGTGCTTTTGTTTGGTATGTGCAATTTATGATGTACTTGCGGTATGTAAGCGTACCTGGAATAATTCCTCCTCTGTTGGTCGCACATACTGGACAAGAGCTGGCCCGCCAATGCAGAGCAGTGCGCCGCTATTGTAAAGATATTTGTCAGGTAGGTAATGATAATAGAATGGGGGGAAGTTGGGGGAAGACCTACGCCCCTAGCATCTTTACCGTAGTACCTATTCTGGGCATTTTTTCCCACGTTTTTACTATTGGGATTCGAGCGGGATTCGGGAAGGAAACTTCGGGAGGGAATAAATGTTACAGCGGGGCCGCGATCCGGCCGGGCCGGCTAAGGATACGAGCGAGGTTGCAAGGGAGTGTCTCCGGCTGTTCCAAATTGACGAAACCAAATTTGATGCGTCAATGACCACGAGATTTCGTGCTGGTTGTTGCTCCGGGCGCGAGAACGAGTTTGTCGTATTGGAGGTTTTCGGATTCGGAGCTTGGAGCGGAGGTCGAGTATGTGGCGCAGTCGGCCCCAACCGGATATGGCTGAGCCATGTATGTGGCGGTGCATCGGTCGCAAATACTAGTAACCTTACCGTTTCAATTTTGGTAATATATCAACACAGCATACACCAATTCCCAGAGGATGCTGGCAGTATGTGGACTGGGGAACAGCGATCTGGGATAAGTTATCCCCGATTTTTCTACAGTCATGAGTTCCCTGATCCCAGTACAGGCTATCAATTGCGCACTTGTGGGGCCCGAGAAAGAACCGTCAGTTGGCGGATAATGCCAATCGAATTCATTCCGCAGGGATGGAGGTTCTACGGAGTGCGTCAATAAATCATTATTTGCCTCTTCTCTCCCCCCCCCAAAACTGTATGGCAGACGGGCAGTGGAAGCCAGGCCATTGTGTATCGCTTGGATTGAGGGATTTGAAGTCGACCTGCACAATATCGATATCTCTTGCTGGTTGGCTGTGGAAACCACACGGAACCAACCAACCAAGCCCTTAGGGTCGTGGTATGACTCCTCATTCGCTGTCGTTATGTGGTTCAGATGCGAAAGATGTGCTTGGGCAACAGCAAGAAACAATGCTGCTTCGTCAACCAGCAACAAGGGCGCGATCAGCATTCATTAACCCTTCATATTTAACCTGCCCGCCGTGCGGTGAATATTTTTGAGAATTGTGAAAGGCGAACACTGAGCTACAGCATAGGATGTGTTGGCACTTCGGCTGGCGCCATGGTATCTCCATCACGTGACACAAAAACGATCACATGATTATCATTCACCTCTCTAAAGTAGCTAGAAACAATAATAGTATCAAGTTGATCACCAACAGGATGCTTGAAAAAAAAATAAAATGAGCCCGACGATGATATTGCAACTCGGAATGACGACTGCGTCATTGGCCAGTCGTCGTGACATTTGCCCTGAATTCTGGAGCTTCGCCCCTTGCCATTGGTTTCACAAAGCTGGATTGGGAGGGAAATTTTTAGCCTGACACATCAGTGAAACGATGTGGGAGACGCAAACAAGGAATTGGATATCCCTTTTCCGATATCAGATCTTTTCTTTGTTTGATTCTTGAGCGTTCGCAGACACGTATTAGCACCTTGGCGCCTTATTTTTCTGGTTCTCCTGGATGGGCGGAGAAATTTCCTTCCAGGAACAAGATAGAGATGGAGAGGATATGGGACAGCAGTTGATTGTGTGTGGTGACACTATTTGACCGAGGCACTCGTAATGTCATTTTGTAGAATGCAAGAATAAGAAAGGGTTCAACGAAGCAAAGGGAAGATCTGTCTTACCACTATGATTCCTACCCATGTCGTTCAACACATATTTAAGTCGCCGAGTCGGTATTGGGTAGGAAAACTTAGACGGCTGACGATGAGAAATATTCCTTGTCGACGCTATGGATGGACAAACCTGGCATCCCACATCAGCACTTGGGGACTTGGAGAAGCTTTACGGAGTAGGACCCAGACGAGAAGTCAATTTATTTCGAGGGACTGGGCCCCGGGCCCTGGGAAGACCTTGGAAACATGGGAGCTCCGCCCAATTGAGCGCATGATGGAGAATTCTTCCTCTGCCACAGCTGGGTGAGGACAATTAAGAGATGCGACAGTAGATCTGACCAGCTGGCCCACGTACATGTAATATAGGAACTAGGATACTGGCCGTTCGTTGAATACCTCCAGGCCTCCCCAAGCTAAACGCAACGGGCCGCCGCTCTAGCCCGCAGAGTGTATTGCATCCGCGTATTTTTGGTTCGTCTGGCCTCCGGTAATAAATAACTTACCACAGTCACGTTTTCTGCAATGGGGGGAACTTCGACTTCAAATCTTCAATTTCTGCCTCCGCGACTAGCCATTTCCGCTCTCCGCTTCGGTCGCCTCCATCGATCCTCTCCTGCGTGGCTGCTACCGGGGGATTCCTCATCTGGTGCTGGCATCATTGCATTGAGCAGAGCAGACCTTTGTCAGTGCTAGTGATTGGCTGCCCTTGCATTGCGCTACGGCCAAGATTCCCCTCGTGCTGCCAGCGGCATAGGGGCATGTGAGACTTCGCAACACCCAGTTGCACAGCTTGTCATTCGTTTCTCTCTCCTGATACTTTATAAGGCGCGTTCTCTGCTGCGCGCTTCTTTTGTGCCGACACCCGCCAATGTTGGCTTTGCTGGTGGGCAGCCTCCTTTCGTGATTGCCTTTCACATCTTCCGATGCGCACCAGTTCTTATCTTGATAGCACACATGGCCTATAGTTAATTCTGGGTAGATCTAAGTCCCTGCCCTCGCGATTAAGGGTCATCTGTCACTCTTCAAATACGTCCTTCTGTTTCGAATTTGGTGAAACACCTTTCACACCTAAAGCATTTACCTCCCGTCACTAGCTTCATTCGTGGTACGAATTTAGCCCAGACCCGTCCATACTACTATCATCTTTTTCGAAGTAATCAATCAGTGGCTAATTTTAGTCTTCCAGGTGTTGTTATTCGTTACATCCTTCAACTTCTCCCAAGTTTCCAACATCTAACGAAAGCAGAGCTCGAAGGCTTGGAAACAGCACCCGCTGAAGGAATAGCTCGCAATGGCATATCCGCAGAGGGGAGTCCCTCCTCACAGACAATACAACGACAGACCACCCCCACCTCAGAATTATGGATATCACAGTCGGGGACGAGGGGGTTATGGGCCTGGGCCACGGAATCCAAACTATGACAACCGTAGACAATACCACGATGAGCGTGGGGGTTATGGAGGCGGTGGTGGACGAGGAGGTCGTGGATTCCATGATCCATATGCTCCTCCGAACCGAGGGCGTGGAGGCCCGCCGCCTGATCGGCATGGATATGGTGAGCGTCGTCCTATGAACGGACCACCGCCAGGACCGCCACCAGGACAGCTGCCGCCAAATTTTGATAAATCATTCCCTCGACCTCCCCCACTCCAGAATAGACCAAGGCATCGTAAGTTGAAACGCAACGACAACTGCTCCGGGCGCTTTTTAAATACTGACAAGTTTACGCAGCCAACGATGCGCAACCATTGTCCCCTACACATGCGGGAGGAACCTCATTTGATAATCCTTTTCCTGCATTTCCAAGGAGGCGGATGAGTTCAGACGAATTCGACAAGCGAATGGGTGCCTTGGATCTAAATGACTCCACTATGCGCCCTCCTGAACAAAGACCGCATACTTCAAACTCCAACCGCCCACCTCGACAAAGACCCGATGAGATGCCGGCTTGGGGTGGTGCACCTAGCGGTAAAAATATGCCACACCGAACGGATGTTGAACCTCCGATGGGACCAAAAAGGAGTGCGACGATGCCTCTGAGCCAAAATTCGGCTGGACCGCAGTATCCAGGCCAGCAGCCATGGCAGGAACCGCCTATGCCAGCTCCAGTGACGGCTGGAGATCAGAACCCCAATATCGTACCTTATTCAGAGGGCGACTCAGTGGACAATGGCAAAGACCTGCCGGATGACTTCCTTGATGCTTACCTCGGAGCCAATGGCCCACGAGAGTCGGATATGCCAAATTTCAGTGCAATGTCAGATGCTCCTGATGATAACATTGTGCCCGTTGATAAGCCGGGGGTTAACGGCTCGTCGACTTCTAATACTGGCAACGGTTACACTGCTTATCGTCCTGGAGCACCCGCTTCAAGCAACGCAAGTCATGCACCGGCAAATCAATTTGAGAACGCCGGGTTCCAGTTTGATCTTCCTCCCTCTCCAGGGGCAGCATACGACCAGCGGCGGCTGGTTGATGAGTATGGCCCACCCTCGACCGGTGCTTATCCCGCTCGCCAACCAACTGGAGGTATGGCAGCCGGACCTGCATATCATGGAGATCCGGGAGGTGGGATGGGTGGATATGGCTCTCGACCGCCACCCAAGCGATACAGTCCCCCAGGTCAAGGTGCGCATATGCAGTATCCTGGTGATCAAACTGCGTACCAGAATCAACCCGGCGGCGTTTCTCTGGCAGATAACCCATCTCAAAATCCGGATATGCTTCCTCGTCACCCAGCTCCATTCCGCCTAGGTCTCGAACAAGGGGCAAAACCTCCCCCAATTCGGCAATACGATAATCCTCTCCCAATGCCACCACAAGGCCAACCCGGCCAAGGACGAGCCCCACCACCCCCTCAATCGCATGATAGGCCGACCTCGGTACCCCTTACACTCGAGGAGCTTAATCGTATCCAACAAACGGCTAAAAATAACCCTTCGGATCATAAAGCTCAACTTTTCCTTGCTAAGAAGCTCGTTGAAGCATCTGTAGTTTTGGTGGATGACAACGGAAGGGCTGATTTAAGAACTAAAAACAAGAACCGGGAACGGTATATTTTTGATGCGCACAAAATAGTCAAGAAGCTTGTGAGCGCGGGCTACCCGCCTGCAATGTTTTACCTAGCAGATTGCTATGGCGAAGGCCAACTCGGTCTAGAAGTTGATCAACGCGAAGCTTTCTCGCTGTACCAATCTGCTGCGAAGGCCGGTCATCCAGAATCTGCCTATAGATTAGCGGTCTGTTGTGAGATGGGCTATGAAGGTGGAGGAGGCACAAAGCGGGATCCAATGAAGGCTGTACAATGGTATAGGCGCGCCGCGGCATTGGGCGATACCCCTGCGATGTATAAGATGGGCATGATTCTCCTGAAGGGCCTATTAGGACAGCAGAAGAACCCTCGGGAAGGGGTGTCCTGGCTGAAACGAGCCGCTGAACGTGCGGATGAGAGTAATCCACATGCGCTCCACGAGCTGGCGTTGTTGTACGAGAACCCGAATGGAATTGACGCTATCATCCAGGACGAAGCGTATTCCCTAGAACTTTTAGAACAAGCCGCGGAGCTGGGGTACAAGTTTTCGCAATACCGTCTCGGTATTGCGTATGAGCATGGCCTGCTTGGATGTCCAGTCGATCCACGCACGAGCATCATGTGGTACTCGCAGGCGGCTGCGCAAGGCGAGCACCAGGCCGAGCTCTCACTTTCCGGTTGGTACCTTACTGGGGCCGAAGGGATTTTGCAGCAGAGCGATACGGAGGCATATTTGTGGGCACGCAAGGCCGCACTAGCTGGATTGGCAAAGGCAGAGTATGCAATGGGTTATTTCACTGAAGTTGGTATCGGAGTTCCAGCCAACTTGGAAGATGCCAAGAGGTGGTACTGGAAAGCGTCGTGTAAGTTCTATTTTGCTTTATTATATTATCCTCCGGATCCCTCTTTCATCTCTCATCATATTTATTCTCTTTGTCGTTTGGCTGGACGTATTTGATATATTTCCACTCCCCGTATTCTGACGTCTCAATCTGTTTTTGCTAGCCCAAAACTTCATGAAAGCCCGCGAACGTCTGGAGGATCTGAAGCGCGGTGGTGCCAAAATGCAGAAAACCCGAGTTTCGCGGTCCGCAGTCAACAATCAGAATCAAGGTGACTGTATCGTCATGTGAAACATCCGTGAACAGCCAAACTCTTTTCTGTTCTAAATTTGCACGAATGTGTCCAATGATTATTTCGTTTCTCCCGGAGTCACATTCGCGGGGGTAGGGGGGGAGATACTGTATCCTCACTGAGCCCCCACCTGAACTTCTGGATATTTTCCTCTTTTTTGTCTTTATTCTCTCTCCTCCCTTGTTCGTATTCTTCTTCCCCTTCGTATTTTGACAACCCCCTATCAGACCTACATAATAACGATGATATCTTTACCTTTCCCCCTTCTACCCATTCGCATGTTCACTTTTCAGACTTGGTTTCAAACCTTTTAAATTCACCCTTCCCCTTTCTTGTTGATCTTCTTGTAATATTCCTTTTCCCATTATTGGGACCAACTTCCCACCACGTATGCTTCATGACATGATAAACTGGATATAGAATTTTTGAACTAGGGAAATTAGGGATATGGCATGCGTGTATTTCGTGGACGTACGAAATTGTGGTATAGGTAACCGGGACGCATCAGGGTTTTTTTAATTCATGACAGTCATATCAACATGGAACCTTCTCCTTTTTCATTTCCCTTTTAGTTCTTTTCCTTTTTATCTTTCTTCTTACCCCTTTTCGACAGAAGGTAGCGACATACATATCCCACCTAATTATAAACTCTAACCACGCCTCTCAATGAACTAGCGTATATTCATGTTATGTCTGCAGCCATGATGTGGCGCGAATGCGGAATTGCAGCGCAGGCCGGTAGTATAATGCCGAGACGGGGATTAAACATAGCTGTTGAATAGTTAGTTGCAGCAAGGAAAGGGAAAGAAAGATTCATAATCACAGCGGGTCCCAACATTCCTTCAGAACAAAACTACACATATAAATGAGAGCACTAGAGGCCCTTCTATGCTCGCATCTGACCGTGGTCACCAGAGAGCCGACTCTCATTTTGTGTAACATCAACTTCTGCAGCAAGGGCTGGAAGATAAATAAATACAGCACAAATTATAGGCGTGGGGTATATGGTTTAAGCATTGCCTATTCCTAATGCCCAACCTCCCGCTCCAACAAGCCGTGACAATAATCATAGCAAAAGCTAGAGCAGTAGCAGCAGCACCACCACCACCACCACCACCACCACCACCACTGTCCTCCACCACTGTTCCCCACCAACGCAGCATCAATAACCTAGCACTCTTCCTCCTTCCTCTCCTCCTAGGAATCTTGATATCGTACATCGCCGTGCCATCCTCGACTCTCATCATTCTGACAGCATCTGTGCGGACGACGTTCCTGAATCCTGCGGCACCCTTTCACATCACGCTTCTGCGCACGAGGGGCTATTCTGTTGAAGGAGAGGGGAAGAAGATCGTAGTGAGCACAAGCACGAGCACGAGCACGAGCACGGGAGTGAGCGCTGAGGTCGCAATGGCGCCATCGGCCAGGACGCCGGTTTATTTTCTAAGTCATGGAGGGGTGGGTTTATTTTATTTATTTCCTTTTACATCTATACATATACATCTATATCATTTTTTAAAACCTTTTGCTGTATGGAATCGGCCTGCCCTTAGCTTGAAAGCGTGCAGCATGGGATCGTGGTGTTTTGAACCGTGCATAATGAGTGCTTGTCATTAGCATTGTTGAGTTTTCGGTGGATCATATATATGGAACTATATCAGTTACCTATCCATAACTAATGTTGGCTTTAACAGCCAGATATTATGTATGACCAGAACCATCCCGCCTATCGCAAGCTGCAGGAAATTGGGCACGAAATCACCACCAAGGTGAAGCCTCGTGCCGTGGTTGTTTTCTCCGCCCATTGGCAAGCGTCGCGAGATACTGTTGAAGTGAACAATGCTGAGATCACGGAGCTGATATATGAGTACGTTTTTCATTCTCCTGTTTCCCTTTCGCTGACCTCTTTCCTGCAGCCTGAGAGTTGCTCTATGCCTGATTCATTGGGCAAAAAAATTGGGCAAAACATTTCACTCTCTTAATGGCGAGGGAAAAAGGAGGTGGTTGCGTAAGGAGAAATTGCATCCCTGCTTGTCCTGAGCTAAAGCGGAAAATTATACATAGCTTTTACGGATTCCCTAGCCATTATTATGAGGAGAAGTTTCCGAATGTCGGGAGTAGGCAGGTCGCGCAGAAGGTAATCGACGCTATTAGGGGAGCGGGGATGAAAGCGGAGGGGGTGAAGAGAGGGCTTGATCATGGTGTTTGGGCTAGTTTTAAGTGTGGTAGGTCTTCAATGTTTAACCCCTTTCTCTCGCCTTCTAGCGGCCTTCCTTTGTGAAGACCTTAGCGGACGAGTGAACTGTTTATTGTCACCTATTAGCATTCGACCCGGACCACAACCCCCTGAACGTGCCCATCGTCCAAGTCTCCCTCTTCAAAACCGAAGATCCCATCCAGCACTACCGCCTGGGCCAAGCCATCGCCAAACTCCGCGAGGAGAACATCCAGATCATCGTTTCTGGAATGGCAGTCCACAACCTGCGGGACCTCCGGTTTACGTTTGGGGACTCGACGCCAATGCCGTACACTGCCAGTTTTGACGAAGCGCTGAGGGACGCTGTCACGACGCCACCAGCCCAGAGGGAGAAGGCATTGGCTGATCTGCTGAAGCGCGGGGATGCACGGCAGGCTCATCCCACGTTTGACCATTTGCTGCCTATCCATGTGGGTGCAGGAGCTGCAGGGGACGATGTGGGGAAGCGGCTGTGGACTTTGAAGGAAGGGAGCATGAGTTGGGCGCAGTTTAGGTTTGGGGAGATTGGCGCGGAGTGAGATGAGTTTGAAATTGCGGGATAATGTATTTTGTTTCTGGTTTTGGTTCTTCACCTAATTGCTTATGTTTGTGAAGTGGGAGATGGGGAGCAACCTTTTCCCGTCCACTCCCAGTCACTCCCAGCTGGTTTCGTGTTCTCAGAGAGAGAAGTATAGTATGCCTTTTGAATGTTGGATACTAGAAGCATAATGTCTTTCTTGAATGTAGAAGAAGCCATTTTTCTATTTGGTCGTGTGTGTAGATATATATGTACAGAAAATGCGCCCAGGGAAAGGTGATTTATAGTAGGCGGGCTATATTGAGCCCTTCACCAAAGCTGTAACCTTCTCCTCAATTTCCTTATCCGTTAAGCCTGTTATTTTGCCCCCAATGTTAGTGTCCGTCCACATTCGAATTGTGGTGAAGAAGTTATCCATACCTATGAGAGGCTCTTGTTTCTCCCTTCCCATTTCTGCGAACAACCACAACAGTTAGTTAACGTATACCGCTTACGGAACGAAACAAATCACAGGCCTTAACCCAAAAAACACCATATAGACATACCATATCTCGCAAACACTCTTGGTTCGGTATCCAATGCCTCCCGCATCATGATAGGTATGAATGGGTTGTTCTTCTTCATCGTTGGGTATGCTCGCTTTAGGAAAGCCCTGTATCCACACATCCAATCCAAAAACCAATCAGTGGCCAATTCAAAATCTTTAGGAGGGAAAACTAATAGCAATATAGTCGACAAACAGGAGAGGACAAGCTATACCTCGTCGCATCGCTATGGGGAGAGGAGTTGCAGAAGAGAAACCGCAGCTCCTTCAAGCTCTTGTTGAAGGTGTATCTGGAAGACATCGCGGGCCAGTCGAGTCGACGGAGTAACTGCAGGAGGAAGAATACTTCCCACACGTCTTTTGTTAGGTTAACGTCGGGATTTAGAGCTTAATTGAGCCGTCGCTGGACAGGTTTCAAGGGCGAAGTGAGTTCTGGATTCTTGATGGTCAACATGATTTGCTCATAGCACAGCTATTACCTACAATCACGTGATACATACCGATTTTCGGAGGACAATCAAGGTCCTGACTATGACTGAAGCATCAACTGCAGGAATAAGACCAGCTCAGCATTGGAACAGAGACCAGGCTGTGAGTTGAGAGGGATCTATTTTCCTGGGGACATCTTTATTATCTCATTGTATTCCTGGCCTTTTCTCTCCTCTCTTTTTCATTAGACCTATATCATATCTAGCTCTAGCTGTTTCCGCTCCCTCCGTTTTCCGCCATACATTCACGTTATACGTATACACACACTCGCACATATATCTCCGCTCGGGATGTCGTCCTCAAGAGTTGGTTTCCGATTCTTCCAGACCTACAGAGCTGCTTTCCAAAACCTATCGACCCCTCTCCGCAGACAAGGGTTGAGATCCCGGCGATTCCAAAGCACTGAGGCGGGCTCGTCCACCGCTCCCCAACAGAGTTTCTTGCAGCGGTCATGGAACAGTCCCGTCGGCCTGAAGACGGTGCATTTCTGGTATGTTATCAAACTAGGGTTCCATGATGGATGAATTGCTGCTAAATTTGGTGCATTGATGCTGCAGGGCCCCGATCATGAAGGTATGATATCGTTTTTGCTGAAATCGGTCCTATTTTGTCGCAAAATGTGTACTGCCCGCTTGAGCTGGACCAAGATATACCTATGCGGCATCCGTTATGTGACATCACCGCAGGTTCGAAGAGTCAGCATGCTGATTATGTTTGCAGTGGGTCCTCGTCCTTGCCGGTCTTTCTGATCTCGCCCGTCCCGCCGACAAGCTCTCCCTGACTCAAAACGCCGCTTTGATGGCCACCGGCGCAATCTGGACCAGATGGTGTCTCATCATTAAGCCGAGAAATGTCCTGTACGTCCTGCTATATTCGTCGATTGATACATATATATAGATATTTCAGTCCTTGCTTTTTTTTGCTGTGCGATTTCGTACCTCGCTCGCTCGCTCGACACGCAATATATATAATAAAATCGAGTTGCTGATTTCCCAACTTTTCATATAGTCTCGCCGCGGTTAACTTCTTTGTTGGATGCGTGGGATTCACGCAAGTGACTCGCATTTTCCTGCATAGACGAACTGTCGACGGGTCCACCAAGGATGCGCTGAAGGATATGACCCACGAAGCAACAGGCCCGGCTAAGGCTGCTGTGATCAAAGCTGAGGGAAAGGTGGAAGAATTGATTAAGAAACATTAAACGCTAGGGATCCATATAATATGATGATAGAGTATGGAGGCGAGATGGGAAGGATTGGCTTGAAAATGAATCCATGATACGGATTGATTCTTTGGACTTCAAAAAAGGGCTGGTAGCTGTAAGGAGCTCAGACAGGGGCCGATTCTGGAAAGGAGGAAGAGCGGTGTATTTTTCTTGGGTTTCTTTGGTCTTGCTCAAGACTCCATGGGGCGAGATGTGACTATAAACTCAATTCATTTTTAATAACATGGGAGTGGAAACGAGGACTTGCTTCAAACCTGAACCTTCCCCGACTTTTCAGCTTCCTTGGGCATACACAAGCGGTCACCTTTGAATCCCGCTGGGTTGTATGAGAGATGATCAGACCTTGTAGCTCCGGCGCTGCAATTTGTAGGGGGATTTTACCTCTCAGGGCCTTTTCCTTAACTAATCTTAACCAATTAGTTGTTTATCAGTTGCGGTTAAAGAATGTTTGAAAATGGGTTTGGGAAAATGGACAACCCCTTCTAAAAAAAATACTACACTCATCCCCTAAAATCAGTCTCCTCTTTCCTCATTCTCACATTCAGTTCATCCTGAACCCCCTGACCGATGAGTATGATTTAAATCTGTCAATCGATTACAAACTGGTAGTGAGTGTGGAAGAGCTTGTTGTCATTCTCCACTAGTGTTTAGATACAGCGTCTCATGCACGAGATATAATAACAGAATTGACTGCTTAAGTTGTTTATCGCCTATATACCTCTTCATAGGCCAGAAGCCACGGAGATTATCACTCCTGATGAGTGCTCGCCTTTTGCCCTATTTCCCATTTCCTTGCCCTGGCATTGGCTCATGATGCATTCGATGGAAAAGGAATCAACCTTGGCGATGTGTTTTCCATCTGGGCTAACAACGCTGGTAACAGCATTCATCTGAAATGGAAACCTCACATCCTCAATACCCCCATATTCCATCAAGCCATACATGTTGCAGAGGGGATTCAGATATCTCCTGATAAGGCTCTGCACTACGACACATTCAACCACTATCTTCAACTCCTGAGACATAGCGCAGAATTCAAGCAGCAAGATGACACTATTGTATCAGGTAGGGGATCACGAACACATTTGATAGTGAATATCATTATCAACATCTTCATACTTTCTTCAAGAGTGTTCTGGCGTTTCCATGCCCAGCTCTTTCAATCATCGTTGAGCGTAATCAAGTCATGAGCCCTTGTCAAACAAATATTTTCAAACACTGTTATATCCCAGTGAAATTCAAGGAGGATGTGCAGTCCACTCAAACTGTCCATCACATAGGCTGTTGGATAGCTTAGACTCAACTGTGATCATCCTACTTTAGAAGTTGAGCGAAGTGCACAAGAGTTCAATTGAGTGGTATGCACAACGGATCAAACTAGGCAATCAATAATGTTCATTGCAGAAAAAGCAGATGAAGAGAAAATACAGTACCATTCTGAAAATGAGAGGCAGTGAGATGCATCACCAGTGCAATGAACTTGGTGAGGAGATCTAAGACCAAAAGGCCGTTCCTTCATCACAAAGTATTTAAAAGTTGGTGGACCATCAACGGCACATTGAAAAGGATGTTTTAGCACTGGTTTCAGCGGAACCAGTCGTATCATGGAGACCAAATCCCAAGTCTGACGACATCATATCATCTAAGTTCTTCGAGTGTTTGTCAAGAGCGGAACGTGGAACAATCGCTATTCCTATGTCGCCGCTCGTGTCACCGAAGAGAGGGTAGCTAATTTTGGATAGAAGAGCAGATGTATGTTTCGATGCCAGCCTCATTGCTTCAGCTTCAGCGGGTGTTACAGATCGACAAGTCTTGGAGACGTGGGAATAGTCGTGCATAAGAAGGGCTCTTCCCATCTGCATGGCCAGCACTGTGATCACTTTGCCGTCAGTAGGCACATATTCGGGATCCACGGGGCAATTCAGTGGCAGGGAGTATTCAAATAGCATTTCATTTCATAAAGGGAGCTCCTTGGCTAGGATCTGTCATTTATGAACCGGGTCCCGACATCGCGATGATAAACCTAATGGAGATTTTCAACTGAAATCATGATGAGATGAAGGATTTCGTATTTAACGCACGTTGAAAGTTTCATCGGGCGGAATACTGCCCAGCTCCAGTTGGTCGTTGGAGATAATAATCTCTACATCTCATATGCTGCAGAGTTTGAGCCCTGCATCAGGACTGTTGCTTTGTTGCTGAGGGAGCATGTATGCAGCTCTTTGAGGTTAACCCTAACACTGGATGAGGAGGGCAACCACAGTTTATTATGATGACATTAGTACATATACATACATATACAATGAGCAACTGGCTAGGGGAAGGCTGTTGTATGTTATAGTCTCTGACCGCATATAGCCTTAAGAAAAAATATGATAACAAATGGTTTTATAATGACAACCATGTTGTCAGAGCTGTGGATAGAATCGGCGCAGGAAACATTGGGTATGACATCATTATATCAGGGTGGCGAGAAGGCTTTGAGCTTTCAGTCGAGCGATGGATCTAGACTTCATTTCTATGATGTATGTGCGGTACAAGTACAAATTGCACCATAACCATAACTAACCCTTCGGTACAGATTACAAGCTGGCCATGCCCATAAGATTGAGAAGTATTCTTCTCCAGGATGGATATAAAACGCCGAGTCCTAAGCGTTTTGCTCCGCTTAAGACATGTGAATCTAGTAATACAAAGTGATTCATATGTCCATTGATGGGACCAAGTTTATGATGAAATAAATAAAATAGTTATTCCCTTTAGCAAGATTACCGGTACCTTCTTATTTTTAAGGAGCGTTCAAATTTTTCAAACGGAGGGACGATTCATGATATCACCATCTCGAAGACATGTTGCAGGTGATCCGTGGATACACACAGCTTTTCCCCAGGTCTGTCGAAATGCTAACCTGGGTATATGGGGAAAAAGGGATCGATTTCTGGAGTGTTAAGTTATAAAATCACGGCACACTCGGCTTGGGGATGGGACGGGAGTTAACTGCGAAAAAACCCCACAACCGCCTTTTCCTGGCGGTTCTTGGTCCATTGCCAATCAAAAAAGAGGGAAAAATCTTTTTTTTTCTTTTTTCTTTTTTTAACAAAAGTTTCCCTAACCCCGTGTTACTTATAAAACATATATATTACCCTGTTCTTCGATTCTGCAGGGTTTGGTGTTAGCTCCTGCCCCTGAAGTAAGTAGATATCCGGGCTTTATGTCATGCCTCTCCTCCACACCCATGCAAACGAAAACGCCATTGACGACAATGACTGTTAGACTCGGGATTAGAAAGTATACGACATCCGCAGGGTTACCGAAACGCCATTTGTATAACGGATTGCTTGCTCCCTCCTGTCCCTCCGTCCGCCTAACCCCACTCCAGAAGCAGACAGCTACACAGCCGTCTCTATCCCCGTTCCCCCGCTTCCAGCATCCAGCTTTCACAACCACACGCCACGCCAGTATGAAGGCTCTCGTCTATAAAAGCGAAGGCGTCGTCGACATCGAAGAGCGCCCGCAGCCAAGCATCCAGTCGGCGACGGACGCAATCGTCAAACTCAAGTACACCACTATCTGCGGCACGGATCTGCACATCATCAAGGGCCACGTGCAGTCCGCCACGCCAGGCCGTGTGCTGGGCCATGAAGGCGTCGGCGTGATCCACGAAGTCGGCTCGAGTGTCCAGGGCCTCGTGCCGGGCGACACCGTGCTCATCTCGTGCATTTCGGCCTGCAGCGTTTGTGGCTTTTGCCGGAAGGGGATGCCCTCGCACTGCGTCTCGGGCGGGTGGGTGCTGGGCAACCAGATCGACGGCACGCAGGCGGAGTTCGTGCGCATCCCGCATGCGTCATCGTCGCTGTACAAGCTGCCCGCCACGGTCGACTTGACGGCCGCGGTCATGCTGTCCGATGCGCTCCCAACAGGATTGGAGTGTGGGACGCTGGATGGGAAAGTGTCGCCAGGCAGCACGGTGGTGATCATCGGAGCCGGCGCGGTGGGGATGTCTGTCATGATGACATCCCTGCTGTATTCGCCGTCGTTGCTTGTGATAGTGGATTTGGATGATGGGAGGCTGTCGATGGCGAAGCAACTAGGGGCGCATGCGACGGTTAATAGTCGGAACTCCGAGGAGGCGATGGACAAGCTGTTGAAGATGACGAATGGAGAGGGGTTTGATTGTGTTGTTGAGGCGGTGGGTACTCCTCACACCTTTCAGTTTTGCCAGAGTCTTGTTGCCCCTGGCGGTTCTATTGCCAATGTGGGCGTCCATGGGACGAAGGTGGAGTTGTATATGGACGAGTTGTGGAATCGGAACATCTGTGAGTATACACCCCGCCCATATCCATCACTTGAGGTCCCCATGTGGGCGATTGCTCAGCCATATTATTCTGCATCGAGTAGGTATCACCACACGACTCGTGGACGCGGTCACCACGCCAATGTTGTTGAAGCTTTTCACAGCGGGCAAATTGGATACCGCCAAGCTCATAACGCACCGTAAGTGGGCCATAACCTCACAATTTTCCTTCTTAATTTGCGCTTCATCGTGCCCTGTCTGTAAGAGAGAGGCTTTCACACTGATGTATAAGCTGCTTCACATAGGCTTCAAATTTAAGGATTGTACGCAGGCATATAAGATATTCGGTGCTGCGGCAGAGCATAATGCTCTGAGGGTTTTGCTGAGCATGTGAGGGAGACCAAAAAAAATCTCCTCCATTCTTCCTGACCCATCTTCTATGCTTGAGATTGAAAGTTTGTTCAGCTGAAGACAATAGCGTATGTGTATTGGTACCAACGAAGGTATGGATGACAGGGTGTGACATGATGCAACAGGCTGAGTTTGTTGTTTATTGTATTGTTTTGAATCATTGTAACAATTCATTCACTTCTGTTTGTATGTATAGCTTTTAGTCAATGGAGGTCCAGCAAAGAGAAGAAGACGATAAATTCATAAGAAATAAAATGTCCTCCACCGGGCGCTGGGAGTTTATATACCCAAAAGATTTGGTGCCAGTTAGGGGCTGAAGCCTAACGCTTGGTTGTCAAGTTATGCGCCAACGCTCGGAAGTTTTGGCGCTCCGATATTGAGATATGAGTATTGGGACTATGCTTCCCTGCCGTGTACTGCATGGTCAAGTTTCTTGACGTCTACTTCAGCCATGTCGCTAAAAATGAAATTCAGTTTGCCGGTGCGATCTCAGGAGAGCCAAAGTAGTGAACGCGCCTAACCTCACAGCGGTTCCCTAGAATCAGCATCGAAAATGGAATCCTCAGCATCTGCAAGCTCCCCAGGTGCTAGCTAGCTTTCAATATTATGAGCATGGCGAGATTGATACCAGCAAGTTAAAGTAGTTCCCCATCCGCCAAATTATAAAACATGGGGATAAGCCCACAGCTCGAACGACCTATGCTATGATATTCCACCATTGGAACTCGGTTGGGGCTGACCACCCCAATGACGGTTTCCGGAATTTCTTCGAAATCGCGAAGTGATTATGGCGATCACACCAGAATCAAGTTGGGGCCCTTAGCCAGGAACAGAGTGTCGGATCAGAAGCTGGTTCAGAATCCCTGATAATCAAAATCCAGTGAAGAAAATGAGCTAGAAATTCCATCTAGAATGCCGCTCTCTGAATTTGTTGATGTGGCGAACGAAGAGGAAAAAAGACTAGAATGCCAGCACGCGATATCAAATTTAAAGTGTAGGTGAAAAAATGACATTACTACTCTCTGAACGAAAGATAACAGAGATCCGTAAGGAATGTCCAAGATATGTATCTTTGAGAAGCTCACAATGATGGGGGGCCCTCATACACTCTAAAAGACAACAAGCAAAGCAAGCGATTCTTCCCGTTGCTTCATTTGAGGCAAGCTTCAGGACACCACATCCAAACAGTTCTTTTCCATGCATGAACTAGCACTGATGTTCATCAAGTGGAAACACAACAGCATGCAGGCGGAATCCACTATTATTCCAGACAGCCGGAAGAGCACAATCCCAAGAAGACATGTATTTTCTCGGGGAGGCTCTTGGGCCAAGCACTTGCAGCCGATAACGCTAAGGGTTCACAGCGGGAGGAAGACCAAGAAGCATGCTTCCTTCACAATCTATGGGAGAGAGTTGCGCCCTGTTGCTGCTGCGCATTTCACCCAGAGAGTAGTACTTCTGGGGCCTCCTAGGTACATTCAATCTTCGAGTTTGACAGTGGACCAACGTCTCTACATCTGACATCTGAACGCTCGACGGTATTATGAATTGAATGAAGGCCCCAGTAGATAGAGTCGAGGCCATGAAGTTTGTTAAGGCACTCGCTACTATATCAGAAGCGGGTCTGCTGTTGTCTGTTATGGAACGAATGCGTGTAGAAGTGCGCATACCTTGGGTAAAATTTGCAAGGGAGAACATTTTCATTTCACTCTTCTCGCTCCTCTCTGGTGTTTGTTTGTCTCCCTGTCTTTCCATTTCTTTTGTGGTCATCCACCATTATCTCTCCTTTTTTTTTTTATTGCTTCATACGGATATTACACAGTCTGGAACTGACGAGGCTGCGCCGTTATAATTACATAATCATGTTCCGGGTGATGCCGGAGCAACCCCGCTGGCCGCTCCGGTTTCGCACGAGCCGCGGCGCTTTCTCTTCGCCGTGTTGAGCCGCGGCTGACAAAGTACCTAGCATCAAGGCCAACTCCACCAGCATTGTTGGTTGGTTGTGTGGCAGAAGTTGATGCCGGGGATATATCAACGGGGTAGCGAGGTCAGTGGGCAACAGCTTCGCAGGGAGCCAGCGGGTTTCCGGGCTTGGGAATGCAATGGCTGCAGCAGATGCATACAATAGCAGCACCAACAAAAACGGGACTTGATGCCTGGCTAGTCTGCGCAGAATGGAGGAGGGAATCCGGCATGGATGATGTGGATGCGAGGGAGCTGGGATTCCATCCAAAATAAGTTCGGCCGAGAACGGCTGGCAGTCAGGTTGGCGATCTGATGCCGTCAATCACAGTTTCAGACCGGGTCCCAGAGCTAGCTCGGTATCGCCATATACTTTCTGCCCCGCGAGAAACATTTGGCGGAAGTCTGAGACCGTGAACTTAAAAAAAACCCACGCGGGACAACCTCTAGCTGTCTTTCTCTCGACCGAATCATAGGGGCCCCAGCTGGGTTTGTGTCGATATTCGTTTGATTCTTTCCTATTCGATCTTTCGATGTACGTACAACAAGGTGGCCTGGTCTGTTTCCCGGTTCTCCTGTCTGTGGGGTATTTTTTTTCGCCTCTTTGCGGCGCGCGCCCTGACCAGCGAATTGCGAAATTGCATGTGCCGTGGTAAGAACAGTCTTAGGAGGGTCCCTCCGGCAGTGACGTATCCCGAAGTAAATAAATACCAGATCTTCGGCCCAGGTCGGGCGATGATGGCTTTATGATTTTACTACCCTTTTTTTTGTGTTTTTATTTTCTTTCTTTTTAATAAAAAAATAAACCATCACGGTAGTCAGCAGTCATAATATAATAGCCTAGAGTTATAATAGCCGTTTGTTGTTACGTTCTGCAGGCTTGCGAAGTATATTTATGTCTTGCTAAAGACCAGAGGGGAACCGAAATAACAGCGAGAATAACGCTCTGTCCCGCCTGATAAGACTCGCCGGTTAACCAAGAGACATACATACATTCAATTAAAAACTTCGCGATGGCAGCTGTCGACGCCCTCCTCAAGGACGTGGCCATCCTCGGCCCTCTAAACGACCAGACCCGCAAGATCCTCACCAAGGAAGCCACTGCGTTTCTCGCCCTGTTGCAACGCACTTTCAACCCAACCAGAAAAGCTCTCCTCCAGCGACGCATTGACCGTCAAGCAGAGCTCGACCGGGGCACTCTCCTAGACTTCCTCCCAGAGACCAAGCATATCCGTGATAATGATGCGTGGAAGGGAGCCCCGCCGGCGCCGGGCCTTGTTGACCGCCGGGTGGAAATCACCGGCCCAACGGACCGGAAAATGGTGGTTAATGCGTTGAATTCGGATGTGTATACTTACATGGCTGATTTTGAGGGTGAGTTGTTCTCCTTCTCTTCCTTTAGTATATGCTTCTAGTTTGGGGAAGGAGGGGCTTTGAATTTGAAATTTTGGCTGAAATGTGATGGTTACAATCGACTGTCTCTGATGTTGAAGGGAATGCACACGAGGAGAGGGGGGGAATGGCATTTTGAGACCGGGCTAATACAATATTTCTCATTTTCCAGACTCAAGTGCTCCCACTTGGGAGAACATGGTCAATGGCCAGGTTAACCTGTACGATGCAATCCGCAGACAGGTTGATTTCAAGCAAGGCGGGAAGGAATACAAGCTGCGCACCGACAGGAAGCTTCCCACCCTCATTGCCCGCGCGAGGGGCTGGCACCTTGAGGAGAAGCATATGACCGTCGATGGCGACCCCATGTCCGCTAGTCTTTTCGATTTCGGCCTCTATTTCTTCCACAATGCAAAGGAGTTGGTCAGCCGAGGTGCTGGGCCTTACTTCTATCTCCCCAAGATGGAATCCCACCTCGAGGCTCGTCTATGGAATGATGTTTTCAATCTTGCTCAGGATTACATTGGCATGCCTCGCGGGACTATCCGCGCTACCGTTTTGATTGAGACTATCTCTGCTGCCTTTGAGATGGATGAGGTGAGTGTTGTGATGGCTTGTTATGGCTTGCAATCGGTTTTCAATCGGTTAATACAGCCCTTCTGCACGAACTCTGTCGCTAACATCGACTTTCAAAACCGAACAGATCATCTACGAGCTCAGAGACCACAGCTCTGGCTTGAACTGCGGTCGATGGGATTACATCTTCTCCTTTATCAAGAAATTCAGACAGAACCCCAATTTCGTCCTCCCAGACCGCTCAGCTGTCACCATGACTGTTCCATTCATGGATGCCTACGTCAAGCTCCTCATCAAGACCTGCCACCGGAGAGGCGTTCACGCTATGGTAAGTAATTTCTGAATCCCCTTCCTCCCCATCCCAAGCCGTTGGTTCGTTTCTCTCGTTTTACGCGGTCAATAGAACCTCCCCTAACCGTTAAATAAAACAGGGTGGTATGGCCGCTCAAATCCCCATCAAGGACAACCCCAAGGCCAACGACGCGGCCATGGCCAGCGTGCGGGCCGACAAGCTCCGTGAGGTGCGTGCGGGCCACGATGGAACCTGGGTCGCCCATCCCGCATTGGCCAAGATTGCCACAGACGTCTTCGACCAATACATGCCCACCCCGAACCAGCTGTTCGTCCGCAGGGAGGACGTGCACATCACCGCCAACGACCTCTTGAATACCAACGTCCCCGGCAGCATCACTGAAGATGGCATCCGGAAGAACTTGAACATCGGATTGTCCTACATGGAGGGCTGGCTCCGTGGAATCGGATGTATCCCCATCAACTATCTCATGGTTCGTCTCTACCAGCTCACACCAGCTTCACCATACCATATAACATGTAAAAAAGATTAAAAAGAACAAATGTTGGAAGAAAAGGTGGGAAGGACACTTTCACTGATTATACCTGGTTCAAAAAATAACAGGAAGATGCCGCCACTGCCGAAGTAAGCCGCAGCCAGCTCTGGCAATGGGCCAGGCACAACGTCACCACGGCGGAGGGCAAACGGGTCGACAAGAACTATGCACTCAAGCTGCTGCAAGAGCAGGCCGACGAGCTCGCAAACAAAGGCCCCAAGGGCAACAAGTTTCAACTTGCCGCCCGCTATTTTGCCGGCCAAGTTGCTGGCGAGGATTATGCTGATTTCTTGACATCGTACGTTCCTCAACCCCCTGCCTCTTGACCCTCTACCCCGCTCCCAACTTTCACTTCCCCTCTCTTCTTTGCTACAGGATATTTCCCTTCTTCGCACCTCAGTCTCGAGATGCGATTTTATTCTATCTTATTTTGATTTGATTCTATAAATTTATATATTTTGCCTTGGTTGCTTTTTGACACATTCCCCCTTCTAACTCTTATAGGCTGCTCTACAACGAAATCTCCGCCCCCGGCAGCGCTGCCAAGTTGTAAAAAGGTTTTTGGGCATCCAGCGCGCCAGACGCATTGATAGGAGGAAACGTAGAATAAATTCGGTCCGGTCCATTCAATGAGAAACACATGGAAAGGGGAAGTTGGGAGGAGGGGGGTTATATTCCTTCCAAAAACCGAACTAACCAACCACTTGAAGAATGAAAAGGAAAAAGGGGACAAATGTTCTTTGCATATATATATTCCCAAGCAACTCGTCTCCTGCATTGCTATTCTCTTCAATTTCATTTTTATTATTGTATTTCCTTATTTCCTTATTTATTTATTTTTTTTGTTTCTTTTCCTCCCATGTTGCGAGGAGTGTACTGTACTGTACCTAAACCGAACAAACTGCCAAGGCATTGATTTATCTATGAGATTACAAATTGCGTTAACAACTTAAATGTCAATTAGCTAGTGTATATATGAGAAGTATGTTGTATATTTTGCATTACTAGGTTTATGAAGATCCGATTCACTCGACCGTGCGGAAAATATATGGAAATAATTGCGTGCAATGGCCATGTAATGAAACATGCTGGGCTCCCCAATGAAGTGCCACAAAATGACACCCCCCAGTCGGTCCGTGTGGACACGAGCAAGATTGCGGTAAGTCTGGGAACGGGGGGGTGTTTGGGGCCGTGAATGGGAAGTCCGAACAAAGACAGAATCAGGTAGGGCTTTGAGAGCACAGAACAAGACGGTCCGGACCCATCAGGGATTGTAATTAGATAGATATAACATCGCCTGCGACCTTTACCCGTTGTCTCGTAAAGAAGCCACGAGCGTATAGAACGATTCTAAGCCTTGTAACTTTTTCAAATTAAAAATCCTTATATATAGGCTATGATCCCTAGCGCCCCCCCGAAATTATATATATATATATATTGGAACAACCATATAAACGACCATGCACAGACAGAGATGAAAGCACTAATTACATAATTTATTAATTCATACAGTTCGGCTAACATTCATCCATTTACTTAATTTTGCCTTTTTTTCTTTCTTTCTTTTTTTCTTATCTCTTCTTCTTCTTTTTTTTTTTTCAATATTCCGCCATGTGCTGCAAATCCCTCGAACTCCTCCCCACCCACACCTTAAATGTTCCGGTAACGGGCATAACCCAATTCTGGTTCACAACACTCCAGAAACTCAGATCCTTGCGCGTCAGTGACAAGCTCACGTTCACAGCTTGGCCAGGATTTAGCTCTACCTTGACGAAATTGCGGAGCACGCGGGGCGGGAAATCGACTGGCTTCGTGCTGTTGTCGGTTGCGAGGGTTTGGTTGAGGTAGCTCATGAGGGTGCTGTTGTAGCTGCCATTGTTGAGTATAGGCACATCGAAAACACGCTCGGGGAACGAAACGTAGACCTGCACAACTTCCTTCCCGACACGGGAACCTGTGTTGTTGACGGTGACGTTTACTGTGACGAAGGGCTCGAAGAGGGATGGATTGCCCCCCTCACCACCTCCGGCGGGTGACGGGGTTTGCGCTTGGTAGTATCCTTCCGGGTAATTGTATGGGGGTTCCTTTTTAATGCCATTTACAGATGATAAGTATGGGTAGATGTATTTGGCTAGAATACGGAATCCCTTTGGGAATAAGGCGGATTTAGCTTTGGGGATTGTCGTGTTGTAGGATGGTGGAGATATTCCTTGTGGGCGAGGCGATGGGAGTGGAGATTTGGGTTTCAACGTCGTAAGGTTTAGGTTGGATAGAGTGAAAGTTGTATATGAGAGTCCATAGCCGAACTCATATCGCGGCGTTATGTTATGCGCGTCGAAGTAGCGGTAGTCGATGTATAGGCCATGAGAAAAATTCTTCTGCGGAATCTCATCATCGGATTGGTAAAGAACCCCAGCTTCAGGGCCGTAATCGGAAACGTTTTTGCCCATTGTGTATGGCAGTCTCCCGCTTGCGTCCACATCACCAAATAATACGTCAGCGAGCGCATTTCCGCTTTCTTGTCCAGGTAGATTCGCTAGAAGCACTGCCTTAACTCCTGGGAGATCGATCCATGACTCAACGATCACAGGCCCAACAGAGTGGATAATCACTACTGTGTTTCCATTCCCACCACCACAACCCGAGGCCACCTGGGAGACAAGGTCGTCTGAATCTTTTTGGAGATAAAGGTGATTCCGATCACCACGAATGTCATTCCAACTTGCAAACCCTTCCCCAGAGTCTGCATTCGCGAACACAAGACACAAGTCTTTATCATCCATATCTTCTGGCTGGATCTGATAGTTGGTCAGGTAACCATATACATATGTGGTCTGGTTATTGAAAGCTCTACTTATAACTTTCCACGGCGATATTAGGTATGGGAACTCAACAGCCCCACTACCCCAACCAGATCCCAGCGTCCCCTGGTTACAGGCTCTGTTGTCGCAAAAGTTTGGTCCATTGCCAGCTCCTGCGTCCTCTCCATAAATGCCGACATGAGACTTTTTATCTGGTGCATTAGGGCCGTCTCTTGAAAGGGGGAGGAATCCGTTGTCGTTCTTTAGCAAAATTATCCCTTCAACTGCAATCTCACGCGCAAGTAAGCCATGAGAACTGTTTCCCTCGCCCTGCGCATCGACATATCGGTTCACAATCCCTTCAGTATTGTCGCCGGGGCTGCCTTGGTGCAATCGGCCAATTTTATCACGGGTCCAGGACGAGAAGTTCGGGCCTCCATTGCCGTACGGAGGCGGTTTCGGCCAGGAGTCTTGTTTCAATTGGTACCAAGCAGCCACTACTCTCGCTGTCATATCATTCAATCGATCTATTGGCACAGATCCATTCAAGACAGCTCGAGTCAACTGGTGGCCCCACAGGGGATTGCCGTCCGCCCAAGCCAGGCCATCCCCTGGCATTGAGACATCCAAACCAGCAAGTGCGCTGGCAACTCCACTCCTTTGCGCCAACCAGTCCGACTGGACAAAGCCTTGAAACCCAAGTTCATCCTTGAGAATGCCATTCAAAATCAAACTGTTTTGGCAAGCGTACGAATTATTCACCATCTGATATGAACACATCACACTTGCGACGCCAGCCCGTACGCTTTCGGCAAATGGCCACACATAAACCTCTCGGAGTGGCCGATCGTCAACATTCGAAGACATCGCAATGGGTATTCCCCATTCACCTTCTTGGCGAAAATGCTCTTGCTCATTGAGCACGTAGTGTTTTGCGGTCGCTATTACTCCATTGTCCTGAATTCCGCGAATAGTCTCTGCGGCTGCAACGGCTTGGAGAACAGGATCCGAGCCAAACCCTTCCCAATTCCGTCCCGCGGCTGGTAATACACCGATAGGACCCATAACCGGACCAAGAAGGACATTGATCCCTTTGAGACGCGCTTCTTTCCCATGTGCAAAACCCCTCCTATACATTAAATCACGATTCCATGTTGCAGCAACGGTAACGCCGGCAGGAAACGCAGAGATATTTTCTGCAAAGCGAACGCCTAGAGGCCCATCTTGTAAACAAAGCGATGGGAAGCCCACCAAAGTAGCTGGGCCTGAGCAACTCAGTATTTGATCATTCATGCATGTCTTCAGAGGTGCTGCACAGGAATTTGGAGCAAGAAATCCAAAAGGAAAATAAACCGCGACCCTGCCCCGTTATACTGCATTGTAACGTCACGAATCTGGAGGGATCTAGAGAAGTGTTGACCTACCGGTGTTTCCAACGCAGAGTCCCATCTGCCAGCCAATACCTGAGGTGATATTCACTTTTTCAAGTAAGCTCATTCTGTTTACTAACTCCTGGGCTTTCCTATAGCTTTCTGCCCAACTTTCAACAGTTCCACCTGGTGGAGATGGATACCACGGCCTTGATAACTGGAAATGGAACGTACGTCAGCGGGTTCAGGACGAGTGTATTCATCGATACCCAACCATTATCTGATTAGGAGGGTGAAATGAAAAAAAAGGGGGGTAATAAAATCAAAATAAAATATTATAACATAGAATAAACAGAAGAAGTACAATATATAAAACGACAATTAAAACATCAAAACACTCACACCATCCCTTGTCTTTATCCCCTGATGCCCAGGCTCTTCCGGCTGTTGGACTTTCGGACCTATAATCCGCTTCGCCCTAAGTACGGGCAAGACAATTACTAAGACACACACAACGATCCCGAGAGGCAGGGCGAGCAGCAGCAAAATCCTTCGACGCGTCCACCATTTTGCTGATGTTATCCGGGTAGTTTTATCCTTATCCTTACACCCGCTGACATTGATGGTAGCTGATGCTGCGTGCTTGGTGTCGGCAAATAGCATTGAGGTGGAGATGTAGGAGGATAGATGGGGGAAGGGAGGAAGCAGGTATGGAGGGCTTCTGTAAGTGACTCCCTCAGTCGTCTGAACTACCTGTGCAACAAAGAGGTTTTGCTTGTTAATTGCAAGGGCTTCTGAAACGGTTACGGCTGCGGCGGCCGATCAGCTTTATCATGGAGGGGGATTGGCCAGCTGTGTCTATTGTGACTGCCGATGTCGATTGATGGTCTGCTTGCTTGTGCAGTGGTCACAGGCGTGGGTACAGGTACAAGCGCAGGAGAGCCCATTGAGAGGCAAAGTCAAGCGATGTAGCTTGCTGTGTTGTTCGCCGCAGTCGAGTGAGGATATATCAACAGGAGAGAACCTTCCAAGGTTGTGGCTGCCTGTCACGTTCTGAGACCCCTGCCAAGCACGCGTCCAAACAAGCTTAAATTTTAGTGTGGGTGGCGTTAGCCAATTGGGCTTTGTTTCCCCGAAGCTCTGACCTTTGCGGCTGCCATGAGGGCCAGACCGGAATTATTGGAGCTTCGGGTCTGATCCGTATGCCCGGATGTAAGGTTCCAAGGTAATTGTTTGTTTGTTTGGTTCTGTTTTAACGTCCCGGGAAGAGCGCGGGCAGCGCTCGCGCTTACCGAGGTTCCCGAGGGCATGGAGACGTGCTATACTGGAGAAATCTATGTACAGTACTTTACATAAGAAGTAGAGGTTCCAAGGTATGAAAAGGTGGAAAGTCTGTTTTGTTAGGAGTGTTGCCTTATCATGCACTGTATATCTACATGCAGAAACAGTAACATAATTTGCAATCGCACTAGTGGATTGCCCCGTTTCTTGAGGCTATGTATTTCGATATTTGAGCTCTCCCCGAACAAATCTTCTCTGCTCGGGGCTGGAGGTATATATTAGATAATTAATGGGACTTCATATGGCGACCAATTGCAGTGCCTTCCACTGAAGGGTCGAGCAAGCTAACAAAGTCAACAGACATACAAACAAGAGTGCTATATAAATCTATTTATCTTCACTATCGGACAACGTTTGCCCTCCTGTTTAGGATCTCTTCCGCCTCCCCGTGGCGCTCTCCTTGGCCACGGTACTCGCGTCGTCCACGCAGAAACCAGTCAGCAATGATGATGACGACGACGACAAAATAGACTGCGGAAACGTAATTCATGTCTAGAGTCGATAATACATTAGCTAGCGAGTCCTATGGTGCTCTTGGAGAATAGAAAGATGGCTTCGCGCCGGTAAGGGGCTAGCGTGCGGTTAAAATACTTACTGGACGTCTTGACGGGATAAACTGAGGGGAACGAATACATAATAACGGTGAACACCGTCCAACAAAGAACCATAATGTTCGCAAAGAGACCGAATTTCCCCAGCCAGAACGGACCGCGCTTGATGTTATTCCGCCCGCGGATGAGCAACGCAGTAATCGGGATCGCGTACGAGATGTACAGCAGGACAATGCACGCAGTCACCATGCTGTTAAAGGCGGTGGAGGAGCCGAGATAGAGCAGCCCCAATGCGCCGACGATGAAACAGCTGAACGCATGCGCCGCGATGGGCACGTCGAGCTTGGGGTGGATTTTGGACAGGTACTTGTGGAACGGGAGGCCGCGATCGCGCGCAAAGGACCAGCACAGCCGCGACTGCCACGTGTGGGAGGCAATCTGGCATCCAAAGCCGGTGCAGAGAACCAGGGATTCCAAGGCGATGGCACCGGCCTTGCTGCCCAGGGCTTGGTTGAAGAGTTCGAGAATGGGCACGCCGGTTGGCGTGCTGATGAGAGTTTCGAAATTGCTCAAGCTGAAGAACATGGCCATGCAGTAGAACCAGGCGGTGGTAAAGCCGATAGCGACAGTGCCGCAGATGGCGATGGGGATGGATCGCTCGGGACTAGCGACCTCCTCTGCCATGTGGGTGGCGGAGTCGAGACAAGCGAAGACCCAGTTGGGGTTGATCAAGCCGACGATGAAGGCGATGCCGTCGGATTTCCAGCCCGTGTTGTTGATGAAGGTCGCAAAGACGAATTTGGCATCCTGGTGCGTGGGCGCTTTGGACGGGACGGTGATGAGGATTACCGTGAAGGATATGAGGGAGAGATAGAGGGTTGTCATTGCGACCTTAGGGAGTAACCTGCCCACGCAGTTAAAGAGGAAGCACCATGTGTTGATGACTTGGTAGGCGACGACGATGTGCCAGGCTTCGATGACGCTGAATAATCTTTAGTTAGCTTTGGTTCAAGTGAGGTAACGTAGGGCATCAGTACAACAATGTATTATCACCAAACATTATCCCGGGAATTCGTTCAGGGTGGGATATTCTTACAAGTCAGGATGTCCAAGCTGCCACATTCCAACGCCTGCAGCAGCCAATCCGAGCGCAACACTGGCAGAGGTGAAGATACTCCCCGTCCACGCGAACCAACCGGTCAGGTAGGACGCGAAGTTCGCATATCTGGGGGATGCCAGCTCGTTTGCCCAGAAGTACTGGCCTCCCGCATTGGGCATAGAACTCGCCAACTCAGAGAGTGTGATCGCCACACAACTGGAAATGAACGCAATCCACGGGATGCCGTACATGACCAACAGCGGCCCGCCAGACGGAATGCCCGTGACCAGGGAGGCAGACATGCCGAACCACGAGTTGGTCAGTGAGAAGCCTACTCCGAGCAACGACAGCAACGAGAACTTGCGCTTCATATCCTGGCTGTAGCCCATGGCCGCGAGATTCATGGCATCTTCGTCAAGGGAGCTCTTTGAGCCGGGATCGCTGGTCGGAGACGTCACCACGTTATCGATTTTGTCTATTTCTTGAGACATGGTTGCTGATTTATAGTTTAGTTCTTCTGCTAATAAGAAATTCACAGAGATTTTGGAAATAAGATTTTTTTCCCCTCTTGTTGGTTTGTTTTTGTCAGATTTTTGATTGGCTTAAGCAATGAGATGTAGCAAATACAGGGCGTCGGTACGTAATATATACTTGTCGCTTAGGAAGGAATGAATGATACGATATCACGATATCCTTTGCTGCATTGGGCTTGAGTACTGGCTCGACTGGTTTTTAAGTGAAAGTACTTTGAACAGGGAGCGGCGCATTGGGGGTGGGAATATCGTGAGCTTTGTCGCCTGTGGACGTGATAAACGGTCACTTCAAATTTAGATGAGCACAAGACAACTCCGTGTCACCACGTATTTGATATTCTTTTTGCTGCAAATGACTTTTCCTGTCCGAAGGAAGAAACTAATCTCGATTGTTTCTGAAAAGGCTATACAACAACAAAGCGGGTTGAGCCAGCCGCTGTGGTAAAAGACTGCCAAATCACTGGGTATCAATAGTTTCGTACAGGTCGTCTAATGCACCCGCCGCTGCCAGTATCCAAGCACAGCACAGTTACACACAGACAAACAGGTAGATGGCCAGACGTGGCAAAAAGAAAAGGGAGGGAGGAGAGAAGAAGGAAACAACAATAATAGGGCGGCGGCGAAGGTCAACCGCCAGTCAGTGTCAGGCTCACGGGTGGGATACAGACGAACCCCAAAAGGACCGGGACGGTGGGATCCCGTATCGCTTTTATAACGGCGCCTGGCACGTCGAGAAGAAGAGCGCAAGAGCACCCGAAAAGATTAGCGGATCCCAGAGTTTTTCAAGGATTTATGGCGCCGGCAAGCTGGTGATGGCACCGGTGTCAGGTCACGTGAATGTTGGAATTTCGCCTTCTTCCGCCAGATTCTGGGAAAGCTTAAACAAAACAGCCACCCGCCATCACCAACCACTGTTTCTGTGGACGAGCCAAAGGATTGATTCCCCACCTCTAGCGGAGGAACAGTGTTTGCAATGACGACGGCGAGGGCGAATAATAATGTCGCAGGCAAAATTTCGCAGGCAGAGACAGGTTCTCGGGTCCAATCAACCCCCCCGTACGGGAAATCGCTCCGGTGAGACTTGAACCTTGTTATCCTAGGGCCCTGTCGGCTATTATCTCTCCCTTCGAGCCGTCATCGTCCTCTTTTCTTTTCTTCCGTGGGTGCTCTGTAGGAGGAGCGTGTCACTGGCGCATGCACAATGACGAACACTTCGCATATTTTTGAGCCTGCCAGATGAAACAGGCGGTATCGGTTCGTGTGTTTTGCTCTGGTGAGTCGTTACCGGTATGCCACGCGGGTGTGGCTGACGATCCTTCAAACTTCAGCGCCATGAATGGAAAACTGGGAAAGGTGGCTTTCAGTGTCTTTGATCAAGATTGACTAATTGATGTTGCTGATTTTTTTAGCCTCGGTTCCATCTCACCACAGCCGGATTACTAATACCGCCACGGGAACAGGGTCAAGTTTGACATCATATTGCTGTTTACTGAAGTACTGTATATGGTTACTCCATAGTTTTGTCCAAAACCTCTGTTGGGCAAAAGACACGGAAAATATCTCAGTCGTATATTATTTCAGCGCTAGGCTATGATTCTTTCGCCGTTTACAAGTGCATACGCAGGAGCTTGTAAGCCCGGCTACTAGATTTTCTCAAGGAACGAGTGGGACCCCAACAATAAAATAGAAAGTGGGGGTTACGGGATACGACTCTGCCTGGAGGATTGTCTTTGTGGATCTCTGACTTGCTCCAATGCAATGATGGGCATTCCTTGCGTGCGTTAGCCTTTTTCCAGCAAAGCGCAAAATCGATCTGCGCTTGGAGCACATGGAGCCCGCTTGAGCGTCGGCGAGGTCCGAGCACTCTTTTGTTGCCACAAAACCACTTCTACATTTGCCTGGGCTGGTTCGGGCTTTGGGCAATGGGTGAGATAATTTCTTCTAAGAAGTTGAAGCCTCGATTTGATTTTTTCAAAATTCGCAGAGTGATGGGAGAGAAACAAATAACGCTCCTTGGGGGTTGGGAGGAAAGGGGATAATGATGAAAAATCCCCGATTGGGTGGGGAAAATTAATCTTCTTCATTTTTAGACTCCCATTATTGCTGTTTTTACGCATATGGATTTGAGAGCGGGGAGGGGGAATCTCCAAGTCCAGGCAAGATTTTTTGCCTTTCATTTCACATGGGAATGAACCAGATGAACTCTAAATAAATAAATATTTGCTACCTAACAAACTCCAATGGGCGAAATATCCATGCCAATGAAACGAAAAAGAGCTTTAACATAAGCAGCAAGAACGCCAAACCGGTTCCGTCTATAGCTTTTTTTTGACGGGTGTGAGTGAAATGAAAAGTACCACCCGGAGAGAGTATATATATGTATATATGCATATCATTATCACAATCTCCGCGGTTGCAACGCAAGAGGGCAAAGAGAAAAACGGTGGAAGGAAAAAGGGACAATAGAACTGAATGTCGCGAAACGATGTGAGAGAGGTGAAAAAGAGTCTATGTAAGAAATCCATCGCATGTATGATATCCCGATCTGCAAACAGAAAAACATTAAGAAACAGAAAAGAATAAAATCCAAACCAAAAAGAGGCGGGAAAAAATAAATAAATAAAAGGAAGCCCCCTTATGTTCACATCATTAACTTCGGTCTTTTACGACCAAAAATAATCGCTGGTTCGAAAATGTTATGCTTCATCATCGGTGTCTGGCGGGTGAGGTGTGCCTTTGGGAGAGTTAAGCCTGGAAAGAGGAACGTTATATGTTAGCATAGTCCACCCATCAAACAAGGATGAGAAGGAAGAATTGACAACGCACCATTCAATATGTCTCAATCGCCTCCGCACCTCACGTTCCTTCATCTGTGCACGAGTCAACTTCTTCTTTTTCTTCGCCTTGAACTTCAACTCTCCGCCCGCATCCTCCGCCCCAGAATTAGCTGCAGACGCCGCCGCAGAGGCTACCGCGCTGGAAACGACGCTGCTAGCCACAGTGCTGGGTCCGCGCGAGCTGTCCTCAAACCGGTCGAGGGAGAGCGATACATGGCCCTTATGCGTCATCCGGCCGTTTTCGACATGCCATTGCTCCGGGCATAGCGCACCGACGAATTCCTCGTTATGGGAAATCATCACCACACCCCCCTTGTAGTCACGGATGGCGACGGCAAGACCGCCCAGCGAGTCGCGGTCCAGAAAGTTAGTGGGCTCGTCAAGGACGAGGAGATGCGGGTTATTCCACATCGCGCCGGCGAGGACGACTTTGACCTTTTGGCCGCCGGAGAGACCGGAGATTTGGTTGTGGTTTGCAATTTCTGGATCGAGGCCGACGTCTTCGAAGTGCTTGGAGATTACTTTCGGTTCCAGGACGCGGTAGCCTAGACCCTCACGAGAGGCTTCGTGGTCGTCGTATTCTTGGACGAGCTTTTGGAAGCCTTCTTTTAAAAGTGTTTCGCGGGAGATGAAGGAGTTGTGCTTGGGAAGCATCCCAACCCATTTACTGGTTTGAATGTCAGAGAAGGGAATAGGGACAGAAACGAGAAAACAAATGAAAAGTGATTTGGAGGAAGAGGATTAAACGGCTTACACTTCATATTGGAACGTCTTCTTCAACTTTTGTCGGCCAATCAAGGCTTCGATACGTCGAGGGCCTCTCCCATCTCCAATATCGATTGTTTTCTCCATTTGGATACGGTCCTCCTCAGTCAAGATCCTGGTTTGCTTCATCAACACCTCCCGATCATCGCCATTCTGATATCTCCATTGTAAATATTGGTTGGGTGTCTTTTCCATATGCATCTCCACGTGCTCCAAGGCGTGCTGTTTAATGTACCCGATTCGAAGGTTGGGATGCTTTTCAACCTTGCCACTTTGAGGAATAAGCTCTCCAGTCAACAGCTTGATGAAAGTGGACTTGCCCGCTCCGTTACCGCCAATTATGGCTGTGCGCGAGGAAAGTGTCAGAGAACAGCTTGCATCTATTAGAGAAGGCTTCGAATTTCCAGGATAAGTGTAAGTCACATTAGTCATGCGAAGGATGGCACGGGTTTGCGACTTGACCCCAGTTAAGATACCCGGAGGAGGGAATTTGAATTGAACATTCGACGAGCTAAGGGTATAGTAGCTCTTCGCTTCCGGCTTAACCTTGACAAACGCAGCAAGGTTGCCCTTGTACCAGACTAGTTTCTTTCCTTCATAATGGTAGATATCGGTACACACTTCGTCCAAAAAGCTGGAGTCGTGACTGACAATTAAACTGGTGATCTCGGTGTGTTTCTTTAGGTATTCCTGCAACCATTTCACATTCGCAACATCCAAATGATTGGTCGGTTCGTCAAGAAGGAGAACGTCAGCCCCCATGAGCATTGCTCGTGCCAGAGCCAGCTTCATTTTCCAACCACCGGAAAGGGAGCCAACTTTCTGTTGCTGCCGTCCGCCGGGGCCGGCAGTGAATCCAACCTCGCTCAAAACCTCGGAAATTCGTTTTTTGCCGCTTGCAGCCAGTTCCGGGTCTTTAGCAACGAATTCCAAAATACTCAAATCCGCATCTTCGCCTTGGTTATGCTCCACGAAGCATGTCTTCAAGACATCCTTGGGAGGAAATCCCTCCAGCTTTCCCTCCGCAATGCTGCGCATAAGAGTGGATTTTCCCGCTCCGTTGCGCCCGCAGAGTCCGTATCGATGGCCCTTGAGGAGTCTTAGGTTTGTGTGGGAGAGCAGAAGCATGCCACCATATGCAAGAGAGAAATCCGCATTGACAATTTCCACCTCGTCTGTGTCTTCTTGCACTGGTGCTCCATATTTCCGCTTGTCCTCCTCTATGAAGTGAGCGTGAACTGCCGAAGCGATCACCCCCTCTTGTCCTTCTTTGACTAACTGGCTGAGATAAGGTCCGATGCAAAGTGGGATGCGTTGGAGAAGTCGTGAATTCACGTCGTCCCGAACCATTTCTGAGATATATGTTTTCGTGATAGCCCAGAATGGTTCATCTTCCTTGCGCACAAGGCCGCCATGGGCTTTTACCTGCTGCTCTAACACCTTCAGGACTTCATCTGTTGTGACTTGGGCCACAGCCCCGTTGGCCAAGTTAGAGCTGTCATCGCCCATAGCTTTCTGGATGACATTCAATGCTCGTGTTGCTAGCTCCCGGACCTCGGGTAGCGAAGCTCTGTCTTTCACTCCTTGCACGCCTGGCTTCAACTTTGGTAAAAATGTCCTTGCTTCATTAGGATCATGGACGAGTTTTGTGAGATTCTCGACGACAACGACTGTTTGGCGAAGGACTTCTTGTGGGGTTGTAGGTGTGTTCAGAGATCGTTCAAGAAGAGGAGTGAGGAGGGCTAGCACCGGGGAGGTAACTATCGCAACGAACGTAGTCTGTGACAGGGCATGGATGGCCTTTTGTAAAATTTGTGCGTCGGGGTTTTCCATCGCTTTAATTAGCAGCGGGATTCTGGGAGCTACATCGTCATTGTAGAGGACTGTCGTCAGAGCAGTCATGGTTTTGACAGCTTGTTTTGAGACCTCGTTTTTCATATCGTGCATGCCAGACTCGACGATAGGGATCAAATCCTTTAAACACTTGCCCACAGAATCACGGAGCAAGTCTTTTTGCAGACTCTCCTCCTTAGTATCCGAACCAGCCTGAGTTTTCTCAGCCACTTTTTCCAGAAGGCGATAAGCCTCCACAGCACCTTGCCACTTCGCAGTAGGTTTGCTAAGATACGCCGATAGCGCTGGAACAAAGGCGGTGACCAACGACTCAACCTTCAGACAAGCAAACAGCGCATCAACAGCATATTTGGCGGCCTCCCGTACCACAGCACCCTTATCACCTAGCGCATCCAAGGCCAGGGAAAGCAGCCCTCCGCCCTCAATTAAGAATATAACCTCGCTAAGCGGTTGTTCTCGAGGAAACCTCTCGAAAAGGGCGCCTAATATCAGCATTGCACTCTCTCGCTTTGCCCCGCTTTTCTTATCTACTGCCGCTTTTTGGATGCCCCTCAACAAGCCATAGCCGTGTAGTCCTCGAAATCCGACGGATTGGATGAGGAGGTTTGTCAAGGCGTAGGAGGCGTCTAGAGACTCTTGCGATTTGTCTGCATTCAATATCGTGTTCATCAAAGAGGCAACCTCCTCCTCGGAGGGGGGAACTGAGGATGGGGTCTTCGGGATAACAAGTGGCGCGGATGACATGGTGGGTGATCGTGATGGCGAGACGGGATGTGGCATACTTCAGCGGAAAAAGGAAAGCCTAAGGGAAGCCTAAGGGAAGAGAATAGACACCACAGGAGAGGTAGAAATCAATAGATTCGAGTATATATAGCTGTGTGAAGAGTGGAGATTGTTGTGCGGTCGCAAATTTGGAGACGAGTCTAACAAAATGAATAATAAGGAAAACGTTAAATAGATGATATCTTCAAGAACGGTGCTCTATTAAATGTGCTATAAACCGCGAAACAAGAACATGGAGGGTGCTTAAAAAAAAAAAAAAACCAAAAAAAAAAGAAGCGACACCTGGATAAGGCTACGTTGAAGCGATAAAAAAAAAGTTTATGTTGGCCCAGGCGGGAATTGTCTGATTAGTCAGCGTTCTGCCAACGAACTGGCCATAGGAAGGGTCCGAAGGGATTTACGTCTTTGAATATATAAGAAGTAGGAGGAGTATTTTGAAGTCTTGATAGCGGTGCTAGGTTGGGCATCTATATGTAATAACATAGCAGATCTGCGGTTGCTCTGCACCCAGATGTCTATCCATAGATTGAGATATTCTTAATTCGACTCCAGTACAGTAATCTACAGTACATACCAGCCGCTAAACGAAGAGAGATCGGCAACTACACAACGGCGCGCTTAGCCTTTAGATATCCGTGGATGCTTGAACCGCTTAGACAAGAGAGACCATCTACAATCGAGCTCGTGGTGAATGCTATGAGCTGGATGGGTAAGCAGTGACTACCAAAGCCTCATCCGTAAAATCTACATTTCTAGAAAAATCAAACGTAATCGTTCCATTTGATCCCGTGGCAATAATGCGTGAGTTACTCAGGGGGATTAGAAAGCTGTAGATTAATAAATTAGCGTACAGCGCCTGTTTTGGTTCTCTATTTTGTGGAGAAATAAGGGAGGTGAAATGGTTCAAACATACAATCTTCAGTATTCCCTTCGCCCATACTCTTGTTAGAGCTGCTGCCGCTGAGGATAGAGCCGACAATGCCGTCCATATAGGGGGCGCCACTCCATTTCTGGTGCGTGAGGACGTCGACCCCCATCACCTTCTCTCGCCTTTGGATGAGGTTCACATAAGCCAACATGCCATCGTCTTTGAATTTGCGAGAAAGTTCACTTGTCATGGTAGCATTAGAGTGGAGACCGGCGAGGGAGATCAGTTGAAGGGTGAAACTAGAGACAGTTAGTTAATCTCCTGGTTCACGAGGCTTTTAATATAGTAGGGGCCTAAAGCAAGCAAAAAGGAATGAAAGAATAACTCACCCATGCTGAGCGATATCCCAAATAAACGACTTGAGAGTGGCTTCGGTGAAACCGTGTCCCATCCAATTAAAAGAAGGGCTGAGATTGTACACCAGCTTTTTGCCAGGGTATTTTGCTCGGATCTCTCCTGCGAACGAGGCTGCCTTCTCGACACTTGGGTCGCCAGTTTCAACCCAGAGTAGGTCTGCGTAGGGAGCAAAGTTGATCGCACGTTTCGTGGCCGCAGAATTACCAGCACGGTAATGGTAATAACCCTCCCGAGTCCGGGGAATATCCCAAGACCAGAATACGGGCGACTTTGTGTATTTGCCTGCAAGAGCTCGTCGTTCATTGATCGACATGTCCCGGTTTTCGGTAACTTGCTTCTTATATGCGTCAATGGATGACTGTGAGGCTCCCTCGGATTTAAGATGCTGCTCGACAGCTGTATACGGATGTTAGTGCCTTGGAGATGAATAGCAGTTAATGGGGCGAAGTTATTCATGTATATTCCTAGGATTACCTTCATCGTACGTAACAAGTTTATGACTTTTAACCCATTGTGACTCGAATTTGTCGATCTCAGAGCCAGGGGCTCCGTCCAACTCCATTCTCTGCAGGGTTTCGGCGAGCGGACTGGAGTTTTCAGTCACACCGAGGATGAACTCATGATCCCGGACATCGATGGTGCTGCTGAGGAGTTTGCCGCTTTCCGAGTCCGTTCGGGCGATGAGAAGGTTTTCGGTTCCCATAATATCCCATTGGAATCTTGCGGCGACGAGTCTATTGATGTGTTCGGCAATGGGGACAAGCACTTTGCCGGCAAGATGGCCGCATTTTTTGCCTCCATGAAGCTGGTCCTCGAAATGGACAGCAGCGGCCCCGTTTTCGGCAAAGAGTTTGGCCAGTTTCAATACTGCCGTAAGGCCTCCGTGCCTATTTGGAAAATTGTTAAAACGCGCTCTGAATTTCAGTGGTGACCGCAACTAACCCTGTATCGCCATCAGCGATTATTGGTCGCATGAAATCGGTGTACGGTGTCGTCCTGCGCTGTTCTGCAGAAAGCTTCCTTCTCGCATCCCATTCTTTGCGGTCGTGCATTTGCTGAGCCTTGAAGAGTCTCTGGACCTGGTTTGGGACTGTGTTGTAAGGGTAGTCTCCAAAGTCCGGGGATACTTCGTTTGTGGTAGTGAGGAGGGATGAACACGCCCACCCTGATATATACAGCACCTCTTGGTTGGGAGCTTGCTGTGTCATCTGGACGGGATCAATAGCGCCAACTGTATTTCCGTTAGGAGAGATCAAAATACCCAAGAGGTAATAAGAGCTGGAAGCATCACGCACGGGTATGTACAGGTTTTCCAGCCTTTGCCCTCTCATTCAACAAATTGAATAGCTTTCTGGCCATAATCGAGCTTGGGTAAGTCTGCTGCAACGACCCCCGCTTGCTAACAACCGCCTCTGCTGAGTATGGGCGCTTGATACCCTCAAAGCGCGGGGTGCTCCACCACTTGGTCACAGCTTGTACTTGCTCTTCAAAAAGCGCATCTTCAGCGGCCCCAGATTTTCCAGAGGAAGGTAGTAGCTGGAATGAATCGGATGCGTGTGCCACTGAGACAGGCGGGTTGACTGGAGGCAGTTGAGACGCCATCCATGGGCAGCCACAGGAGAACGTTCGGGCGGCAGTATAGGAGAGAGAGGGAGGGCGAGAGAATGGACGAAGTTGTCGGGGCAAACGGCGAGCAGCGTTGCGAATCATGATCGGCCGTGGAATAACTGCCCTGACCAGCTCTGCCGGGTTCAACCAGTAGGAAAGAAAAAGTGCCCAAGGAGTTCCACTTTTACGTATGTCTGAAGAGGCTGTTATACATGGTCAGCGAGAGGGAATTGAGTCGAAAGAGCTTCTTTCCAGAATACAAATGGCAAGTAAAATATAGTGTATACATACCAGAAGCTGAGGAGACTCGGATTTCTACCAGCCCGTTGATGATGACAGCACAGAAACTGCACGATGGTCAAGTAGAAGAAAAGAGGCAGCTCGTCATATGGCAAACCCTAAGCAATTAGCGAGTTAACGAGTGGATTCTCACTGTCTGCCCCTGCTGGTTGCTCCTTGTATCCTCATCTCCCGTGAAGCCCCTCGGCAAAACGCCCAGCGAGATCCGTCTCCAGCCGCAATTTAGCCTAGCCGGTGTTTCGGGCGGGCGGCTCTCGCCCGGCGTATTTTCCCTCAACCTCCTCCAATATTTCCCAGAAATCCCAACAAACAGAATACTCTTTGAGCGTTGTTCACCCTGTTGCACCTCTCTTCTCCCAATTGATCAATATCCTCGAATACACTTCCGAAAATGGCATTGGCTAGAGGCACTACAAGACAGGTGCTGAGGGCGTCTCAGGTATAGTGCTACTACGATCCCGGCCGGGTGCTTCAACTCGGTTTTTTTCCTTTCTTCCTGTGCTCACCTTTTCCTATCTTAGATTGCCTCTCGGTCATTTGTCCCGGCTTCTCGCTACTACTCGACCGCAGAATCTGACCTCAAGACCACTTTCCAAAATGCTATCCCCGCAAAGAAGGAGTTGTTCCAGGAGGTCAAGAAGCGTGGTGAGGACGTCATTGGCGAGGTGACCATTGCCAACACCATCGGAGGCATGAGAGGCCTGAAGGCCATGGTTTGGGAGGGCTCCGTACTAGACGCCAACGAGGGCATCCGCTTCCACGGCAAGACCATCAAAGATTGCCAGAAGGAGTTGCCAAAGGGCACTTCCGGAACTGAGATGCTCCCCGAGGCGATGTTCTGGCTGCTACTCACCGGTCAAGTTCCGACCACCCCCCAGGTCCGAGCGTTTTCCCGTGAACTGGCAGAGAAATCACTTCTTCCTCAGCACATTCTGGACCTTGTCAAATCTTTCCCCAGGACAATGCACCCAATGACCCAATTATCCATCGCAGTTGCGGCTTTGAACACCGAGTCCAAGTTTGCCAAGGCTTACGCCGATGGTCTCAACAAGGCTAGCTACTGGGAGCCTACCTTTGATGACAGTATTGCTCTCCTCGCCAAGATCCCCCGCCTCGCAGCATTGGTCTTCCGCCCCAATGAGATCGAGAAGGTGGGCAAACAGGAGCTCGACCCCGCCCAGGACTGGGCGTACAATTTCGCAGAGCTCCTTGGAAAGGGCGGCAAGGCCAATGAAAGCTTCCACGACCTTCTCAGGCTCTACCTCGCCCTTCACGGTGACCACGAGGGTGGAAACGTTTCCGCCCACGCCACTCACCTCGTTGGAAGCGCCTTAAGCGATCCCTTCCTCAGCTACAGCGCTGGTCTCCTCGGCCTTGCCGGTCCCCTCCACGGCCTTGCTGCTCAGGAAGTGCTCCGCTGGATCCTGAAGATGCAAGCCGCAATCGGCAACAAGTTCACAGATGCGGATGTCAAGGACTACCTCTGGTCCACTCTCAAGTCCGGTCAGGTCGTTCCTGGCTACGGACACGGTGTTCTGCGCAAGCCAGACCCTCGCTTCGAAGCTCTGATGGACTTCGCCAGCACCAGGCCTGACATAATGGCCAACCCGGTCTTCCAGCTCGTCAAGAAGAACTCTGAGATCGCCCCCGGCGTGCTGGCTGAGCACGGAAAGGTAAAATCCCCCCCCCCCTTACTCGAAAGGAATCTATGGGAAAACTAACCTGATCTTATGATAAAACAGACGAAGAACCCTCATCCGAACGTCGACGCTGCCTCAGGTGTTCTCTTCCATCACTACGGGTTCCAAGAACCCCTTTACTACACCGTCACCTTCGGTGTGAGCCGCGCTCTCGGCCCACTCGCCCAGCTCATCTGGAGCCGCGCCTTGGGCCTGCCCATCGAGCGCCCCAAGAGCATCAACCTCCAGGGCCTTCTCAATTTGTCCAAGAAATAAATTCTGTGCCAGTTCTTCTAGAAGCTGAGAAATGGAGAGAAATGGTAAGTTTGATGTAGCTGTTGGGTGCCGTGGATGAGTAAACCGTCAAAAATTTAGGTAACTAGAGGAGGGAGGTCGAAAAATGGACGACATGATATCCAAGCTTGGCAAAGGTGTATTTTTGTTGTTTTTTTTATGTCTGTATTTACATGTACATTTATTTACATTGAAATGTTAATAGAAAGCCAGATACCAAAAAGTTTTGCGTTATGTTTACTTTTGTGTTTGCGTTTATATTTTTTAATATTTTATATTGATATTCATTTTTATCTTTTTTGAGACCTCCTGTCGCGTTTGCTAACTTGCGGTGTATAAGTTCTCCATCGAGCTGTCTCCCTGTCAACAGACCGTCAATCGCTGGAACTGTAGCCATTTTTTTTTTGTATATTAAAAGAAAGAAAATAAAAGAAAAGAGAAGAAAAATCGTGAACCTAGTGAATTGGAAAATCCATCCATATAATATGCATTAGAACGTTCTTTTCACATGTCGGATTATTTATACGACGGTGGTTCCCTGGAGGAAAGAAAAAAACCCGGGCCTTTCCCAGGTTCTCGGTTTCGATATAGGTATGATATTTGCAACACAAGCAAGCGAAATAAGCAGATTCCTCATCGTGGGTAAAAATGTCCAAATTGGCACATGACATTAAATTTCTTCAAGGATTCTCAAATGTCATTTTCAAGCCCAGCGATAAGGATAACTAGTCAATAGTTGAAAACGGTGCAGAGTATATTATTCCGACAACTTGTATTCTGCACCCACCCTATCCTCCTGGCTCCATACCACGGGAGGGGTATCGATACTCAAGAGCGCAGCTAGGCAGCACATCCCGTCGCTCGACAGGAGGCCGCATAGTAAAAAGTTGACCCCCAAGTGTGCTTCCGGAATAGTCGAGTCGCATCATATCAAAATCAGCGAAATTGCCTGTGACGCCTGAGTCGTGGTCGCCATCGGAGAGGGTCCGCCAAGTTGGCACCAAGGCCAACGTCCAGGAACGTGAAAAAAATGACTCGGATACAACGTCGTAGATGCAGCGCCGTATGCACTAGCTGCCGTTTTCGCTGCATTGGTTCTGTTCACAAGGACAAGGAGAGGTATCACCAGCTGGCTTTCACTGTTATCCGAGGAAGGATTTCCACTGGTTCCCGAATCAGGCATAGGATAGCATTCCGGCGCATTGCAGCCGTACCATCGTCGGTTGCTTGCGTGGGGCGAATTTTCGCAATTGCGCGAGGCCATGAGTTTGGTCGAGGGAACACAAGTCCACAAGTGCTATGCAACCAAGCGCCATTTCTGGAGTTGGAGCTATCCGAGAAGGAACATATACACCATTTACATAGTTATCCGATCCGTCAAATATAGGGGAGACATTGTCTTCCGTCAAAGAAGGGGCCTGGACACGAAGCCGATCACATGTCGCATGTAAACCTAGAGGATCGAAAGAGGAACGGAGAATCTGTCCTTGCATCGAAGTATAAAACCGGATAAAAGAGTTTCCCAGGGTCTTTTATACCCCGCATGCTTTTCACAAGGAATGCGCATACTTTGCTTGAGCATCATAATCTGCATGGCCCATGTGAAAGTCTAGTGTATATCAATTCGGGGGTGCATGCTCCTGACTAGTCACTAGCCTTAGAAAACAGGACAAGTCAACTGATCAAAGTGGTGTTTCGCTGCAGGTATCCAGGTCGACTTCGCGTGGAAATATTTGGTATCTCATGGTTCAGTTCGTCTAAATTGGAGCTTGAGCAGGGCTTGAATGAAGCTCGCATATTCATGTCTGGGAACCCTGAAAGAGTTACAAGGACCCAACAAATACGAAGGGGGGATACATAAGTCTTCAGAAATCATCCACTTTGGCGTCTCATGCCACCTTATTACATCCATTGGGTAGTCCATGGAGGTTGCTCAAAATATAGATATAGATATAGCTAAAGAATATCGATAACTAACAAAAGGACATGCCCGCGATTAGTCAGTCGATCTGATAACAGCCCTATCTCCACCAAACATCGCAGCGACAACTCCCCGTTGTTTCAACACGCCCACCGGCATGCATCAGAGCCATTGGCTAACTACTGCACATCTGCAACCGTCCGACGTAGTTTTTTCTCCAACCTCAATATGTGCAATGCGCGCAATGCGTGCAATGTGTGCAATGCCCGCGCCGCCAGCAGCAACCCCTTTAGGAAACTTTTGAGTTGCCCCTCGCGAATGATGCGCGCAGTTCCACATACGATGGAAAGGAGAGGATGCCGCAAACTAGTTGACGCCGCTGGCTGACCTGGTTAGGGTTGCTCCATGGCCTGGCTGGATATTGCACCAGAGGTCCTAATGCAGTCGACTATTTGGGAGATCCAAGGTTCTAACAGCCAACCTGGGCTGTCCATGCAGGGTTGATCTATAAAATAGCTGCATGAACCTGGAAGACACCACCAGCGGCGAGATTCCACTGCACAGTACATGCCTATTTGGGGGAAAGATCCATCCGAGGGAAATAACATATAACGATACACATTACACACACATATGAATAAAAATATATATGTGCTGCATTTCCAGGCAAATAACTCGAGGAATATGCGTGAGGCCTACTTCACACTCTTCTTGAGCCACCCTTCTCATGCTCACATACAAAGCTACAACCATGGTCTCCTCCAGCGTGGTTGACACGCTGGCTCTCTAATCGAGCTTATCGATAGCCTCGACAACCTACCAACAAATCCTCCGTCGCTGTACATCGATCTCGAAGGCATCAAGCTCTCTCGCGAAGGCAGCATTTCTATCCTTCAACTGCTCAATCATCCAGAAGAACACGTGTATCTCATCGATATCCATCTCCTTGGTGAGGAAGCCTTCACGACACCTGGCACAAATGGAAAATCGCTCAAGAGCATTTTAGAATGCCCGGTGACACCCAAGGTCTTTTTCGATGTCCGAAACGACTCGAATGCGCTGTTTTTCCATTTTGGCATTCGCCTTCAAGGAGTCGAAGATCTACAGCTTGAGGAAAGCGCGTGCAGGCCCGGACCGCTGTCGAGGAAAAAGTTCGTCTCGGGCCTGGCAAGGTGTATAGAGATCGATCTGCGAATTTCTCCTAGCGCTAAAAGAGTGTGGAAAGAGAGTAAGGATAAGGGGATGCGGCTCTTTGCCCCGGAGTGTGGTGGATCCCATGAAGTATTCAACCTCCGACCCATTCCTCAGAGTATTATAGATTATTGTGTCCAGGACGTTTCATTTATGCCGCACTTGCGAACGCTTTATTGGAGCAAGCTTTCGCCCGAGTGGAAGGCCGAGGTTGATGTTGCAACGAAGGAGCGGGTTCGAGCGTCTCAGACTCTGACATACCAGCCAAATACTAGGGACAAAATCCTAAGCCCATGGCAGAGTGTCGACGGTGGGAGGGCGGCAGATGATTTTTTTGGACGTCTTGATTTGTTTGGCGGCCGGTTACTGGGGCCATGAAGGTGGGATGGTGGACTGCAAGATAGTGGCGCGTTCAGGCCCCTTTATTCAGGAAGTGTGAAATAACTTGAACTTATTTCCTTATGTGTTCAATGCTGCATTTCCATTAAATCGATGTTAACGCGGTTACCATTTGTGCGGTTTGAATTCTCCGATTTTCATCACTTAGATTCTAACAGGGCGAGATAATATTGTGTTCGACGGAACAGAAGGTTATTTCAAATGGGGAAAACGCAATTGGGCTTTGGAAGGAAACTTAGGGATGTGGGATCTTGGAGCTACATTGATATGCATACGAGATGTGCCAAAGAACGAGTAATAGTAAAAAACCACTACGTTGCCCAATGTTCTTTCGCAACCGTGCGCGAAGGGAGTGGACCATACATAAATAAATCCGTCAATCATTTGTTTTCATCCCAATTAATTCGACTGCCTCCATTGGACTAATGTAGTCTCCAGTATTCGAACATCTACCGTACAAGCGGTTCATCCAATAGGAATTAAACTTTACCTTCCAGTTAAAAAGACCCACTGAACCGGCGCAACACGAGATTTCTATCTTTTGTGTAGAAGGTAGACGGGCATTGCCCTCTCCAGATTGTCTATGATTCGCTACACAAAAAAACTGAGGCTCCACAATGCTGGCACTCAATAACCGAGGGACTTGGCGTGGACAATGCAATGTGTACGCCACTTCTCTCGGGCTAAATAAAGTAGCTTCTGGGATGGGATATATGATAATGGAAAAGGATAGCCAAATCGTGTGAAGGAGCATATACATAGAGGATTCTATCATATTTGAAAAAAATATAGTCTAAGTAGCGGGCTTTATGAAAGCGACGAACCAAACCAGGGGCTGGAAGATCCCAGAGAGGAAATCGATTGTGTAGGCGAAGGGCTAAAGTGTAAGGTGTATGATCTGTTCGATACTCACTTCATAGCTTAACACGGCCGCTGACCAGGTCTTCCCAGTCGCTTCGCCCAAATTCCAAGTATGTATCATTCTGTGGAAGAAGCCACAAGAATCTGTCATTCTTTCCTTCCGGAGCCTTCGACCCTAGTTTGTCGGGATCGACGCCTTCATCCCTCAAGGGGACCTTATTTTGTTTCTGGTTGTGAGTGTGGTTAGAAGCTTCGACTAGGCGCAAAAATACCGGAACCGCGTACTTGGGCAACCTTTCGCGCGCATATCGAGCAAAAGCGGCAAAGCCCAAGTTGACCCGTTGATCAGGCTGGATGAGGATAGCCGCACAGCCGGCACGACCTTCGTGGGTAGGCACAGAGACGCCGTAAACGTTAGCCTCGGCGACACCGGGGTATTCGCCCAGGACGGTGGCTACTTCTGTAGTGGACACGTTCTCGGATTTCCAGCGGAATGTGTCGCCGAGATGATCGAGGAAGTACCAATGGCCATCATCTGTGCGGCGAAGCGCGTCCCCGGTACGATAGTAAATGTCCCCCTTCTTGAAAACGTCCCGGACGAACTTCTTAGCTGTCGCGTCGGGGTTCTTCCAGTCGCCCTGGAAGGCAGATTCGTCGGGCACGGAGATGATGATTTCGCCTCCTTCGCTATACGGAGCACGCGTTGCGAAACCTGTTTTTGGATCGCGGTACATATCTCCAGTCATGGGGTCGATAACAACGGGGATATAAACATTATGCATCAGGCGGCGGAGGATAGCACCGTGATGTCCGACACAACGGGATTGGTAGGGACCGCTGTCGTAATTGATCAACGTAAAGAGTCCTTCCGTGCTACTGAAGAACTCTGCAACATTTGGAATACCGAACCGTTCCTTGAATTTCTCCCAAACGTCGGGTCGCAGGCCATTGCCGTACATGCAGCGAACATTATGACCGCGATCCAATGGCGAGGGTGGGGCAGCAAGTAGATACCTAGCGGTCTCCCCAACATAAACGAAGTATGTCGATTTGGAATCATGAATGTCTTTCCAAAACCTGCTCGTGCTAAACTTCTTGGCTATAGCAACGCTCACACCAGTGAGTATGCAGGCTATGATGCAAACAGAGGCAGTGCCATGGTACATCGGCATACACACATGCCACCTGTCACCTCCATAACCTTCTCTGTCGCGTAAATCTTTCTGGAAGATCATAGTATACATCCGATTCATAGTAAACGCGCATCCTTTGGGTAGCCCAGTTGTGCCTGAGGTATAAAGAAGCATAGATGGGAATTCACCATCCATGTTGCGAGGAAGACTTCTATCCGAAACAGCTGTCGGAAATGAGGAAATATGACTCTTGAGAGAATCATCTAAAAACACAGAATGCATCTTGAGATCATTCTCAATCTCATTCCTCTGGTCATGAATCCGTGCCGTGCATTCAGCGTCTGCGTCCACAACTATGACATCTGCTCCACTGAGTTTGAGGCAGTGAATCAGCCCCGCCCCTGTGAGATTGTAGTTAATCATTGCGGGACCACAACCGATAGACCACAGGCCGAGCCATGCAAACACAAATTCGGGGGAATTCTGTAGGTAAAATGCCACCAAATGGCCACGCTTCACGCCAATGGAAAGGAAATAATTCCCATACTGGCAGGAAATATCAAGAACTTGACGAAATGTATACGAGCCGGTCCTTGACCAGACACAGAGCGCATTCGGGTACTTCTCGACCACGTTCCTAAAGACATACCACACGTTCAACCGTCCTTCTGCCTCTAAATTATGGTTGGAACATGAGATATCAGCCTAATCGGTGATGCCGAAAGTGAGCAAGCGGGATCACTTACTTGCGCGGGCAGCAATGCGTTCACTACGTCTCATCCGGTGGATCGTGTAGGCGTCCCGTCTGAGTTGGTACTTGCCATCCAGGTAGGCACCCAAGGCACCGACACACCGGCAACGGCAGCAGCAGCAGCTATTCAATCAATCTGTTAGCCAACTTGTAGTCTATTAAAGAGCGGATATGTGGTAGCAGTACCCAAGGCCATCTTGCTTCCAGCTTGCTTGGTTCCTGTGACAAAGAGAGCCCCTCTGTTCTGCGAAAAAGCTACTTGGCGCGAAGTTCAAGTATTATTAGACTTTACCCAAATTCGAACCGGCAATTGAAAGCAAATCTCACGACAGCTGTTGGCCAAAGGTTCACGAAATAACAGATTCAATCTATTGCCGTGCATGAGAAGGACGGCAATAAGATTGAACAGAGAGAAAGAACGAGATGAACTTGGTATAGTAACCTATACCAGAAGGCAAAGATAACATCTGCAACGCTTCTTATTCCTTAAGAATTTCCCCACTGAATTGCGATATCCTCGGCTCATCTCCATAGGAGAGAGTAATCCACCCAAACCCATTCGCTGGAGGAACGCCATTTTGCCTAGGCAAAGACTCCACGGGCCGAAGGCCTGATTTGCTTGAAGTTGAGAGGTTATTAACTTCAACCCCAATTTTTAGCACAGTCGCCCATCTGGAAATAGCGGAGTAGAGATTAGCTTGCTAAGATAATGGATTGATGAGGAGATAAAAAGGTTAGCCGGTGAGGAACCAGGAGATGGTTCTGCACACCGGTGTCCGGATCATGTGACTTATTAACACTAGCTATTGGTTTGGTGAAGTGGTGCTGTGGCCAAGCTTTGAAAAAACTCAACGTCTCTGCCGCGGTCGTCCCTTTACTTGGAGGATTTTGTCAGTAGTATTATCTGAAGCGTCGCGGGGAAACATCTTGCGCAGTAACTTGTTACTCCGTAGAGTTGCTGCGGCTGTTTTACACCCGAATGGCGTCTGGCGAAGTTTTGTTTTCGTTCCGAAAATAACGGGTTTATTTTTCCTTAACACATTTTCTGCCAGAAGCGTTGGATTCTCCGTCATTTTCGACCACATCAATGTCCTGATAAGAAGGAGAATTCCAGTTATCAAACGAGCTCCTGGCAGCAGAGCGAATGTTTAATCCGAGGTGAGAGCTTTCGCAGTGGTCCAGCATCCCGCCAAGAAACTCTCTGCCTTCTCCAATAGTCTGAGACAACATCATCCTGATTTAATCCTCTTTGCGGCCTTCAGGAATAATAGTAATGCGCTGATCCTTCTAGTTTGTCCTGATCTGGAGGTCATAACATCCGAGTCTCCCGTCCGTGGTACTTCTGGTGTGCGATGATATTTGGATATGGTGGTTTCGGGAACGACTTCTATATTTGCAATTTTCCTTCTAACGACAGCGTTTAGCCACTTGAAATCGGGCCTGATTTCCAGTTGGATAATTATTTCGCTGTCCCTATCCAGGATTATTTGATCCATCTATTGCTTCTCTTAGTAATTGCAGATGACAAACAAAGTCGCGCCTATGAGAAGTGATCGCAGTAGGCTTCGATGCAGGGAATGAAAACTGATATTCTGATGTCATTTGATTCACCCATCCCTTTGATCAAGAGGGTTGTAGAAGATTCCACTGTTTTGAAGAAGCCAGAGGTTTTCAAAAGCAGGTTTTTTTTTTTCTTTTTTCTTTTTTTGATAAGGGGTTCAATCCACGTGACTTGAATAACCCTATATAACCTCTATTTCTGATGTTCAGCAACTCCTCTGAAACAACAGTGCACCGACGCCGCCCGTGCCATAATGATCTATATATAAATGAACTCGATCGATAAGAATCGTTGTATGAGAGAGTAAATAAATCGAATCCTCCTGAGTTGCTGATGCCAAAATACTGCAAAATTCCCAACTTGATGACTGCCAGTGGCCAACCTCCTTACCGTTGCTTGCTACATTTCTGAAACGTCAAGAATCTCATATTATGCTCCACCAGTTACCCAAAGGGGCGATGCCAGTGCCAAATTCAGAAAGTTGGCGGTTTGATGCCCCATATATCAATTCAGCTGTTGTCTCATTGAGCATAACGCCATGCTTTGGCTGTGTCAAGGATGCGTTGGAGGTTGTCCCCTCTTTCGATATTTCCCGCTTCGGGATTCCATATTGATATGGAAAATTTTATATAAGTTCTGAAGGCAATTTCTATGTTCCTTTGGATCGAATAGAGCTCTCTCTAGTATTTTACTCCTTTATAAGGCGCTATCATCTGTTTGCTCCGAGCAAATGTTCTTTCGTTGATCCATCTATTGCTTTGACTGTGGCCATCAAAGAAAAGAAATTAAGTCCAACTACCATTATCAATTTTCAATATATGTGCGCGGTAATTGTATAACTACCGCAATCTGGCATCATGAAATCCCACTTTTGCGTAACAACTCTCTTCGCACTCGCCGCCGCCCAGAAAGTTACCGTCCCAGCAGACCTAGCCCAATCATTCTCGAGCTCGGGTACAGAGGGGCTGCAAGTAAGCTTTGGCGGCGATGCATCCGAGGGCATTACAGATGGCCAAACTATCAGCTTAAATGGTCAGACTATTCGTTTTTCCACTCTCCCTCACTGCATATCATGTCTTAACATCCAACAGACGCCCAAAGCCCTCCCACCTTCGCTCTTGGTGACAGCTCCGGCGTCAACCGCGCCATCTCGTACACAATCATAATGCTGGATACCACTGATAGAAATGCGCGAAAAGTACAATTTCTCCAAAAAGCTTTCAAAGCCACGGGTGACAAGACGAAGCTTGCAGCGGAAGGAGAGCCGTTTATCCCATACAAGCCACCATCTTTCGGACAAGGCCCGCGCCAATTCTCGTTCCTTCTCTATCAACAGCGGGGACAGGATCTAGCGCAATTAAGTGGTGTGCCCAGCAGTGGTACTGGGCCGTTCGACCTTAAGAAGTTCGAAACTGCGAATAATCTACAGCCGCCACAGGTTGGTATGGCTATTACAATGCTTGATGATGGGAATGCTGATGAGCCCCGAAAAGATCATCCATTATCAACGTCCGCACTACCATTCGGACCATTTTCTCCACAAGACATTTCTTCATCCCCCTTTGTTTCTGCATTAATACCTGTTTTGCCTACTGCCTCGTCTCCGAACACAAAAACTGCAGATGACACAGTGGAAGTGTCGTTCCCCGCATTTGCCTTCACTTCCGGATCGCCTACCACTATATCTACGCCTTTACTTTCGCTGGCAACCTCTGACTCACAGCTGTTGACAGAACAATCAACAATCACACCAGCCTCCACTGTATCATCTTCCTTCCAGTCTGCCTCTCCATCTGTTTCTCCGTCTGCCTCTCCGTCTGTTTCTCCGTCTGCCTCTCCTTCCGTCTCCGCATCCACCTCTCCAGCTGCAAGACAAACGCGAACAAGCATCGTAGTTGTGACGGCAAGCCCTACTAGCACTGCCACAAGCAGTTCTGGTGAACTTGTCGGAGCAGCTAGAGAGGCGGATAATGACCGTTCTGCTGGTGCTAGTTTGTACGGATCTGCGTACGGAGCCATGTTTCTGGAGATAACTTTGCTAGTTACACAAGCGGGTCTGTACATGCTGGTGCTGTAAAGTGACTTGGATTGGTTGCTTTCCAGGAGCCTGCCCTTCGGAAACGATCCATCTCCAAATTTGTCTTTCCCTTCTAACCATTTGAGAGTTGTCCCCTTATTTCCTTCACTGCGCTATGCGAGGGTATGATATTGATATTTTTATTCCCAGTTGTATTTTGGAGTGGTATTTTTCATGGAACATTGGAGTTCATTGATTTTTCGCTTGCTTTTCACCCCCTCCTTCTTCCAGCCACGCTGTCGGCATGTACAGTACTTCCTTATGTTGCATATAATTCATATAGAGCCCTGCCAATTGATGACGATTGATTTTTATATGAACGGCTGCTTTAAAAAAAGATTTCTTTTCACTCTCGAATCAGTACAACAGCGAATGACGAAGACGTAGAGGTGAATAGGAATATCAGGCCCATTTCTTACCGAAAATATATCCGGCACGTTCATGTACTGCAATAACTTGATTGAGCATGCAGCTTCTAAGAAATTCCAGCGACATCGCAAGGGCGAATCAAACCCTTCTTCCCGTTAGTTAACTAGCTGTCAGGACCTCATAAGCACTAAATCATTATGTAAAACTGCGAGCTGAAGACCAGGGATGACAAATAACCAATCATCAGATTTTTGTTGTGAAAGTTCCTTCTCGCCAAGCGCACATACGCACATCTTGTATTCCCCGATCATGGCCAGGAGAAGAGCCCGCCTTTGTAGTAGGTAGTGTTTGAAATATATAAATAAATGGTTCAGCTTCGTGGGCAGACTGTTTATCCATTCGTGAACCTTTCCTCTCCTCCTCTCTAGAGGAATCCTAGGTCCCTTGGATCCCCAGCATCTGCTTCAAACTGTCTTACTGAAGAGTTATTGATAATGGCCAACAAGCCCGTCATCGTGATCGTGCCCGGCTCATGTCATAGGGCTGAACACTACCAGCGACTAGTTGATAAGCTCACAAAATACAACTATGAAGCAATCGCCTTGACCCCACCATCCCTTGACTCCAACCCTCCCCATGCCAGCTGGGACAAGGACGCCGAAGCGATACGGCGCGTAGTAACGGAGAACATCGATGCTGGAAGGGACGTTGTTGCGGTTGCGCATTCATTCGGTGGCGTTGCGATGAGCGAGGCGGTAAAGGGGCTGGGCAAGCGTGCTCGTGAAAATGACGGGTTGAAAGGGGGCGTCGTGGGACTCGTCTACATGACGGCGTTAGCACTTGTTGAAGGGCAGAGCCAAGCGACCTTGATCGTACCGCAGACGCCAGAGGAGAATGAGTTATTCCTGGCATATCAAGAGGGGATGAAGAAATATTCCAAAGGCATGATGCCGGTAAATGAGGTAGGTAAAGAACTTGAATATATCACCCATGATTTTGAGCTACGTTCTTCCTTCTCCCCTCTATGTACTGCTAGTTGGCCCGTGGCAGATGAGTCTTATCTGACCCAAAACTTATTGCCCTATCAGGCCGGGATGATAGTGCCTGATCGGGAGACGACTCGCCAGGTCGTCTATCACGGCTGCGATCCCAACGACGTAGAAGAGGCACTCGACCTGTTAGGAGCCCAGCCAATAGCCCCGATGGCAGCCCCAGTTACGTACACGGCATACCGTGAAATTCCGAGTACGTTCATTCTGTGCGAGAATGACCGGGCTGTCCCGCCATACATTCAAGAGAAGATGGTTGCGCAGGCCGGCAATGCCATGGAAATCGTGCGGTGTCAGGAGGGCCATGTGCCGTATCTCAGTAACCCAGGCTTGGTTGTGGATTGTATCCGCCGTGCTGCGGGCGAGAGTGTTTAGATGGCCATTAACGTCCTCACGGACTGCTTGCCGACTGCTTATTCCCACTGTAGCGATACGATTCATTTACAGTATGTTCATCGTTATAGAGGTTTTATTGCAGGGGGCTTTCACCGTCTTGTGCTCGAGATGACTGGTGTGAGATGAGAAATTCAATGGCAGGTATCATGATAGAAATGCAGCCCCTACCCACAAGCGATTCAGCCAGTTTCGACAGCGTAGAATACTTGCATTACAAAATCCCTTGTATGAGACATGAAGTTAAACAGTGGGTGAAAAATATGAACTTGAGGAGAAAATGTTTAAATATGCATAAGGAAAACGCAATATAAAGTAAATGTCTAAGGAGATAGAAAATCCTAGTTTGCAGTGGGATATGGGCAGGGCAAAAAACTCTCATCCACCGTCGTCTTTTTGTAACATATGCTCAAATAGTGCTGAAGACACAAGAAATCCCCACCACTCCCAAACACATCTTTAATCTATGTATACATTTTACATACATACTGTTTCTCTATCTGTCTCAAGAAGACGTAGATCCTCTTGAGGAACAAAACAAACTGAAATCGATCTACTTAGAAATCGACCTTCTCCTTAACATACAAATCAACATATTTATCAACATCCATAGACTCAAGCCCTTTCTGGTCAAGACCAAGCTTAATGAGTTGCTCAACCTTGGCAGCGTCATAGTGTCCTTCAAGGTGTCTCTTGTACTTGGCGAGGATTTCAGGCTTCGCCTCCTCGCGACGCAGGCGGTGGCCGAGAGGGGCATCGACGACGACTTCATCAAGAACGGTACCGTCGTTGAGGGTGACGGTTAGTGCGTTGGGAATTGTGCGGAGGCTTGGGTCGTGGTAGTCCTTGGTCATCTGAGGGTCCTCAACGCACTTGATGCGCTTGCGGAGAGACTCAAGGAGCTCAGAGGTAGCTGCTTCGGAGCCGTCGGTGTAATCAGTTGCAAGGAGACGGTTGAAGGTGAGCATAGTAGCAACCATGTACTAATAAATGAGGTAAATCAGTTTAGTCACTGTTTTAACGAAGATGTTTGAGGATTGGGAGCGTGGTTTAGCACGTACCTGGATGCAGTGGTCGCGATCAGCGAAGTTGTCCATGGGCTTGAATTGTTTATCGATGATACGGACGCAGGCCTCATGAGTGCGAATGGTGACATCCTTGATGTCTTTGGCGGATTTGCCCATGCTAGCCAGCTTCTTGTTGACGTGGGTGGCAGCCTCAATAGCGGTTTGCGAGTGGAATTCAGCTGAATATGACACGTTAACGGAAGCTATTCATGGAGCGGGATCATTTTAAATAGTAAGGCGGAAACATACCAGGATAGGAGACCTTGAAGAGTACATTCTCCATCACGTAGCTGCCATAAGGGCGCTGGAACTTGAACTTGTTGCCCTTGAACAGGACATCATAGAAGCCCCAGACTGGCGCAGAGAGAACGGTGGGTACCCCAGGTTCTCCCTTCTGTACCTTGAGCGCGAGATTGACCGCGCGCTGGCATGCATCACCAGCAGCCCACGACTTTCTCGACATGGTGTTGGGGGAGTGTCTGTAGGTTCGCAAGCTCTGGCCATCAACCCAGGCCTGGGTGATGGCATCGGCAGTCTGCTTCTCATTTAGACCAAGCAGCTTGGAGACCACTGCAGTGGTAGCAACCTTGACCAAAACCACGTGATCCAAGCCGACCTTGTTGTAGGAGTTCTCGAGAGCAAGGACACCCTGGATTTCGTGGGCCTTTATCATCGCTTCAAGCACATCACGGACAGTGGGAATCTTGCCATTGCCAAGGGACCCTCCAGCGCGGTTAGTGCGTGAGATCCAGTCAGCCACGGCTAGGATGCCGCCCAAGTTGTCAGAAGGATGGCCCCATTCAGCAGCCAACCAGCAATCATTGTAGTCCAACCAGCGGACCATAGCACCAATGTTGAAAGCACCATTGACAGGATCGAGCTGATATGGAGTTCCAGGCACCTTGGTGCCATTGGGGACAATGGTGCCTTCAACAATGGGCCCCAGGAGTTTCGTGCACTCCTTGAATTTCAAAGCCTCCAACCCACATCCTAGGGTGTCAAGAAAGACAAAGCGGGCAGTATCAAACTAGAAAAAGCAACAATGTTCTCGCTTCAGTAAACGGTAATTTGGAGAATAATTGGGGAACTAATTTTTCTTGAGCAATTGCAATTTCATACCGCAAGATCTGAATTGATTTTGTAATTGTGAATGTAGCTAGCCATATCATTGATTTCAGGGTCATAATCACGAGCCACGGCGGGGGTGGCCGAAGCAGCGGATTTGAGGGAGGACATTGTGGAGAAGGGAGATCTAGATTGCAAATGCTTGCTGGAAAAGGATGATCTAGAGGAATGCGAGCGTAAAGACGAGGCTGCTACGGATGAAGTTGCTAGTTGACGGAGGGGAAGCGATCGTGGGGCGCGAAAAGAGAGCTGTCGCAGGGTTTGACTGGTGACAGACATGGTCGGTAGCAAACGTGGTGTGTGTACTTCTATCTACAGCCCTCAGCAACGGAAGCCAGAAGTTTATGTACAAGAAGGAGATGGTAGGGAAGAGGTGGATTGTAATTGATCTCGAATCGCTTACTTTAGAGAGGTGTCCTTGATGTGTCTGGCAACACAGTTCAAGTTCAATAGGTTTTTTTTGTTGAAGTTCGGATTGAAAGAGCGGGTCACGTGGGTGTTAGTTCGGCAGGGTTGCCGAGGATACACCGAGAACAGACCCGCATCCAACCGGTATGGTATTATTATTTCAGTGTATTGTCATATTTTGCATGTATCGTTGGCGATAAGCACGTATTAAATGATGACAACACGTATCCCCTAAGTCACGAGTCTCGGCTATGTGTTAACCAGCGAATTTCCGCTATCTAATCTGATGAGAAACACCACTAGCGGCTGCGGGATTGCCCGATTCAGTAATTAGCGAACCTCACATTATTTACCTGTGAACGGAAAATACCTCGCTCACTGATAGCCATATGCGTGGCCATCACCACGATAATAGCCGGTGGCTTGAATGACCCTTTTGTTCCCTTCCACCATGTGTCACTTGACTTACCTCGTTGCTGAACAATCGTGCAAGTACTAGTAACTACTGAAATAATACAACATTTATTCTTTACATACTGTTCTTCCGTTATGAAAGATGAAAGAAAGTATCCGATTCAGCATCATGTGTCAGACAAAGTTCTTTGTCCGCTGCACATTTTTCTTTATTCTTGGACTCTATGAATCTTCGTTGTTTGTCTCCGCAAGAAAACAAAGGAAGCGACTAGATGCACTGGAGCCCCTGAACATGGATATTCATATCTCTGCGTTGCTATTTCTTCAACTCATATATTGTCAGATTTACATTTGATAAAATGTTGACTTAGACTCTTTTCACTTACTGTGATATCCTTAGATCATCAAGAACATGGTGTTTTTTAGGAAGCTGTCGTGGAAGATGCGACGCTCAAGACAGCCTGCTACCATGCCTACAGACTCTAAAGCACAAGCTTTGCTAATAATAGAGCAGATATATCTCGATATCCACCTTGCATCTCAGCCAAAGAATGAAAATTCAACAGATTGCAGCCTAGCGACCCCTAACATCTTCATGGACACAGCAGAACGCATCCTCAAATCCGTCAGCGAAGCAATGATGCGGCAAGAAGATCCATGCAGCATGCAGCTGCAACGCCTTATAGATCTAGGCAAATCACTAGGCTGGATGATGCTAGCTATCTGCAGCCACTCAACGCACTTCGCCGATGCTGCCAACGACAACGATAAGCTCTGGCAGGAACTTTACACTCTAATCGGCTCAAACGCCATCAGTATCGAACTTTTTGCGAAAACCCGCCGCCTGAGCTGGCATCCCATCCTCCCCCGCGCGCTCCGGCCAGGTGAAGGGGGAAAATTAGCAGTCAATCCACGGGAACCGTACCCCTACGTCATCAAACTAGATGCATGCGCCATCTACCACCCCAAATACTACGGTCTGAAACAGCAAAACATCACCAAATCAGTCTACATGACTACAGAGGGCTTCGATCCTTCCCAGAACCTCCGTCGCCAACCTGGTGATGGAAACTGCGCTATGTGCGGAAGCCCACAGCTATGCGCATGCGATATACAACTAGCAGATGAAACAAATCCACTCCTCGAGCTGCGCGAGTACCCAGACCGCGGCGTCGGTGTCCGTAGCCTCCGCTCCATCAAAGCAGGTACGTACATAGGCCAGTATGTCGGTGAAATCCGCGAGCCGGCGGCTCGTAAAGGTACTACATACGCACTCCATCATACCCTACGTAACCGGTCAATTGGCGTCATCGATGCAGCCATTTATGGGAATTGGACTAGGTACATGAACCACTCGTGTCGGACAGGGGTAATTTTCGTCTCAGCGGTAGTGGGTAATTCTGCGTGTGTGCTTGTGAGGGCTATCAGGGATATTGAGATATTTGAGGAGATTACGGTGGATTATGGGGCTGCTTATTTTGCGCCTCGGGGCAGAGTGTGTAAATGTGGGGAGGAAGGGTGCCGGTATAAAGAGGAGGCAGAAGTTGGAGGGAGGGAGAGGGTGAAAGAAAACTTGAAAGGAGAAGAGGTGGGAGGGTGTGTTCCGCTGTATAAGTCATTATCGTCTGCTCAAGAACACTTCCTTTAGGAGAAGGAAATGCGTGTGGCTGCTTCATGTACTGCACCAAGTTGCTAGGAGCTACGTGAACCTAGATACTACCCCAATTCGAAAAATTTTCTACAACTCAGAAAGGCGGGAAGGAGGAAATGTTAGAGATGAAAGCAGAAACACATTTTGCAAAGCAGCATAGAATTTCTTATTTTTTTTTTTTTTTTTTGAGAAAGAAACTGAATTAAAACTATACAGGCAAGTTATACAAAACTAGGGATATCGCAATCGTAGATGAGAAAGAAATATCCCTGAAAATAGCACACATTACAACAAAATAAATTCCGTGTTCAGCACTTGAAGAATTAAATAAGGAAAGGGAAAGACAAACAAAGAAGGAAGATCTGAACATAGATAGCAGAGATGCGAAAAGATATTTAGCCCAGACATTGAAATACCAACGGTGACAAAATTAGTAGATCTGTGGTTAAAATGCAAAAGGCAAAGGCATAGCGCCCCCGCTCCCGCAAAAAAAAAAAAAAAAAACCCCGCATAGTACAAAGTATCCAGCAATTGCGATGTTTCTTACCCACGTGCACGGCATCAAATTGAGCATCTTGGGGCGTGCCGATGCCACCCTACACCACTGCATATAGAATCATCGGAAGCATCACTGCAGACGTCAATATCCCCGTGTGCTTGCTCATCTCCCAAACAAACGAAATCTTCGGTGACTAGGGCGGGGCAGTCCTGTTGGATGCAGAGATTGTAAGGAAATGAGAGCGAACCTCTTCGTCCTTCACATGCCACCACCACATATCAATCAAACCACTTTATTCCTTCACACAACGAAACAGACACGAATTGATCGATCGATCACAGTATTTCCACCACCTCCCCTACAATGTCGATACTACCATCACCACCACCGTAGTCACCACCATTAACCCCATCAACGCGCTCCAGCGCCCTCTTCACCACCAAAAAGATCGCCTTCCCCAGCATCGGCGGCACTGCATTCCCAATCTGCCTTTTGACACTCTTCCCACAAAACCGATGCTCGAGCGGGAACGTCTGCAGGCATGCAAGCTCGCGGTAAGTGAAGCCGCGTGTGCCGCTTGGGTGGTAATTCTCGCCCCCGTTGCAGGTTATCGTCCTCGCTTGGGTGTGTGGGTCATAAGTTGGCCGGTTCAGGGGACGGCTGCGAGCATATTGGATGTCGTGGTCTGGGTGATGAGGGGGGATTTTGGAGATTGCGTCGTGGATGGTGCGGAAAGGGGGAAGGAGAGCAGTGCTGATAGTGGTGTTTATTTGGGTGTTGGGAGAGGTGTGCGTTGGCTTTGGGAAGGGCGGTAGGGGTTCACCGGGTCTACAATATGGTTGGAGGTGAGTCAGATGTAAGTTATATATGCATATAAAAATGACTTGAGGGGAGGAGGTGGGGGGAGTGATAGCATACCCCGACGCCAAAATAACCAACCGCTGACGGCTCTGGGGCACTCCATAGTCCCGACAATTCAGTAACTTCCAACGGACAGAATACCCCAGTTCCACAAAGGAATGTATTGTTGCGAAAAGGAATTCTTCATGCCTCTGTTGCAAACCTGCTGTTTCCTCCATAGTCACAACCCTGGGCTTCGTCGCCTCCAGTAATTCGCGCGTGCAGAAGATACATGCTTCATTATCTTCATCCATGGCAGCTGCAACTGTTTTTGCAGGTGAAAATGTCTGGCAAGGAGGGGAAAAGTGCAAAATATCAACCATTATTTCAGTGTGGCTGCTAGCAAGGAAATCTGCCACATCGGATGTATATCCAATTGCAGTCTCAAAATTCAGCCGAAATGAGTCCATGGCTGATACTGAATGATCAAATCCCCAATTCAGGCGAAGGCCTGCTTGCAATGCACCTCTGGAAACACCACCCGCACCACAAAAGCCATCACCGAATGTATACTGCCGGATTATTTTTGAAGTCCCGCCTAGAATTGTTGGAGTGTTTGTCGAAAGATCGACGAGTGGTGAAATTTTTTGAGTGGCATAGCTACCCCCTGGTTGAGTTTCACCTCTCCAGCGGAATCGTAGCGTGCTAGTGTCAACAGCATAGCCAGCGTCTGCCTCATGTGGAGCGAGGAATTGAATGGCTTGCTCTTCCATGCGTCGTTTGCGGGAAGATGTCGTGGAAGTGGAAGTAGGAGTGACCCACACCCTAATGTATTTGGAGCGGCAGAACAGAATCCCCTCTTGCCTGCGCTCAGCCTCTGTCGCAAAACTGTCTTTATCACCCCGAGGAACTAACATCGGATAAGATGTATTTGTAAAACGCACGATCCTCAAGCCCTTGACTTCGTGCAAGCCCACCTCATCAACCTGAGTGGTCTGCTGCGCGGAAAGGTTCACAATCCAGCACAACTCGTTGACGTGCTCAGGCATTAGCCCATTCATGGAATCCTGTCGCTGAAGCCGCCAGCCCCTCAGCGATATCTCGCCGGCCATCCCCCTCACAATCTCCAAGATGCGGAGAAAGGTGCCATCCCGCAGCTCCACGGATTTGCCAGCTTTATATGTTCTACCCTCAGACACGAATTCTGGGATGACTTCTTTCACTTCAAAAGATTCAGTATGGTTGAGGCAGGGGGTGATGTTAGCTGTGAAATTGGAGAGGATCTGCGGCCATTGCTCGTCGTCCACGAAGTCATCCTCGCTATATCTTGCGGTGAAATCTCTCTCTCGCCCCTCCCACCCCTCCTCCTCCTCATCCTCAATGGTGTCAGTGCTGTCACTCTCATCTAGTACAATGGTAGATGGGCGGCCAGGTTGGGAATGGTCTTGACCATGCAGTTGCAGACAACGTCGGCGGCGGGACCTTGGGGATAGAGTAGAGAGGAGACAGGGCTCGCGACCTGGGAGTATTCGAACCATCTTTTGGGTGAGGGATTGAAAAAAGAACTCTTGTGGCGAGAGAGGTTTTCAAGAAGATGTTAGAGCATTCAGGATTGAGATTTCAAAAGCTGGTGCTGACTATGTTTAGAACAGAAAAGTTCAGAGTAAAACTCCTCTGAGATAAAGTATGGGCAAACAGGATGTTATCAATCTTCAAAATATCAGAAGAGAGAATGAAAGGAGACCAGGAAGGTATTCTCTATCAGCATGGGTGATCCACTCAATAGGTGGCAATTTCAGATATTCCTTGGATCATAAATTGTGTTGTGTTGTATGATCTTCTTGACTGCTGAAAGTGTTCTGTGCATAAAGAATTGAGCTCAGAAAGCACATTCCAACAGCAATGAGTTGGTCATCTGGACATCCTCTGCTCAGATATTCACTCTCACAAATACAACTCATGATTGCCAATTTGCAGTTGCAGATGCATTTCATCCCCATCCAGATAGAAATGAAGAGGGCTCCCACACAGCTCTCACCGGCTTTGTTTCAAACAAATTGAAATGTCATCTCTGACCCAATGACTACAAGGAGGATGATATAAGCAAGAAGATAAGTTCTTTCCTCTAACATAGAAAAAGATAGAGAAAGCCCTGGCAAAAAGCAGCTCCTTGTCACAACCGACAAAGAGGATGGGTAGTTTGCGAGACAAGAATACTACCAGAGAATAATGAAAAATCCCCTGATGCAGAGATTGCAACTAGAATATACACTCATGCCATATACACAGACATGAGAATTGTTTTGTCTTGATTGTTTGCTTGCTCTAACTATCTCAATATCTCCTGGAAGAAAAAAGAGATGAACAAAAAGGGCAATTTAGGGTTGCTGACATAAACTGCAAGGTCAGAGTGGGCTTGGCGCCAATATTGCGGCTTCGAAAAAAAAAAAAAAAAAAAAAGGCACAGTTGTAGCTAAATATCCCACAGATGTAAATATGCCCTAGGGAAGGGGGAAATAGTCTTTGGATATTTGTTTATTTCTGTTTGATATTTGAAAAAGTGTTTGCTCAGATGGGGGGAATGCACACGTTGTCTACATTTCCATCAACATTCTTAGCACGAAGTCAATGCATCGCATCGCACGAGCACTTTGTAGATACAGCAGTAACTGAGAAGCAAAACACTTCATGAACCCCCAAACGGTTTCAAAGCGGCTGGCGATCCATGGCGCGGGCGGTGGGGAAACGATAGATAGCCTTTGATAATACCAGTGCCGCTGCAAATCTTATTTTTCTCTCCGGTGTCCTTTCTGTCTTTTTCCCGCTTCTTCTTTTCCTCTTTTCTTCTCGCTTCGATAATCACCATGTCTGCTGCTATTCTTCCTCCTGTCTCCGCCGTTTTTTCTCCGCTATCTCCTTCTTTTCTGCTCTCGTCTCCATTATGTTGTAGACTCGTTGCATCCCTCTGGGCCTCCATTTTCGCCGCTGCGGCAGCCGTGAACCCACCATGAACAGCCGGATCTCGGTTTAAGCCCTTTAGACCAACTCATATTTATTCGACAATTCCTTTCCCCGCTTACTTTTGCTCCAAAATATTTCCATATCTGGCGGTGGCTATCTAATCCCTTACCACTATTAGAGAATCCGGCGAGAAAAAGTATGTTTGATAGTGTCTTTTGCTCTCCTGTTGCTGCGTGCCCCTCTACAGTACATGCCCATCCCGAAACACAATAACTACCAATCCCTACCGATGATGATACGTTGGAAAAATTACATGGATGTTAGACTTCCTAATTCTCATTGCGGAGAACTCCAATCTATTCTGATCCTTACCTTCATTGTGTTTCGCACATTACTCCCTCCTCTTTCCGTTTTTTTCTTCCTTATCAATATCTTGATTTCCCCTGTTAAGTATTTAACTTGAAGAATGATTGCTCATAAGAAGTTTTTACAACATATCTAGTTTCCTATAATCTACGTCCGGCATGTGCGGCATATTAGCTCTCATCCTTGCGGATCCCAAGGCCAGTGCCAGCATTGATCTCCACGAGGCCCTGTACCTTCTGCAACACCGTGGCCAAGATGCCTGCGGAATTTCAACATGTGCATCTGGTGGTCGAATATTCCAGTGCAAGGGAAATGGCATGGCCGCAAAAGTGTTCAATGATGGAGCCAGGGTTGCTGACCTTCCCGGGTTCATGGGCATTGCACATCTAAGATACCCCACGGCTGGCAGCAGTGCCAATGCCGAAGCACAACCGTTCTACGTGAACAGCCCTTACGGTATCACCTTGGCCCACAACGGCAACCTCATCAACGCCAGCGACCTCAAGAGCTTCCTCGACTACGACGCCCACCGCCACATCAACACAGATAGCGACAGCGAGCTGATGCTTAATGTCTTCGCCAACGAACTGAACGAGACGAAGAAAGCCCGTGTCAACCACCAAGACGTCTTCGCAAGTCTAAGCCGCATGTATGAGCGTTGCCAGGGCGGCTGGGCTTGTACCGCCATGATAGCCGGCTTCGGCGTCCTGGGTTTCCGCGACGCATATGGTATCCGTCCCTTGGTTCTTGGCTCCCGCCCATCCGCCACCGGAGAGGGGATGGATTACATGATGGCATCTGAATCCGTCGCACTGGACCAGCTAGGTTTCTCCACGCTACAGGACATCCAGCCAGGCGAGGCCGTCATAATCCAAAAGGGAGGCAAACCAGTTTTCCGCCAAGTCTACCCGAAGCTTAACTATACCCCGGACATCTTCGAATATGTCTACTTCGCGCGGCCGGACTCCGTCATCGATGGCATCAGCGTGTACCGCAGCCGACAGCGCATGGGCGACAAGCTTGCGCAGACCATCTACAAAACCCTGGGCGCCAAAGCCATCGAGGAAATTGACGTTGTTATCCCCATCCCCGAAACCTCAAACACATCAGCGGCCAGCGTCGCGCGCTTCCTCGACAAGCCGTATTGCCAGGGCTTCGTCAAGAACCGCTATGTGTTCCGCACGTTCATCATGCCGGAGCAAAAGGCCCGGCAAAAAGGTGTGCGGCGGAAACTGAACGCCATGGCCGCGGAGTTCAAAGGCCGCAATGTCCTCCTGGTCGACGATAGCATCGTGCGCGGCACGACGAGTCGAGAAATCGTCACCATGGCCCGCGAGGCGGGTGCGAAGACGGTGCATTTCGCCAGTTGTGCGCCCCCAATAACGTAAGCTTCACTCATTCCCCTCAGCCTTCTGTATTCAATGGATGTACTCGTTTGGAACATTAACCTCTTTCCTCTCCTCCCCCCCTTCTCCACGCCCGCGCTAACAAACCGCAACATGCAGCCACGCGCACATCTACGGCATCGACCTCGCGTCCCCCAGCGAACTCGTCGCGCACAACCGCGACGCAGAATCCATAGCCCGCCACATCGGCGCGGACACCGTGATTTTCCAAACGCTCTCGGACCTCAGAGAAGCGTGCGTCGAAAGCTCGCAGGACGACCCGACCAAGCCGCAGAACTTCGAAGTCGGCGTCTTCTGCGGTTCATACATCACGCCCGTCCCGCCCGGGTATTTCGAGCACCTGGAGAAAGTGCGCGGGGAGGGGAGGAAGTTGAAGGTGGTGGAGAGCGCGAAGAAGGCGGTTTTACAGGGCGTGGCGAGCTCGACGGATATTCAGGTCGCGGTTAACGGGGCGGATGTGGATGCGTCGGGGCAGATTGTGCCTGCGGGCATGAAAAATCGCGTTGCGGGTGTGAATGGAGTGGGTTGTGCTGCTGCTGCTGTTGGTAGCGATGGTGGTAGGAGTGGTGGTGGTGGTGTTGGGGGGCATATTTCTCTGGAGGATGGGCGGTCTGAACAACTGAATGCGCATGATGAGGCAGACAATCATACACCTCAGGTTAAGGACCGGATGGACATTGCGTTACATAATTTTGGTGATTATTCGTAGCGCGGCTGCTTGTATGAACGCCATATATTCTAGTTCCCCAGTTTTGTTCTTTTCATGCTTTATCACGGTTGATTCATGATTGTTTCCTCCCGGCCCCACTTGATGTGGTCCTTTTCATTTTCTACTCTGTCGTATATACTGCTATGTATATCATTTCATACCGGAACCTACCCTAGCTTCTTCTCTCTCCCAGTCCAAATATAACATCTGATTGGATCCTGCCTACGGTGGATTTAAAATAGATAGATATGATTTTTATCTGCAAAGGACAGCTGGGGTTTTCCACACATCCTCTCTCTTAATGGATTCTCATTTTCCGTTCAGATAGATCCCCGCCATCCCAAACATTCAAACTACTTCATAAGATCCTCATACATGCATAGATGAGGCGACTGATTTATTTTGATTACACTACATTCTTTCCCATTCACCTTCCCTCTTCATTTGATGGGTCACTAAAGCTTTCTCGGATTTTTGGAAAATGTATAGTTTCAGAACTTGCCGCTTTCCTCTATCCCTAAGCAAATTGAAATTGCAATTGTAGGTGCTGTTTATGTCTACTAGTATGACTCCTTTGTTTGAGGTGATATCTATTCACAAAAGAGATCTAATAATCCTTCATGGTTATTTTCCTTGTCTCTACACATAATGAGCATTCTAAGATAATATGATATGTATTGACAGGTTTTTATGTTTTGTGTTCTGAGTTGTTTAATTTATATATTTGTCCATTGGTGTTTGTCCCTTTTCTTCAAACTGGGAAGAGACATGTTCAACACATTGTTTGGACTCACATCACACAATCGAATGGAGATGAGGGATAACAACCTACCCATTTTTATCTTGATAGCTTGTGCTACCTGCTGCCTTAGTTCCCTCGCATTGCTGATGTCTATGATTGTATGCATAATAGTAAACCTGTTATCCACAATTACAGCTGAAAGTGTGTGGCTTAGAATTGGTCATACCTGTCTCCTCGAGAGGTTTGCAATGTGAGTCTTTGAAACCAGACAATGACAAAGGCACTCATGCATTGGAGCTCTCTTATAACCAGCTTCATCGCATGGTTATATGCTTTGCTGGGTGGATCCGTAAAGACAGATAGATAGCCATCATAAATTCCAACCGCCACTCTTCCCCACAGTCGGCATCGCCTCTACCATCTACCATCCATCTTACGACCAACTTCACCTAATTCCTGTCTAACCACGTAAGAAAACAACACCACGGTGAAAAATCCCTTGGAGACAGAACTTATCAATATCTAGCCGTAGAAGATACTTGGGAACACAATTTCCACGCTGGCGGGCAGAACGAGTGTTGATGCTGTGTACTGTCCCTATTCTATAAATGTGTTAAAAAAAGAAAGAAAGATAGCAGAGGAGCATAACAGCCCAGCTCCCTTGATATTGTATCTGGCTCATCCATTTCTTTCCGTTTACGACTGGCAGATGATGAGGTTAGCATATATAATAAGGGGAAGTGGTTTGTAATTATGCCTTGAATGTTTTCATCGTTTAAACAGCCTTTGAATTTCTGTGTGTTAAAAGATACCATAAAGGCATCACCCCTCACATCTAGACAAACGCTCTTTCAGTATTGAACGGTGAAGTTGCATTGGAATAAAAATAGAAAGCATTTCTAATTCGAAGCATAAAATCTATACATCTCGCGTGGGTCCTAGGTTTTGATAAACATAGTCCCCAATTGAGTCACGCAACCGATCCCAGATACACACTCCCATTTTGTGCCAGCTTTGATTATATTTGACATCTTACAGATATAGAACAAATGTTTCAGGGGTGACAAAGGGAAAACGGAGAAAAAAGTAGACGAAATGAGAAGGGGGGTGGGTTCTGTGGTTTACAGGAAGGAGAGGTCGCCGAATCGTTCCTAGAATTGTGATAGATCACCACAGGTTAGTAGGTCGTTCCGTGTGCAGAGCACCGCCCACGTCATAACCCGCAGGAGGAAACCGAGCCTTGGCTCTTTTTTCTTTCATGTCGGAATGAGATTGGAAAACGAACCTTGTAGCCGGGCGGCATCCATTTGCCCTTGGAAACCAATTGGGAAGTTTTCTCGAGGATATCCGGTCGAGCCTCGCTAACCTCGTCCTACGAGAGCGAAAAGAAGAAAGAAATCATCAGTAAAAAAAAAAAAAAAAAACATATACATCAACACAAACATCCAAAGGGCCCAAAACATACGACCGTAAGATCCTCAAACGGCCTTGCCGTCTCAATATTCGCCAGCGTCTTCTCAAGACTCTGCAACTCAAGCTCAACTTTGCCCTTCGTCTCCTCCGCGCCCTTGATAGCTTGTGCCTCGAAGGCCTCGATCGCCTTGAGCTGTCTATTCACATCGAAAGTGGCGGGCTTGAACGACTTGAAGTGCTGCTCGATCTCGTCGACGACGGCCTGGTTCTTCAGCACGCTGCGGTAGTGTTCGAAGTCGATAGACTGCGGTTGCTCGGAAAGCACTTGCACCTTGCGGCGGGCGTCATCGTTGCGCTTCTTGAAGGCAGCGAGGGAGGCGGCGGTCTGGCCCCGGAGGCCGAGGGAAGTGGACACTTTCGTCCAGTCAAGCTTGAGAGCTGCGCTCCGCTGTTGGTTGCGTGGTTTGTCCACGATTGGACACACAGCGTCAGTTCCATCGGTTGCGGTCCCGGTTGAGTGGGGATGGGGAGAGACGGAATTATCTAGGTGGATTCGAGGAATGGAGTATATTTGGAGATGGGTAAACTTACTGTTACAGCCATTGTGGTTGTTGGGGTGGAATTCGGACGGTGGGATGCGTGGTGTTCGCTGTTCAAGAGCCGGAATTTGAGGGGGATGAAGTTGTCGTTGACAAGAACTGGCGAAATGCAATGTCACGTGAACCACGGATTCGCTGGCTTGGCATCGAAACAATAAAAAGTATAAATTGGTATTGGAATATGCTCTTGATAGAATGAGAACAATATACGGGAGAGCTAAGCTATGCTCTGGGAATTCCATTGTTTCATGATAATAAGGATTTCCTTTCGAGTCTCATCCTGCACTTATTTACCAGGACAACAGGGGAATAAAAGGAAAAAAAAAAAAAATAAGTTATCACGCTTTGAACAGGGCCGGGCTTTGTGTTTGGTATTGTAATTTTTTCTTTTTCTTTTTTCTTTGGCTAAAAATTCAAAAATTAGGGGGAGAAAGAGGAGAAACGAGACAACAATAAATCATCCATCTACATGCTCGGATCATCAGATCATACACTTAGAGCCATGATGGAGTTGACAATATCATTATCGTTCTCCTTGAGCGCCTTGATAGCCTTGTTCCGCGACACAGAAGCCTGGGCCATAACTAATTCAATGTCTTTAGCCTCGAGTCCGCTAGCATCAACCTCCTCATCATCCTCTTCTTCGTCCTTCTTGTCGGCGCTCTCGACGGCCTTCCCCTTGCCGTGGTCGTGGCTGGCGTGGTCGTGGCCGGCATGTTCGTTGCTACCAGCGGCCTCGGCAGCAGCAAGCTGTTGAGCAGCGGAGGCTTGGGCCTGGGAGTTCAAGTCCTCAATCTTGGCCTCACCGAAGATGCTGTTCAATCGGGTTAGTCGGATTTGTTTTAACATATTTACACAGGGGACAACTGATACAACTGATGTGGAAAGTGTGGGTTAAAGGAAGGGGAAAAAAAGCCCCCATTAAACTTACATCCAAGTGTTGCTGGACGGGGACCGGTATACGTCTGGTTGGTTGATAACGAAGAGAATCTAGCATTGCCGTAATAATTAGTATGGAATTAATGTATAAGAGATTTGCATGCACATTTCAATTGACGCGGCATCCTTTGCAACCGTAGTGGGCTCTGACGCAAAATTGCCGGGGACTCCAAGCCACTTACACCCTTCGGTCTGCGGAGAGTAACACGGGTGATGCCAGGGACGTGCTTCAAGCCCAGCTTGCCGATGGCTTTCCGAGCCTTCTTTTCATTGCGGGAGTGGACAGTGACAGCGGCACCACCGGGAATGGTAGGCTCCTCGGCACCCTCAACTTCGGACTCTGAACTGTCAGCGGCATCCTCGACTGTGGCCTTGGGGACATCATCGTCGGGAAGCTCTTCTATCCGGGAGGAAGACATGTTTGGTTTTGAGGGGGGAGGGCGGGAGCCTGCTATCAATCAATGACGGGTGTTCTTGTTAGAAAGTTTTGTGCAATAATTTGTTTTTACATGTGCGAGCGAGAGTGTGAGAGAGAAACCATTCCCACCAACGGTCCATAATTTTGGATTCAAACGGCGGGGAATGATTTCGCCTCGGGTTAAGGGATATACCGGCACATACCTTGGTGATAGACGGGAGACGGGGTTGAGCGTGGGGAATTTTTCCTTGCAGCGTTTGCCAGAGTTCTTGTCCAGTTTGATGGTGGAAACTGTGTGAGGCTCCTAACCACCTGACCTGGGCGCCTTGCCAAATCTGTTAGCGAGTGACACTCCACTGTACATAAGAACTTGAAGTTAACTGCCGCAATCACATTACAAATAACAGGTCTACAGGGCAGGGTTCTGACGCTGAAGTTAGAATAGGATGATTTTTATACAAATAAAAAATTGCTTTCCTTAATCATTATCTTGGGCGCACCCCGATCCACACACTGACGGTGCCAGGACAGTTGCCAGTTCTAATTGAGCGCCCAACTCGGTACAGAGTGCTAAATACGTTAGTAACAATGCTTATTGACTGTGCTTCGGTCCAGAAGGTGTAAAGATTTGTGGATTGAGGGCAGGAACCCCCAGAAACAAAATGGAACCAGAAAGACGCTCATTTGGATTGCACGTCAAGATACTGCCTTGCAGGAACATGATTGAAAATGAGAACTAGTCGGACTGATGAGTTCATTCAGTTTTATAACGGTCTCATTTTCCAAAGCATCATGGTAGGAGGTCGAAGGGGAAATGAAGAAAGGCGGGATTGAAAAGTAAACCTCGATTGCACCAGATTATAGAATGTTGTAACAATGAGAGAACATAAAAAAAAAAAGAGAGAAATATATTGAATGGTTTCGCCGTTTCAAATTCTTAAATGAAATTGTTTACACAGCAGTTTTTTCGGGAACAAAATGGAATTCCAGCGATCCCTTCGACCCATCGCCAAAAATCCATCCATTGCCCCCTTTCCCCCAAACCCCGGAAACCGACCAACTCTCGTTAACTCCGTTTACGAAGCAGAAGCGCGGATCTTAGCATGCGCCTTTTGCACTTCATAGCGGGCCTGGACATTATCAACGCAAGCGCAATTGATTAGCAAAAATATCTTACAGCCCAATAGAATTTGTTTGAGTGGCGGGATGTTGTCGATGTCGCAAATGACACGACAGAGCGTATAGCCTCATCAAAAAGTATGTAGGAGAATTTCCCCCAAAATTCAAGTTGAAGCTCACCTGTTTCTTCAGTCTCATAACCTTGAACCGTTCGAAGTCGGTAAGGTTTCGTCTCCGATCAGCCTGGTCCCTCTTCTTGGCGGACGTGCTGTTGGCCCATTTGGAATCGATCTCCGCCTTCTCCCAGAGCTTCTTGACTGGTCCGGTACCAGCCGCGCGAGGGAGTTTCGGGATGGTGAAAGGTGTGAGGGTGGCGTGTGAGAGAGCGAGGACATGGCGAGGAACGACTTTGTTCTCTTGACCAGCGGGACCGTCGACCAAGACCTGTAAAAACGACACAATACCCATCAGAACTCCGCAACCGCGATGTAATATAGAAAAAATATAGAACTATTTTCTTTTTCATCATCTTCCTCCTCCCCTGCAGATCCCAGCCAACCTCTAAAATAGAAATTCGGCATATGCAAAATCATGGGAACGTACGCGTTTGTGGTCGATAATCTCAACGATAACAGCCAGTTTTCCCGTGTAGGGGCCGCTTCGAATCAGCACAACACGGCCGACCTCAACGAGCTTCCATGACGAGGTTGTGATGTCGATTTGAGCCATGGCGTTGAAGGGGCCTATATGGATGCGAAAAAGACAATGAGCAGGCGCTGGGTCAGCTGAGGGCCTCGAAAAGAATCAGACTCCAAGAGCAACAGCAGCGGCGGGGACTCACAATCGACCGGGTATGGGGATAGGCGCGAGAGTTGGGTGGGTGAATTGTCGAAATCGTCGATGTCGTCGATGTTGCTGGGCCTTTGGTTATCGCGAATTTCGGTGCTGATATTGTTAGCGTAGCCCACAAAACCTCTCGCTTAATTGCCCCGACTAGGGTTGCTGAATGCGGGTTAGCGCCATACTAGCCGAAGTCGCGAGTTTTTTTGTTTTTTGGAGGAAAATTTTTCGTTTTCTTTCTTGTTGTTTTGGAAGATGTATTGACATCCGCAGCAAGGATTTCCTTGTCCTCACTTCTTACTTGTCAATTATAATAATTGACTACGGTGGGTCTGCTATCATTGTGGTTGTGATGTGCAGGATACAATGTCCGTTGCAACGGCCAGGAGGAAACAATCCACGGCAGAGATGGATAACTGACTGAGGATGTCTCCTGATTAACGTGTCTGTTAATGGTGCGGACGAGTCAATCGCTGGAACGAGCTGGTAAGCAAGGATTTCTTTGTCTCTCTGCTACCTCCATCCTTACACTTCCATAGCTTCAAAATGATGCGGTAATTTGCGGTTGATCCGTTTTCTGTGAAGCTCTCGCCGGAGTTTCTGCAAGCAGTTTTCGGCTGTGATATTCCTTTTCTTACATATTCTGAACTTTCCAATGCTATTACTATCGCTGCTGTTTCGATCTTCAATTCATTCCTTGAAGAGACTGTCCACTAATGTCTTGGAATCCTAGTTGGCAGATGGACGTACTCGGGAGGACGATCCAGCGGCCATTTCTCGGTATCCATCTTATTATTATTACTATAGTCCGTCCTACGGAGTCACCATCAACCTAGGTGCGTATGCAATATTAGCGTTTTTGCTTCCCCCTCGAGTCCGGTGATGACACCCTTACGCACTAGATAGTATTTGATGCCTCCGGGAAATGAAAATCTCCTTTACACCAAGATCGCTGAAGGACTCCTCTTCTGCTTCCACCTTTGATTTGGCGTGTTAAAAATAGCCATAAAACGTTGCTAATCTACCATGAAGTAGATGAACTAGGTCGTTTCTCTTGCACATCTGGCCAGCTCGAGCGAGTAGTATCCGTCGTATCAGGCATGATATCGGTTGCTTGTTTGAGCCCAACATCCCCAGCTCTGTATCACAGTAGTCGCATGGTTTGTCACTTGCGAAGCGTACAACTCACAAAGGACATGGTAGGTATCCCCATTTACATAATTACCTAGGCATATTTGTTAGATCCAGAAAAGCATACAACGTTTCTACAGCCCCACCTCATTGTTCCTCGTTGCACACTTTAAGCCCAATGATACAAGAAATCGCCGTAGAATGCAGCCTTGACTCCGCGATCGGTTGCCCTATAGAATTAATTAATCTTCAAAGTGGTCAATATCGCCATGATTAGAATACACTTCTCCCTGTCTCTGCCCAGACATAGCGCTATGAGTTCTAATGCCAAGTCAGGCTCATCCAAGGGCCTTTTTCTCCTCACAATCCCAGGTTCGCAACCCATGCCAGCCTCCAGTCGACAGAAAAACGAGGACCGGACGAAAAACACGGGGAGGATGCCTTATCTTCCCCAGGCACGGCTACTATATGCATAGCTCCGTTTATGCAGCCCGAACAAAGTACTCTGTTTCCTTAATTCCCATGCACAGCACGCATTTCCACAGCATCCATGCAGCCGCAAGTCCCATGGGCCTTGGGCGATAGAGATGATTTCCTATTTCCAATTAATGTTTCTCATATACGTTTCTCTGGGTTGGCTCTTGTCTGCTTCCAAAGGGCCGTTCGGCGGCGATGATTCTCACGCGTACAGATGTGTCCCCGGAGACATGCATGGCCCTGGGAGCAGAATTCTGTTCTACAGATAGATTGGATTAAAGGAGTTGAGTATAGATAATCTATACTCTCCCTCAGGCTGGTTTCCAGGACAGCTTTTATGTGTGATACAATACACCTGGGCCCTTGGAGGGAAGCGCCCGCTGTGCCATGTATGTTTATTTCCATGTTTACAAATGTACAAGTTCATATTCATCCCTCCTCTTTTGCTCTCTGCGCCCCTTTCTTGTATACACACAATAACACATTGGTGAGAGTTGTCAACAAGGATAATCATTAACACAAACGTTCATTTCTGCACCTTATCCACCTTTGTGTGTTTCTTCCTTATCCCTCTTTCTTCAGTGTCTCTCCTTGTCTTCCTCTCCTTTCTTCCGGCTCTCAACTTTCATCTCTACTTGGGCTTGCCTTTGTCAAATCAACTAAGTTCTATCAATTCAGCAATATGAGGGATAACTCCCTACTAGGCTGGGATGATGGCCTCAAGCCCCTTGATGCACTGGGCATCTTCTACGTGATCTTTGACATCGTCTGGACTCTCCTGGTAATGACAGGGCTCATCTGGTTGTGGAGCAACAGGGCCATTCCCTCTGTCCGCATGCGCAATGTGCCTCTGGCAATCTGTTCAGTGCTCTTTCTGCATGGCTACGGGGGGTTCTACATTCTTGTTTATCCACTCAAGGGGATTACCAGCTGCCGCCTCGAGTTCTGGCTCATGTGTGGCGTACTTCCAGTGGGGATTGCGTTGTTTCAGGCTACGAACGTCCAGCTGCTGAGCGTGGCTACTCTCCAGCAGCGTTTCATCAGGGATGATGGCACCTTTGATGAGCCGACTCCGCAAGAAATTCGCTGTCCGTTCAACAAGCTCAAGTGTTGGTGGACGCATCTCTCGTGGGCTAGGCAGACTATGTTTGCTATTGCGATTGGGATGTTTATCGAGGTATTCATCTATACATATCCTTAAGAGAACTGGCCCTAGGTGTGGAACAAGGGAGAGTGGGAGGTTTAGTACTAACTCTCACAGATATTTTTTGTCTCTACTTGCATTCTTCGGG